CACAAAAGCCAGCTTGAACAAGTGAGTCTTCAGGTGCTTTTTGAAGGAGACCACTGAGTCCACTGATCTCAGGCTCAGGGGGAGAGAGTTCTAGAGTCTGGGGGCCAAAGCAGCAAATGATCTGTCACCTTTGGTCTTTAGCCTGGTGCTGCACAACCAGTAGGCTTTGGTCACTGGACCTCAGGGCCCTACTGGGGGTGTAGGGACTAAGAAGATCACCAATGTAAGATGGTGCTTGTCCATGTAAGGCCCTATAGACCAGAACCAGGATCTTGAAATGAACCCTGAAGTTGACTGGCAGCCAGTGAAGCTGGAGGAGAAGCGGGGTGATGTAGGTGTGTTTGGAGGACTTGGTCAGAAGCCGAGCACAGGCATTCTGAACTACCTGTAGACGTTTTTTTTTTACTTCATTAAGCTCCTTGTGTTTGTTTTTTAATAGGGTATGGGTTGACTTGTGTGTTTTGTAGTTGGTTGTGTTGCCCTATCAGATGGTGCTGCATGAGGCCACAAGGAGAGCAGCAGGGATCCAGCTGAAGGACCAGGTACAACATCTTTTTTTAACTATCAGCGTAAATGAAAACAACAACCCTCGACGCCTGGACTCTTATTCCAAACAGGTGGTGATCATAGATGAAGCTCACAATCTTAGCGACACGTTGTCCTGTATACACAGCTCAGAGCTCACTGGAGCACAGGTAAACACTTTACAACTGGCTCATCTTTTGGATTTTTTTTTTTGTGCTAGACGTAACATTTGAACTTCCTGCAGCTTTGCCGGGCCTACTCCCAGCTCTCTCAGTATGCTGACCGCTACAAGTAAGTGTCACACAATAAACCGGAGTTGCACGTTCAAAACGAATTGCCTTCTGTGAGACGGATGTGTCTTATACATCAGGAGCAGACTGAAAGCAAAGAACGTGATGTACATTAAACAGATTCTGTTTGCTATCACGGGTCTGGTTGACGCGCTGGGAGGTGAGTGACTGGTCCCTGTGAGGTCGCTAATCCTGATCTAGGCGTTCATTGCATCGTTGTTTTGTTTTGCAGGTAAGGCTGGACAGAACCCACAGAGCCAGACGACTCAGGCAGGTTAGCGGTTCATAATAAACACAAAGTAAAGTAAATTAACAGTAAAATGCTGAACTCTAACCAGGTAGTTTTCTAATTTTTCTCCAGGAACAGAGATGTTTACCATTAACAACTTTCTGTTCAAGGCTCAGATTGACAATATAAACTTATTTAAGGTATTTATTCCTATTATTCAGCTAAAATCGTGCCAGCTCTAATTTTAAATCGCCAAGTTTCAGGAGTAAATCTCTTGTTTTAGTTGCAGCGATACTTTGAGAAGAGCATGATCAGCAGAAAGGTAAGCGTATGATTCAGGCCATCTTTATGCGACCGCATTTATCTGTAAAGTCAAGTTCATCACATTTGTCTTCTGGGTGCAGCTGGGTGGGTTTGTGGAGAAGTATGCAGGCTTGAGTGTAACGCTGCAAACTCAGGGCAGCTCCAACAAGGAGAACCGTCGCACAGAAGGCCTGAGTCGCTACCTTCAGACCCTACAGAGCAAACCGAGCTCGGCACCAGGTGACAAAAATCTCAAGTTTGACTAACTGGGCATCTTCACTGCAGGAACTGAAGAAACAGAGTCCACTGCATGCAACATGTGCTACAACTTGTGTGGAAAAGATAAATATAGTTTTATTTCTATATTTGAGTCATACATTGTGTAATTTTTCAAAACAGTTGCCACTAATAATTAATTTGTATTATTTACATTGCTGCGTGTAGTTCCCTCAACAGGCCAGCAGGGGGCTGCTGAGACTGACAGAGTTCAGTCTGCCTCTCCCATGATGCAGGTGGAGGGTTTCTTCTCGGCTCTCACCAACAGTAATACAGACGGCAGAGTGGTCGTGCAGAGACAAGGTATTTGTCCACAAACAGATTGTAAAATATTCAAACATTCCAGCATAAAATCCAGTTTCTTTCTCCGTTTCACAGGCATGTTGTCAGAGAGCAGCATCAAGTTCCTTCTGCTGAATCCAGCGGTCCACTTTGCTCAGGTGCTGAAGGAGTGCAGAGCGGTCATCATTGCTGGAGGGACAATGCAGCCTGTGAGTTGCTTTGGAAATGAACACAAATAAATGAATAGTTCTGCTGTTTTCATTTAAAAATTTCACATGCAGGTTTCAGACTTCAAGCAGGAGCTGCTGTTTTCTGCTGGCGTGGGAGAGGAGCGAATCACCGAGTTTTCCTGTGGTGAGTGTTCCATTTCCTAACTCTGCTTTGGCCTGCAGAGAGGTTGAGCTTATCAATATTTCTGTTTGTGGGAAATAAGCTTAAATATAAGAGACTAGACTTGTGAAGCGGTTTTTCTTTTTCATGCTTTGCAGACCTCACCCTATTGGCTCCAGTCCATTTTATATTTGTGTCTTCTGGATGCTTTTCTTCCACTTTTGCAGGCCACGTGATTCCTCCTGAGAACATCCTTCCTCTGGTTTTGTGCAGCGGCCCGTCTGGTCAGGAGCTAGATTTTAGCTTTCAAAACCGAGACTTTCCTTGCATGGTAACAACTCCGTGATAGTTGGTGATTATTGTCATTTGACCTGTAACTTTATTGTGCTGATGAGCTCTTTTTTTTGACAACAGATGGATGAAACTGGTCGCATCCTCTCCAACATTTGCAACGTGGTACCAGGCGGTGTCGTCTGCTTCTTTTCTTCTTACGACTACTTGAAGCGAGTCATTTCTCACTGGGAAGCTGGCAGTGTGCTCACCAGACTGGCAAATAAGAAAAAGGTACATCAGCTACTTAAAAATGTTATTTAAATTAAAACAGTTTTCTACAAGTTTAAATGGATCACACTCCTCCTCAGATCTTCCATGAGCCAAAGAAAGCTAGCCAGGTGGAGCAGGTGCTAAACGAGTTCTCCAAATGCATCCAGGTAAACATCTGACCTACCTGGGTGGTAATCGTGTTTATGTCATCATCAGTGATGGAAACGTGTCTCTTTTGGGTTCAGAGGTGTGCTTCAGGCAGCGTTGGACTCACAGGAGCATTACTTTTCTCTGTGGTTGGAGGAAAGATGAGCGAGGGGATCAATTTCTCTGATGACTTGGGCAGGTTTGTGTTATTTAGTTAAGCAGCTGTTGCATCCTGTTTAGAACATACATGTTACCGTTTGTGTGTATGGCTCCAGGTGTGTGGTGATGGTAGGAATGCCGTATCCCAACATCAAATCCCCAGAGCTGCAGGAAAAGATGTCCTATCTGGACAAACACCTGGTCTGATGATTCTCTGAATGTTTTAATTTAAAACACTAAAGGAGAAACCGTAAAGAATATAAAAGATGAGCCCACAGAGAAATTTTACTTTTTTTATTTTCCAGCCTCACACTGATGGGAGAAGCCCTGGAAGAGCTCTGGTGGAAAACCTCTGCATGAAGGCTGTCAATCAGTCTATAGGTGATGATGACGACAACTATCTGAGATGTCATGAATATTTATATGAGCCTGGTTGACACATCTGGGATCTTTTCTCTTTAAAGGAAGGGCAATTCGTCACCGTGGCGACTACGCCTCCATCGTTCTCTGTGACAGACGTTACTCCCGATCCACGACGTGCTCAAAGCTTCCCACTTGGATCAAGGATCGCACCAGCATACACACGACATTTGGTTCTGCTTTCGCCGCTTTACGGAAGGTGAGAAGCAGTTAATATATCAACACTTGGTGCTAAATGATGAAAACACGAAGTTCATTTTGTTTTTTTTTCTTCCTTCAGTTCTTTTTGGAGAAAAAGCAGAAGCAAGTCTAGTTTCTTTCCCAACAAAACTCCAAATGCTGTGTTTTTAAGGCGTTCTTGCAGACACCAAGCAACCAGGCTTTTGGATTTATCACTTTATTTAAATGTTCCTTGTCAAGGTTTAAAATTTAAGAATGGAAGTAATTTAATGGCACATTGCAGATAAAAGGAACATTTGTCATTTTCGGGTTTAATAATTTAAATGTTAGTGAAATGAAAAACTAGGAGCTTCTACACACATTTATCCAGTTGTTCATTTAGTAATGATCTGACTGGTTCACTCAGATGTTTTAATATCAAAATAACAAAGTGATATTTTGAATACAAACTGTTAAGAAATCAATAAAGTATTCTAACTATTGTGTGTTTATGTTTATTTCAGCTTTAGACAAATGACTGAACACATTTAGCATTAAAATCATGAAGCCTGTTGATTGAAATGTCCTAATTATGTGCTAAATCCCCCCAAAAGTCCCTGTTTGCTGTTTAGTGCATCATGCTTCCCAGTCGTCATCGTCTGTTGCCGTTTGTGGAGCTGGAGGAGGCGGGATGACGTCTGACATCCTGGCGAACGCTCCTCCCGTACCAGCAGGAGCTTCTGACTCTCCAGCAGCTGGGACTTTTCCAGAAATACCTGAAGTGAAGCCAGGAGGTGCATCAGCCAAATAAAATCTCCAACATTAGTGTTGTTAAATCACTCTAAAGTAACGTCTCACCTTTTCTACGCATGGCGAGTTTGTTAAAGAGGTCAGACATGAAGTCTCCACCACTCGACGCTGCTCTGACCGCTAGAAAACAAGAGTTGCTAAATTATGATATTTGCAACTCGATCTTTTAATAATTGTCCTTGAAAACATTTAAGAGCAATAAATAAGAGCATAAATGAGCTGTAATGAGTCCCATACCTTGCTCTTGCTCCTTTTGTTTCTTCTTCTCCATCTTGCGTTCTTTAACGTTGCGTAACTTGGCTTTGCCAATGCCGCCGGCGTTGCGGATGGATTCCAGCAGGCTGGCGCGGCCGTCTGACGGCTGCACCACTTCGCTCGGAGCGCCGGACACCGGGCCTGCAATCAGTCAGGACTGCAGTTAAAATCTCACTCCTGAAGGCCAATTTGTTACAAGAAGGGAGCAAACGAGTTAATATTCATCAGGTGTGCGTTTGCGAGGTGGAAACGAAGGATTTGATTACTGACACTGATTCGTCTGAATTACACGGAGGTGACGCACCTGAACTTGGAACTTTATCGACTTTTGTCTCTATGGGAGGAGGTGGTGGTGGTGGTGGTGGAGGTGGTGGTGGTGGTGGAGGAGCTCCAGCAGGAGCTGTGGGAGTGAGGGCAGGAGGAGGAGGCGGAGGGGGAGGAGGAGGAGAGTTTATTTGGGGCAGATCTCCTGAAACAAAACAAACAACATGAAGGGAAATGTGAGTTCTATAGAAAATAAAATGTATTAAAGATGAGCTGAACGAGTGTGCGGAGTGTACCTGATGCAGTACTCTCCCGAGAGAAGGAGGGCAGCTCAGGGATGTTCTGCGTTGGTCCTGATGGAGCGAACCCAGGTCCGAGGTCAGCGCAGTACGACAGGTCGTCAGCGATACCTGGAAGGTCAGGAAGATAGGATGGCACGTCTATCTCAGGAACCTGACCCAGATCTGGCATGTAGAAATAATTTTCTGCTGTCTGTAAAAAAAATAAATAATAATAATTAAAAATTAAAAGCAAGATTAAGTCTGTATAGGAATATTTGATCAAATCTCTGATTTTATAATGAAAACACACCTGTCGCTCTAGTTGTTCTCTCTGTGCGATGGACAAAGGAGCATCAAAGGGTTTCCCCTCTTTCTCTGTTTCCAGCGTGGTGTGTGTTTTTGTCACTGCTCCCGCCAAAGGGTCGAGGAACACGTACTTTTTGTAACTAAAAATAAAATAAATAAAAACAAGCACAAAACTGAAGTCAGAGACTGATCTTAACACAGTTGGTTTCCACAGAAACGATATGCTGACTCACAGATTCTCGGTAGTATTGAAGAGCAGCAGAGAGCTAACAGATGAGATGTTCCGAGGCAGACTGCCCAATCCCTCTTCTGTCTCATCTTCAGACTTCTTCTTATTCCTCACACACACTGGGAAATACGTTAGCTTCTCCTGGAAGGAGACGATGAAGACATAGCGTGTGTTTATGGGTGATCTGTAAAACGTCGTCTCAACGCCACTTAAGCGTTTCTAACTCGGACAATCATACCAATGAGGACACTTCGAATTCTGGAGGTTCTTGAATAATACATTTCTGCACCAAAGCAAACTGTCTTGTGTTTTCTTTCAGTCTGACAAATACACACATATGCTAACAAAAACTACACAGCAGCAAACATGCTCGCTTTTCTTGCCGAGATGGTGCAATAAAAAATAAACTGCGGGCTTAGCTTTAAATAATGCAAAAGCTTGAGCTGGGGCATGTACACACACACACACACACATTCACATGTTTACAGCCAATTTCCCTGCTAAGTGACACACAGCTGCTGATATCCTTCCTGCATGTTCAATGGGTGACAAATTCACTGCTTGGCACGATGCTTGAACAAATTTGCAAATCTAACCCTAACCCAATCACTGGATCCGATTTGAATGAAGAAAGGACTCATGAGCTCCGACTTTTAACACAGTACACCGACTGTGCAAGTTGTCCCACTTAAAAAGACGAGATGAGTCTAATTTTCATCATAGCTACTCAAACTGTGAGAAACAGAAGCTAAAAAAACTCCAGGAAATCACAATGTCTGATTTTTAAAGAATTTCAGTATCAATATGAATTTCTTTTTTCTATCTAATTTTATGGGACCCCCACCTTCGTAAAAATCTACTTTGGCCATTTTACAGTTTCTCCTCGTTCTCCGGAACAACAGTTTAAAATAACTCTAAACAGTTTAAGCTAGTCCATCAAAAGTGGGTTTAAGTGACTGTGTGAGTAATAAACTTCACCATCTTCACCCTGAACACCACTCTGCAGCCCACTGCTGACCAGAAACAGCACTTAACAGTTTGGTGGAGTAGGTAGGTGCCCTATAAGGGGAGCTCTTTACCTGCTTCACAGCTGTCAGCTGTTATGCTAGCAGTTAGCATTTTCAGTTTGCAGATTGTCAATAAAAAAACACAAGAAAAAGTAAAAAAAGACGTTTACTTTTTTGTGTAGAACATTGGCACGACCTACAATAGAGAGAGCTAAAGGAGGTTACATAATTGCAAACTGATGGTGACCTAGCTTTGTTACTTGACTTGTAATAATACTTTTTGTTCAACAAATAGGATCTTTTTACTTGGTGGTTTATTTTAGTATTAGCTTGCTCTTGTTAATGCTAGCTCGTTGTTAGCGCTAGCTACAATTGGCTGCAGCAGGGTTGTTTACAAAAGTTGTAATCCCACTTGCAACCAGTAGGGCAGGGGGTCAGGAAGCTGGTCAGTGTTACTTTAATAAGAAAAAAAAAAAAGGAAAATCAAATGTCAACATAAACTCAATGGCCACTTCATTAATTACACATTTTAATACAAATATCTAATTGGCCATAAACATCAATTCACATGTTAGCAACTCAAACCATTTACATATCTAGAGAACACTTTATCCCACCTGCCATGCCTTCTCATCAAACGGACGAAGTTTATTCTGTATCTTGTGATGGGGACGGTTTTGTGAGGAAGGGTCCACTGCCCCAGAGAAGATAGATGAGTAGTCCTGAAGATGGTCTGGGGCTGGGTACTTGGCACTGGAGAAAACCTAAACAAATGCGTCAAATTAGGATTGTTTCATCTTGGATTTTAAAATTTTTAAACGGTAATTGCTGTTACCTTGGTGGCCTTCTTGCTGCCTTTAATCTTGTCAACACGGGCCTGAGCTAGTCTGATACGGTCAGAAACGCTCTGCAGCTGGCGTCGGTTTTTCTCTACGCTTTCGGAAACCCTGAAGGCACCACCAACAGGAATAGAACACAAACAAAACTATAAATAAAAGCTGAATACGTCTCAAACTGTGTATTTAACTCGTTCATAAAGATTGCATTGATTATGTTTTACCAACTACATTTTTTTTTACATAGGAACAAAAATCACTCCCACTGGAAGCGGAATTTTCAACCTGAAGCAAGACTTTATAAAGACAAACCCAAATATTTTCTTCCAATTACTCTCTTTTGGAGCTCTGTAGCTTTATAGATATGTTTTCAGAAAAATCTGAACGTATGTGTGCGCACACATGCTTGCCTTCTGAAAATGTCAGTGGAGATCAACTCAAGATACAGCAATGCGTCTGCTATCTGATGAACAGCCTCCTCTCGCCTCAGATCTGGTTGAATGAGGGGCACCGAGTACACCTGGCCCTCCAGGCAGTGCCTCTGTGTCATCCTACAAAGCAGCGGTGCAACAGCAAGGTTAGTAATCGATTAGACATCCAGCTGCGTGCAAAACACATGGAACTACCTCTTATGGGAGAAACATATGAGGTGAAAAGCACTAATCAACTCGTCTTGCAGTGAATCAAACATCACAGACACAGTAAATCTGTGCCAGAGTTTCATGATTTGTCAAAATAACTTACAAAACCCCAAATAAATAGCAGAAATTGTTGGTTTATGCTTTCAGATCGAGCAGACGAAAATAATACTGAATCACTCAATTAAAAGCAGTAATTTTGGAGATTTTAAACACGCTTTTGGGAAAGCCAGGAGATAAAAAGTCATTTAAAAATGGAAATGGTTAGAAAACTTAATTAAGCCATTTTGACACAAAGAGAAGCACAATACCAAGTTTGTGTAAGAAAGTCATCACGGGAACTGGAACAGTTCATCTAGCAACAACCCATCATCTGACTCACATGACGAAGACTCACAAAGAACTAATACTTTTACTTTTTTCTTATTTCCCGGGCTTAATCATCTCAAGTTAGCAAAATGGACCACAGCTAATACATATGTGAGCCAGCTGCTGCTTGGAAATATACTCCAAAAAACAAACAAACAAAAAACAACTAATGAAACAGTGAGATATTGGTTACCGAAGGTGTCACCCGATAACGACGTTGCACTGACAATAATATCCTTACCTCACCATTGGATTTTGATTTCTTCCTAAAGACACTTTGAGAAAAACCTCGAAGAAAATATAGAGTTTAAAGGAGTTTAGTTGTCTGTTATAGCTTACAGATCGACTACAAGATAGCCTAGCAAAACATCGGTTTCATACTTCCGCATCACTGTATCATGTGACCATGTAGAAAACGATGGTGTTGCCTTCATGGTAGCTCGGATAGTTTAAAATTCAAACCTAATGTGCTTATTATTAACCCTCTAAGGCTCAAAATAAGTTTTGATAAAAGGATGAACAACTACGTCCTTTAGGGGTACTTCTGAGTTAAAAAATGTTCATGAAATACATATGTGGAGTAACCAGGTAGGTAGGTTTTAACTGTTGCAAATCTGCACCGCCTGCCTCCAGAGAATCACAGTCGATTATTGTAGTACGGTGGTTTCTGTGGTGTGGCAGAGGTCATAATACCTAGAAGACTGGACTTGTGAATGTAAATGCATCGTAAATCCCAACTGCGCTGCTCTGGGTGGCTGTATGTTGGAGTAGCTCTGTTGACTATATGTAAGTTTTGCCTTTTCTTGGGCATTTTTTTTCTAGTTTCTCAAGAAAAACTGTATTTTTGGACACTTTACTCTTCTGTTTCTGGTGCTGTGAAGCTTGGAGGATTTTTACTGCTTTTTTTTAGCTTTTTCACTTTTTGAGCATTTGTTATGATGCGTAACCATGGCAACAAGCTGTTTACAATGGGGAGCAGCTGATTAACATTGGAAAGGCTGAAATAATACCTCAACTGAAGCCACAAATCCCAAATGAGCTAAAACGCAAGAAGCGTTGATGCAGAACGGGAGCAAAATGGAGACAGAGAAAGAGGAAATTCAAACCATCTCTTCCATCGATCATAATGGGCAATGTGAGATCACTGGCCGACAAGATAGAGGAACTCCAAGCCCTTTCAAGGACTCAGCCAGAGTTTCTGCAGTTTCGAACCGCTGGAGGAGATAATGCAAAGATGGATTCTCCAGAGAATCAAGAAAATTATGGACAACCCTGAGCATTCTCTTCACAAGACTGTCAGACAACAGAAGAGTGCCTTCAGTCAGAGGCTTCTTCAGTTTCGCTGCAACACTGACCGCTACTGGAGATCCTTCCTGCCAACAGCCATTGTAATATACAATAACTCTTTGATGACTTGATTATTATTATTATTATTCTGAGATACTACAGCAATCAATTTCCCTCTGGGATTAATAAAGTATTTTTGAATTGAATTGAATTTAAATGAAATGTTGAAATAAAAGACAAAAGTGGTTAATAGTAAATAGAGAAAAATGTAGTTAACTAAGCTCTAGTTTTGACGCAGAATAAATATTTAATAAAGTGTGCCTGATTCAGAAGAAAGTGGATGCAATGTGTTTGATTTTGAAACAATTTCGAAATCGGAAGTGACGTACTGTTGACTTAATGTTGAGTAGGAAAGAAAAATATGGTTCATGGCTTAAAGACAATTCACGAGTGTTTTATAAAATAAAGAAAAACGCTGTTGTTTGCAACCTGTTTTCCTCGAGGACCTGTCCACTATTTCGCCTGTAGAAAGTGAGACAGAGAATGGAAGTTGTCCCAGTTGCCGGTCGTTGGTTCCATCCCTATAGGTCCAAGACAAGTCAGGACCCCCCTAACTCCAACCCTTATCCGCATATACTCATTAAAGTTGATTAATTCTAAACTTTATAGTAACACCAGAATTTTGATTATACTATAGGGTGTGTTACTGAGACTTTATCAATTTAGTATTTACAAATATAATCTTGGTAAACTCACGACCTCAGCACTGACAAACTTGTGGGGACTCCTTGCTATCTTGTATGGACCCCTCGGAGGGGTTACAAACCCTAATTTGAGAACCACTGGATAAGCACATAAAACTAGATATTTGAGTCATTTTTGCCTTTACTGATATTATGCTTTTGATTTTTGAAACATTTGATACCCAAACAATTTTTGCATTACTTTCAAATAAAATGTATATCTCTGTTTATTATCGATCCAAATGAACCGTCAATGTTTATGTATATCAAATTTAGCAGTGTTTAATACGCCATAAATTGTGTTTTCTCTTTGGTGTAAATCTCTGCAACTAAATGGGCGCCAGTGTATTACCTCGTTTGTCTTGGGATCATTTTAAGCACTCATCATCCCTTGTCGTTAACTAATACATACATAAATAAACTAATTAGTCATTCAAAACCAGGAATTATAAAACTGACAAAAGCTTATCTGCTTATGGTTTTGGGTAATTAAAAGCTATTTTTAACTCTTCAAAAACAAAAAAATCCTGACTGCAATTTTTAGTTTATATCAAACAAATCAACACCGCAGCCACATTTTAAACCAGTAGGGTGCGCTCTTACTCTGGCTTTATCTTTGTGTGTAATGACGCATCTGTCTCCCAGCGCCTCCCCTCCTTCCTGTCACATCTGGATCTGGCTCCTCTCATCAGCACCACTCAGCGCAGTGGGAGAGTGAGGGAGGGAGGGAAGCGACCGGAGAAGTGCTCGGTCGGTGCAGCTTCATCCACAACCGAGCACAGTCGAGGAGAGAATAACTGAAGGACATCCACCTTCTCATTCACACAAATATCTGCACCTACTCATCCCTCCATCCTCCAGACCAGCAGCTTCTCTTTTTCTCCTTCTCCTCTCTCCTCTTGCCTCGGACATTATGAGCTCCAGCTTGTTAGAAAACCCGGTGCAGGCGATTCTGTACCTGCGGGAACTCACCACTATCGTGCAGAACCAACAGAGTCTCATCCAGACCCAGCGCGCTCGGATAGAGGAACTGGACAGGCGAGTGGACGAGCTCATCGGTGAGAACAGACACCTGAGGGACGTCAGGGTACAACATCCCTACCTTCACCATCTTCACCACCATCATTTCCCGGACCCAAGCTGTCTCCATCATCACCACCACCCGCAGGAACCTCAGCTTAAGACTGGTGGGGGGTCTCTGCCGGACCATGCAGCCACACCAGCACAGATCGAGGCGGCTCCGGCCCAACCTTTGGACCCAGGGGACATGCAGCTAGTCCCAGCAGACCTGTCCACTATTTCGCCTTTAGAAAGTGAGACAGAGAATGGAAGTTGTCCCAGTTGCCGGTCGTTGGTTCCAATGACCCCAACAACCCTTTGTCGATCCCTGACCCTGGCAAGGAAATCCGAGTGAGTAAACAGATTTTTTTTGGTTATTTAGTCTTGTTCAGTTCATGACTGTTTCACGACCCCCCTCAAAAGGCCCTCAATTTTATTCCCCAAAGTCTCTGACTTTTCTGACATTAATTTCTTGGATGAGATACCCCATTTGGAGTCCTTTATTGTACTAGTACGATGAGCATCATCCGTCTTATGTGCAATCAAGTGCGTGTGTGCACGCGCGCGTTCCACAGACTGAGAGGCGTTTAATTAATGAAGATGCTGCCTGCAAATTTCCAATTCTCGGCTGTCTGTCGGGTAAGGACTACGTCGGGAGAGCTGGATTATTTAAATGAGAAACTGGATCACGATCAGTGGATCATTACATAACAAACAGCTGTAGGCCTTTGCGCGAGGACGTGCGTGCGCGCGCGCGTGTGAGTGCATGCGTAAAGCATTGGCTAGTGTCAGTTTGAGAAAGCAGTGCGCGGGGGTGATGAGACACCTCGAGTTACTGTCCATGGTGCTGATGGCCTCTCCGTTAATTACAGCACGGGATTCGGAAACTCTCACGGGATTTCCGGGTCTCTGATGTTGCTGTGTTAGTCCTGACTCCTGCATGGCACCAGAGCTTTACAGAACATCACCTAATGAGAGAAAACCCATGATTTACATCTTCCTTTCTCCTGTATGTGAGTTCTGCTCATATAAGTTTCATCTCAGCAGGAGCTCTGATTGGTCTCTCTGGGACTCCACCCCCACTGAGGGGAGCACCATAAAAAGAAACATGTAAAAAAAAAAAAAAGGACATATTAATACCTGGGAGAAAGAAGAAATGATTAATTGTATTGCCATTTCTACTACACATCCCAGATTATGCTCTCATCCATTCTAGACACAGCGTTCTGTCCTCTTTAAAAGCTTACTCTGCAGTATGGCTTCACTTGTATGCATCTGTGGAACCGGATGTGGTCTTAGCAAGATTATTTCATGAACCACTGGACAGATGTTGATGGAAGAACTCAGGGAGATTTAATTTGGATGTTATTATACAAATAAATAACCTTGGGCTTCAACCCAACTCAAGGTTTATCAGCAAATTGAGCTTAAAAAACAAAAGCATCGCCTTAAGTGAGCAGAGTTTTACAAATACGGAGTTGAAATCAGGTTTTGCAGTAGGCTAGTCATTCCAAGTGCATATAGCACCACACAGCATGCAATATATGTGCTTAAAATGATAGAAGTCACTCATTTTTGTCAGCAAAATATCGCAAGAACCACCTTTTAATAAAAATACCAGAAAGTACAACATGTGTAACCCATTTCAAGATGGCAACGAATCAGCCGTTTCTCTTTTGTTTTGCAAACATGACTATAATTACAGATGTTGAGCTAAAAGTTGATTTTGTGGTAATAAAAGTCACACAAAACTCAAACTCTGAGTGCAAACTCAGATAAATAATTGCATTAAACAGGTAAAACTCAATCGTTTCATAACATGGGATGGTAATTTCGGCATGAAAGAGTGACGGGTGATACACATGCTTGGCCTTGAATCTGGTAGTGCAATAAAAAAAGGAAACATTTGGGTTTTTAACTTCAGAAATAAAAAAAAGGCTGAAATAAGAAAAAGAAAAAGGTTGGGAAATAGAATTGTTGGTTAAAACCTGAAATGTATCCTTAAACCACCAGTGGCCCAGTGGATTTTTTGCCCTTCTGCATCAAAATAGTGACAACTAACATCTCATGTTTGCTTTTCCTTCTGCCTGGGCCGGCAGGTGAGGGGGTGGGGGAGGTGATGCTTTAACCTCTCTGTCCTTGCCAGCTGTGTCCTGCCTGAAGCTTAGAAAGCTGACTGAAGATCAGTTCTGCCCTCCATTATTCCTGTTGTCAGTTTGTCTCAGCGTGTTTCGCTTTCAGCTCATGCGTGTGAGTGAGCTTATGGGTTAGGGTTAGAATGTCCATGTAGGAGCATGTCTTACACCTTTTATTGGACATATTCATTAAGTACTTTATGTCTGTATAGACTTAAGTAAATTTTGCCTTTCGGAGAGATGGTATGTTCACTAGTGCTATAGGAGCTCACGGCTGAGTACGTTTGTGCTTTGCATCGCTGTCAGTATTACCGCTGCATGTGAGTGTGCCTGTGTGGGGAGAGCCAGGATCCTCTGCATGTTTTCTGTCTTTCTTTCCAGCTGAGCCTTCTATCTGCCCCACTTAGCCCATGGAGCGAACAGTAATCAGCCATTCTCAGGAGGGGAGAAAGACAGGGAGATTGAACGAGAAAGAGATGCACGCTCAGCCGTTGTCCTTGATGGAACCCTAGGAGATGTCCAAAGGAGGAAGCTTGAGGCCGACACTGGAGTGGACCAAAGAAAGAGAATAAAAAATAAGTTAAGAGAGGAATAGAAGGAATGATGAAAGTGGGGCTGCTTACTACACACAGAGTGTGAGACAAAGCACAGAAGACAGGTTTTTTTAATGTAGTCGGTGCATTTGGGGTAGTTGTGTCCTCAGTCACTCTGGATTGCTCTCAAACAAAAAGATTGGACAAAGAAAGAGACTTCAGCAGCATGTGGTGCAATGGACAGGGCAGACAGTGCCTTGATGTTTTATTTATTTTTTTGTCCACATGAAGGTAATATTATTACTGCACATTTCCTTTTTAGTGTAAGAATCTCTCCTGGACACAGCTGGTAAAAGCTTTGTGTTTAAAGTACTCCGATGAAACAGCCGAGGACAAGGAGAGGACATGAGCCAAAAGAAGGATTTGCATGTACTGTTAAAATATTCACCTGTTCTCTTTGCATGTCTCTTTTGAGGTGAACCATTACGTTATATGTGTCTGACTATATTCTCAACAGAAATATTCATATGCATTTATACACTGCCTGCTAAATAAAATAAAGGGAACACAAAAATAAGACATGCTAGATCTGAATGAATGAAATATTCTTATTAAACACTTTGTTCCTTGCATAGTTGAATTTGCTGATGACAAAATCATAGAAAAATTATCAATGGAAATCAAATTTATGAAACCACGGATGTCTGGGTTTGGAGTCACATTCAAAATTAAAGTGGAGCCGTCAGTTCAGCACGATTGTGTTCGTAATGTTTTACCACCCACAAAGTGAACGGATGAATGTGTATCAAAAATGTTTATTTTACCACATTCTAATTCTAAAAAAACTTTAGAAAATGAAGCTTTAAAATGTTATCAAAAGTCAGGATGTCATACGGTGTATGGTGATTTGACTGGTAAAATGGACCCATCAGGGTGTCACACGGTTGCTAAAATGAATTGTATGATGATCTGATGGGTAAACTGGCCCATCAAAATGTCACACAGCTTAAAAAATGTAAGATGATCTGACAGTGTATGCCTGTCTGACAGACTTGTGTTGTAAGATAGGCATACATGCATCAAAGGAAATCAAATTTATCAAACCATGGAGGTCTGGATTTGGAGTCGCACTAAAAGATTAAGGTGGAAAAACACACTGAGCCAAATTTGATGTCATGTCTTTAAAAATGGTAAATGGCCTGTATTTGGCCATCTAGAGCCCTGGAACCCCCCAAAGCGCTTTATAACACAATCAGTCATTCACCCATTCACATATACGTTCACACACTGATGGTGATGAGCTACGATGTAGCCACAGCTGCCCTGGGGCGCACTGACAGAGGTGAGTCTGCCGTACACAGGCGCCACCGGTCCCTCTGACCACCACCAGCAGGCAAGGTGGTTTAAGTGTCTTGCCCAAGGACACAATGACAGCGACAGACTAAATGAAGTTCGAACCTGCAAGCTTCCGATTATAGGGAGAGCACTTAACTCCTGTGCCACCGTCGCCCCAAGTCAAAATGAGTCTCAGTAGTGTGTGGCCTCCACATGCCTGTATGTCCTGTCTACCATGCAGGGCATGCTCCTGATTAGACGATGGATGGTCTCCTGAGAGATATCCTCCCAGACCTGGACTAAAGCATCTGCCAACTCCTGGACAGTCTGTGGTGCATTGTGGTGTTGGTGGATGGAGCGAGACATGATGTCCCAGATGTGCTCAATAGGATTCAGGGTAGGCGAGCCCGTAGCATCAGAGCATTTATCTTGCAGGAGCTGCTGACACTCCAGCCACCTGAGGTCTAGCATCGTTTTGTGCATTAGGAGGAACCCAGGTCCAACTGCACCTGCAGATAGTCTCACAAGGATCTCATCTCAGTACCTATTGGCATTCAGGCTACTTCTGATGAGCACATGAAGGGCTCCCCAAAGAAGTGCAACCACACACTATAACTGACCCACTGCCAAACCAGTCATGCTGGAGAATGTTGCAGGCAGCAGAACGTTCTCCACGGCGTCTCCAGACTCTGCCATTCCTGTCACGTGCTCAGCTGTGACCTGCTTTCATCTATGAAGAGCACAGGGCCCCAGTGTTGAATTTGCCAATCATGGTGTGTTCTGGCAAATGCCAAACGTCCTGCACGGTGTTGGGCTGTAAGCACAACTACCACCTGTAGACGTCGACCCCTCACACCACCCTCAAGTACGAGGAAAACATTTGTCGATTGCGTTCATGATGTGTTCACAAATTTTTATTTTATCACCTTCTAATTCTGAAAAATCTTTAGAAAATAAAGCTTTAAAAATACCAAATCGACGAGTCAGTGTGTTTCTAAAACAAAGTGTGTGATGATCGCGGCGACAGAGCTTTCTCTGTGGTTGGTCCCAAACTGTGGAACAAGCTACCTCTCAACATCAGGACCACACAGAATCTAGAGCATTTTAAATCCCTTCTTAAGATGCATTTTTTTAATTTGGCTTTTAATGCAGGTTGACTTGAGCATCTTAATAGTTTTTAACAGTTTTTATTACAGATTGTGACTGTTGTGTGCTCATCTTATTTTAGGTTTTTATTGTTGATCGGCTGTATCTTGATTTGTTTTACCTTGTACAGCGCTTTGGGTGTAGCTTTGCTGCTGTAAATGCACTCTGCAAGTAAAATTGACCTTGACCTTGACCTTGCTTTAGATTCTTAAAGCCTTGATCATCAAACCTCAACCATTGCTTAGCCCTAAAACTTTGTTCCAAAAGGAAGGAAATAAAAAGCTTGTGGACTAACAAAGTGCTCATCTGGCATCTCTGGTGTGAACACTCTTCTCGTCTACAGTGCAGGGGACATTAAGCTATTGCAGAATCTTTTATGTGCCTGTTTCCTGCAGAACATAAAGTGAGATCACAGAAAAAAAAGAGTAGACAGAATTTATGAATGCATTTTGTGTTTGCGCTTTAAAAAACCCCAACAACATATACTGTCTTGATTCAAAAACTTGCTCTAGGATAAGACCTTTGTGATCATTTCCAAATCCAGCTCTAATGGCATTATCACAAGCTACACTGTAGCCCCGGGGCTCTCACACTTTGACACATCTCTGTCCAAATTAGGAAGTAAAAACGTAAGAATAGCTTTCTGTGGAAAACAAAGACATGTGCTTAATGTGCTGCTAATTTGCAGCAGTTCAAGAAAAATAAAGATCAAAGAACATTTAAGAAGGGGGTTTAGGCTTCTCGTGTATAGATCAAACTCAAAACTCTATTCTAGACCTACATTTGAATAAACACATGAAAAACTTGTTTTTTAAAGAACTTTTAAAAACACTCCAAGGGCTAGGGCTGGGGTTCGTCAATGTGTGCAGACCCTGAACAGAATGAAATGAATACATAAAAGTGATTGATGGACCAATACGGGAGAGGTTTGGATTTTTAAAGGGGAACTATAGTGTTGGCTTGCTTTTAGCACCCCCTAGTGTCCGTTTGTAGAACCAAAAGAAAAACTTTACTCGCTTTTCAACACCATAATCTAACACCATAATCTAACAGATGAAATGTCTCCCAGCCTTCCCGAGTGTCTACAGGAGTGATTTGTCATAAATTAAACAAATCAGTTGTGTTCATGATCTAAAACATGCAGGAAACATGCTGAAGCCAGACTGCAGCGCCAGGTATGGATGTCAGCTCAATTTTTCTTAGTTCCAACACAGCGGCCCGCCAGTCTGAAGTATCGAGTGGAATATTCTAGCCACAGGGGGCGATAGGGGCCGGGTGACCTTTCATTAACCCTATAGGGTCATTTCAGCACAGACAAAAAAAAAAATTAAAAATATGAAAAAGTTGCAAAGTATCCTTTTAAATTAACAAAAAACCTGTACTTCAATCTAAAGTACACAGAACATCCTGAATTCCAGTGGAAGGTCTTCTTATTTTTGCACTGACATCACACGACAGCAACTTTTCTATTCCACTTGAATGGCAGAACGTATTTTTTTTCTATTCCTCAATGTCAAACTGTCAGAAACCTGCTTTCCATCAATCACTCACGACACACGACACCTTTTTAGGTTAGCATAAACGCTTCACCTGAGTTAAGCATGTGATGGCTATGTTTGTTTGATGACTTCAAGGGAAATGGGTGGATTTGCGTGATAATTTTAGCAAAGGTATGATGCTGCCTGGAGGTGATTAGGTTTTAATAAACAACCAGCTTTGAACCTCCAGGATACCTTTTCTCATTCTGTTTCCAGACAGATGATGCATGACTAAAGTGCATATCTTTTAAAAGAAGGAATTTTGCACAATCTGAGCAAGGTCCCCTCCCCCCCAAACAAATGCATATTTTACCGACCAAACTGAGCACTTTTACTGTGTTGATTTAGGAATTTAATTGAACCAAGTGAAGAAGAGGATGTGAATGGACTTTTAATAATGAATGACCTTAAAAGAGGAAGAAGAGGCAAATAGTTTGAATAATTTAAAGGACATATCTCATATCACCTCCAATAAAGAACAGCTTTATGCATCAAGGTGGAGAAGAAAAAGAAAAAAATTTCAAAAAGTGTGAAATCTTGTGTGATCTGAATAGAAAAATCATTGTTGCAACATTTGTCATTAACCCACACATCTCTAATAAATAAAATGGCAAAAATTGGTTTTGTGCAGTTTGGATTTGTTTTACAATCCAATTGGCATGAAAGATAGCAGGTGAAGGATTTCATAATGTCTGAGGCAAGTGGATGTCGGAAAAAATGTTGAAACAAATCATAATTGGTTTGGAAATTTCAAAAAAGCCCCCAGGGAGAAGGCTGCTAGCAGAAGGCAAATGCTTTTGTTAAGTAAGAAAAAAAGGGAAAGTGAATGCAGATACATGAGATCGGACTGGTAGGACTTACAAGTGCTTATCACAGAAATCAAGTACGATTGACGTTGATTACAGAAAATCCAGGATCTGTGTGGAAGTCGGCGTGAAAAGGTGGCTTTTTATAGCTCAGACTGTCACTCCTGGTCTCACACTAACTCCGACTGCCTGTCACTGTGGCTCTTTGTCATGAGCGCTGGTCTGCACTCAGGTCAGAAAAGATCCTCAGCCTGGCCGAGAATCTCTCCGTCAACTCTGCTCTTTCAACACAATGTGGATGGAAGCTTCCCAAAAAGACGACGTGTTGACGGTCATGCTCGTTTTCACGTCCCTGGTGGTGAAAAACTGTGCAGTGCTCAGAATTTAAGAGAGTAAACTATGTGTGATGTGTTTTTGCTCCAGAAAAAGAGCTCTGAAATATGCATGTTGATGCAAAATGCATGAGAGACAAATGAGAGGGGGCAACCTGACTGGAGAGGAGGAAATGGGAAGCAGAGTTGGAATAATCCTTTGTCCTGACTGGAAATGAGGAATTCTGTTAAATCAGAGCGTATCTGACACAAACATATAAATACTCACACTCACCATGAGCTTCCTAAGCCTAGTGTTGACCTACATTTCTGGGATCAGCTCTAAATTGTTTCATGTAATAGCCCAATCATCCAGAGTCCAACGAGAGACTTTGAAGAATCTTTAGGGATGTTTAAAATGAGCATGAGTGGAACTCTGCCTGTCCAAATCTCCTCATCCTGCAGCTCTATCCCCCTTGCATTGACATTTTCTTCTTCTGTTCCTTTCCACAGGAGTGAGACAGTGCTGCATCAGTTTTGCTGCCCCGCCCCTGAGCATCCAGAGTCCGATGCCTGCGTCTCGTCCAGGTGAGAGCCACCTGCAAGCACTTCCTGCTTTATTTGTTCTGCAGTTTTCTGCACAAATGAACAACAATATCTAAATCTCTGAGCACACTTTGAGTCATCTGAGTCACATCAATACTCTGGCTTGTAATCATGTTGGAGTTGCGTGTGTCTGTGTGTGCACTGCTAAACTGGGCTGGACGCCAGGAAGAAGTGGTGCAGTGAGATGTTTAAATGTGTGAAAAGCCTATAGCTCCACAAGCCTCAAGGGCAACTCGTGCAGAGACAATAGTGGAGGAGGTGGGATGATGCTGCCACTATCAAAGCACCCCTAGCAACCCCCCCCCAATGACACAACAGTTATCTCTACCATAGTAACAGGAGGATCTACAGTAGCCATCTCAACAGGGCTCTTCTGCGTGGGCAGGACTTTAATGTATGAGTGTGTTTATACTACATGCAACTTTTGAATGGCTGGATAAGGATTCTGTACTCTGTTCCTAAACCCAGTCTTTCCCAGCAACTTCTAATACCACGTCTTCCTCCTTGTGTCGCTCATTCCCTCCAATTATTTATCTGCCTGCTGGAAGACCGTGTCTTGAGTACTCATCTCGGCGCAATTATTTCCACCTCATCCCTTTCTCATCAAGTCCGTCTCTCATATTAACACTGCCGTCTGCCTGTCTGGAATTACCCCCCCTCTAACTCTTGATCTGACTTAAATCACAACCACACGACCACTGATTGAACGGGCTGAGGACGGGCCAAGGCAGCGTGCCCCCAGCTGAGATGATGAGACACGGCAGAAATTTGCTAAACCACCGCAGCTCATTCTCATCACCGTCATGTCACGTGACGTTTGCCGTTGCCGTTGGCTGCAGCTCTACAGCCGTGCTCGCAGTCGTCTGCTGGACCCATCAGAGCACTCAAACCTCCCAAGAGATGCCATGAGATCTGCCTCCAGCCTAACCTGCTGCGCCTTTCCCACTCATCTCAGCCTTTGAGTGTGTAGGTGTGCGAGTCCCCAGGGTGCACAGTACTATGAGTCTCTGTGAGAATTTGTGCAGCGCAATTTGACAGAGGCACTATGTGCACACATCTGCATGCTTGTTGCTTCAGCGTGACAGAAATGTGCGCAGTACCCATATTATTAGAGTCTTGCTGGTCAGACGCATTAATAGCTCAAGTCTTGTTTTTAAACCTTCTAATGTATTCTAATGTACTCTAATGTATTCTGATGCAGCACCAAGGCATGGCAGTGTTTTAATAGAGTTTCTGATAGAGACAGCCTTCAACATGCCCACACACACACACACTCTGCCTCCCTCTTCCTGTTTCCTCTCTCTGTTACTTCCTCCCCTCACTCGCTCTGCTTCGATTTTCCCCAACTTTCCTGCATCTGAAGAAACAACAGAGCCTCCCTGGTCCCGACTCATGTCGAGGGATGCAGTGAGCTTGATTTTTACGGCAATCAGGGATAATAAAGGAAAGAGGAAGAAGAGGAGCTTAAGTGATGCACTCATTATTTAAGCATGAGCTAGCTCTTTAGTCTCCCTAGTCATTTTTAGCTCTGGTTCCGTTCCGTGAAAAAAATGATCAGAGTAAGCAGAATTTGGATAGTAGAAAGGTTGCACACACACACACACACACACACACACACACACACACACACACACACACACACACACACACACACACACACACACACACACACACACACACACACACACACACACACACACACACACACACACACACACACACACACACACACACACACACACACACACACTCATAATGGCACTCAGGCATGAAACCTCCAGGGTGTGATCATATATCCGTCTACTTCAGCCCAGTTAGGCTCTTTATACCATGCAGAGACTCAGTGTTTTCTCTCCTCTTGCAAAGGCAAAGTAAAGATTTAAGAACATTACTGGAAGACATAAGAGGACGTCTGTTGTGCCGTGCCAGTAAATGACTTAAGCATGGCTTTTGCAGAATTTTGATAATGCCGCCATGTAAAAGAGCGCTGCACCATCTCTGTCCGGGATTACAGGGGGAGGATGGGACTCCTAGAGCTCTTGGATTCAGATTCCACACTTGACTCAGTTGAGCTCTGACTCTGATTTGAGCTGGATTTAAATATAGCTGCTTCTCGGCTTCCAGCTATCAAAGAGATGATTGTTTGTCAACTATTTGTGGGCTTTCTTCTAAAGTATTTATTTAATCATTCTGCACATGACTTAAAAAATAAAAGTAGAAGATCAAACCATCTATTTTCTTCTCCCAATGCAGCACACTCGAATTATTGTACTTGTCGCAGAAATCCCCACTAAAATGCTCATCCTAATTATGTCATTGCCATGGAAACGCGTTCGCTTTCAGAGAATCGTACAGAGTCAACATTGATCTTCATAGCAAAAATTGAGTGGAATGATGCTGGTGTGGACACGGTGCGACAAATCCAAACGAGAGCAGCGAGTCTGTTGTCTTCAGAGTTGCTGCAAAAATAACTCAGTCTTTGCTACTATCTGCTCTCTAATGCACCGAAACTTCCACGTATGAATTATTATTCTACCATTTTTTTACAGACAGCACAACTCCTTCTTGGAGCAGACTGGCACTTGACTTGGTGTGCTTTTGTGATGTGAAGTGAGAAGCGCTTAAAGGGAGACATTTAAGTCATCAAACCACAGCATGAAAAATGAATGAGTTTCAGTCTTTTATTGCAGCAATGTGCATTTTAGTTTGCTGGTTTAGCTTTCCTTTTTGTCTATATGAGCCAAGCATTTGTCGACTTGCAGAAACAACCAACATTGACGTGTTTACAAGAGATGATGGAACCTTTTGCACAGCTAAATTTAGGAGGAGGATTTAACTAAATGATGAATCAAATTGGCTCTGTGCAGCAAAATTATTGATCCCCAAACCTAATAACAGGTTGCTACAATCCTGGTGCCATCGATCCTTTAGTGGTAATTGGTAACAAATCACTGTGGAATACTTTTATCCTGCTCTTCTTTGCAGAATTGCTTTAGTTAAAGAGCAAGTCACCCCCTACCAGAGTCTAACTCCACTCCCACTTCATGTTTGAAAAATGCAACACATGCTGTTGCCTAGCAGACCGAGAGGGCGGAGCCACTAACAAATACACACACACAGGCTCACCACGGCATTGTGACATCATAATGTACCAGTTTACATCATAGCATACCTCTTAGCCAATAGCGGTGGCAGATTTAAATTCAAACACAGTGCAGAGTTTTTACCCGACAACGACACAACACTGACAGTTTTAGGCAGAAAATTAACATTTTAACTAAAATGCACTAAAGTGCAAAACTATTGACGACACGTGTCTGCAGCACCATTAGACACTCGTTTATTTAGTTTATCAGGGGAAAAAAGTTGATTTGGGGGTGACTTGCTCTTTAAATAACACTGGAGGGCTTTCAAGCATGAACGGTCTGTTTAAGGTCAAAGGTCAGATGTTATCAGTCAGGATTTTATAGTAGAGAGCAAAACTCATGCTTCCATCATTTAAAACAAGTGGTCCACCATCCAGCAAAGCTATACCCCAGACCATCACACTACCACCTCCATGTCTAAATGTCAGTAATGGGAATTCGGGCTCTTTTTAGAGAGCCGGTTCTTTTGTCTCAGCTCACCAAAAAGAGCCGGCTCTTTCGACTCCCAAGTGGCTCCTCAGATTTTCTGTTGCGTAGAGAACATTTATTACCAAAATAATGCAAAACTATATGTGAAATGATTTACTTATGTAAAAAAATGCTATATATCAAATATTTATCATTTCTATGGATTTAATAACTGAACACTTTAAGAAATCTCCACTTTCCGACTGCTGGCACTCATTTTCTCACCGTCTTTGTCGCACTCTTCTCCCCCTCTCTCGTCTTTTTCCTCCTCCTCATTCCCTCTCGTCTCCCTCCACCCGCACGTGCTCTGCTGTGTGTCTGAGTCTGATCCTCCCTCTTCCCCGCCCCTACTGCTCTGTGTGTGGACAGTCTGGACACGCAGTTACACATGTTGACCAATTTCCTGTAGCTTTCACCAAAGCAAGAGGGGAGGGGAGGGGACGGCTCCCAATGACGAGCCGGCTCCCGTCGTTCACTTCAAAGAGCCGGCTCTTAGAACCGGTTCATTTGCGACCGACACATCGCTACTAAATGTTGGTTTAATGCATGTCTGATGAGTGTGTGTGTGTGTGTGTGTGTGTTGTACTATAGTGATAATTTTGAGTACCCTTGAGTAAAAACACCTTTCTGGGCACATTTTTTATTTGATTTGCTCTAATATTTGTTTATGAACTGAGATGCCAAAAACAAGTTCCTACACCTACCATGATCCCAAAAGTGATTTTTGTGCTTGTGTGACGTCAGCTCATAAAACTGGTTCAGATCCTCTGTGTTTGTAGTGCTTTTTGTTTTTATCCAGCAGAGGGTGGCATGCACCACTACCCTTGCCATGACATCATACATGTGTATACGCCCCAACTTTTGACAGGTTTAAAATGACAGTGTGTATTTTTCCTGGCAATAGGGGTCAGTAGATACCTCAATCGTTGCAAGCAAGCAGTATTTTTGGGTTGGAGTAAGACCTTACTGACGGATGCCCATTAGGGTCAAAAAGCCCTGGGGAGTGCAAACTTTAGCAAAAATAACAAGTACACGAGACTCCCTTTCATCACTGGCAACAAGTGACGAGGTAAATGTTTAAAACAACATTTAAGAATGACAAAAGTTTTGTAACCGTTTGTTACAAATCAGTAAATGCATTTTGTCCTCATGGGCAGTGGCGGTTCTACATAGAATTACTCCCCAGGCGAGACATCCCTTGAGCCCCCCCACACACACACACATCCCGTCAACCCCCACCGCTCGCCTGCTAGGAGTCTAGTTATATCCCTTCAACACAAATACACACACACACACACACACACACACGCACGCACGCACGCACGCACGCACGCACACACACACACACACACACACACACACACACACACACACACACACACACACCTGAAGGCTCATGATGGGTAGAAAAAGAAGCAGCAATGTCTTTATCTTCACTATCAGATATTTTTGCAGATAACTCTGGAGACATTGTAGCTGAGGATGTAGATGGAAGCTCATCATCAAGGGTCAAGGCTGTGACTGCTGTGGACAATAAGATAGATGGCAGATCTTGTCCAGCAGGGGAGGTGGGTGGCTCATCCTGACCAGTGGCAGATGATGATCCAAAATATTTTAGAATTGTCCCTGAAATTGCAATTTAAACTGACATAGAAAACACTGTAGACTACCAGAAAGGCCACATTTTATTACTGAACAAACCATGTGAAAAATAATCAGTAACAAATGCAATGAAGGAGCCACACTTCTGACAAATCTGTCCAAACAAGACAGTGGTCTGCTGCTAAACATGTGAAATTAAACAACTAAATGATAAGGCTGCGATTTCAGACTCTTATAAATGCCTAAACAATATGTATTAAATCAATGGGTGTTGTCTAGTTCCCTCTTTCCCTTCTGATATTTATAGTTAATTAATATTTTATAGAACAAAATTCACCTATATTTCAGTAACATTTTAGGTGGTATTTATATCACTCATCATCCTAGTCCAAATCCATCCATCCATCCATCCATCCATCCATCCATCCATTGTCTGAACCCACTTGTCCATGTAGGGTTGCGGGGGGACTGGTGCCTATCTCCAGCGGTCAATGGGCAATCAGGCGGGGTACACCCTGGACAGAGTGCCAGTCCATCGCAGCCTAGTCAAAATAACATATCTAAATATATCTATAGTTACACTATGATCAGTAGACCAGTAATGTATCTCATTAACATGTTCAGTAGCACTGGAAATGCTAATAACAGGATTGTTAGTGAGGACTGGGGACTTTTTTCTGCTTGTAGAGTTTACTCATTATTATGTGAACATGAATCATGATCAACGTGTTTTTGTTGTTGTTCAGGAGGCAGGCCGCAGGCTGCAGTACGCATTTAACAAATCCTCACGCTTGAATCATTAAAAAAGGATTCAAGGAATTTATTCGAACCATTCGTTCCAAACTTTCAGCCCTGTTTGCTCTGTTAGCAATTACTTGGCCGAATTTAACTATTAAAATCCCCAGTTAACCGGTTTAAAAAAATTTTAAAACGTGCATCCTAGCATGAGAACGTACTACCTTTATCTTTAGCCCATTTCCCTTCTTCGTCTGAACTGGGCACCTGATGGTTTTGGCCTTTTTCCGTCCATTTCGTTTGGCACTCGACTGAATAAACAGGTTTCCAATCGTCAATTGCAACAATCAGGAGTCAAGACTAAACCAAATGACCTTGGTGGGTGACCACAAAATCGTTTAGCTTTCCTCTTATTTTTTGGCCATTTCACACAATTCAGAAAAATGTGAAGGAATTATAAGCCTGTATTTAAAATATTATGAATTAAATGTGCATTATATGGAAGAACATCAGCCATCTCATAGTTGATTCAGACCCCCGTCTGTTTCATTTGGGAGGGATCCAGAGGTGAATTCCCCCAAGCTCCTTCCTATTCTCTTCTTCACACCAAGCCCCCACAACGTGGCTCTAAAATTCAAGTACCAAATTGCAGTTCCACCCTCATCCGCTGGGGGCTGGTGTCAGAAGCGAGCAAATCCTCATTGACTCCCATGTTAAAAATACCATTTTCACAGCAGAAATAAACATGTTTACAGCCTGGTGCCAAAACATGTTTTTTGTTTAAATCATCTAGTTTACACTCATGACAAGTCTGAGGTGGTGAATTTTTTCTCACTCTTCTGTTTAAGTGTTTTAAAAGCCTAAAATTCGGTATAATTAATGAGCATCAGACCCATGTGACCACAGGCCGTGGAAAGGCCTCAGTAGAGCTTCGGTCTGGCCTGGAAACTGCTCCGGGATTTTGAGTCTCTGTGTTTGTGTATTCTTTTTTGGATATTATTTGTGCAATTGTTGGACAAAATGACTTGATGTGGCATTAATTGCACTAATAGAGCATCCAAGGAGTCTCCACTTAATTTTTTTCGGTAAGTAAAATTATATTTATGTATTTTAGGTCACTGCCGAGCTGAGCTTAGATTTTAACATGTGCTGTTTAACCACGAAATTTAAATGTAATAGGGTAAAACCCAGTGCATTTAACATAACGCTGCACTTTAGAAAATGTTGGTGGAGCTGGGTTCCGACTATCGGCTTGTGGAGACCGATGTTTTCCACCCGGTTCTCCCCTCCCCGCAGCTCGGCGCATCTCTGTCTGACAGCGGCTTCTGTCTGCTGTGCGGGCAGACGGTTTGGCACGTGACAAAAAAATGATCTAGTCTATTATTAAAATAATAATGGTATAGACCTGGTGTAACTTTATTGTTGCTCCCCCGGTGCATCTCATCAACTGCAGCCGGTCATGTTTTTGTTCCTCATACCATGTGGTGTTAACATCGAAGAATGTTTAGAGAAATGTGCTTCTAAGCCTGAATATTTGAACACTTTCTTCCCCAGTAGCTTTAATTTTTTTATTTTTAAAACAATACGTGAAGAAAATTTAGTACTGATCAGCTTTTTGATCATCAGAATAAAATATTTTGAACATCTAATTTTTAAACAGGACTTTCAACCATCCATCCATTCATGCACACCACTTTCATGCAAAATCCATTTGGAGCTTTTCATCCCCTCGTACCCTTGAAATCGTATTATTGACTCAGATTTACAGGTACACACTGTATGTTATAAAAAACATATTCTGAACAAGTATATAGTGGAAAATAGATGATTTATGTGGGTGTCCTTTATGCTAAGGGAAAGTAAATTGTGTCAATTGTAAAAAGATTTTTTTTTTCTTTTTTTGTTTTTTTTCCCATATAATTTGGTGGTTTTTGGTGACTTGTACCATTTTGTTTGTTTTAATGTAGGTTTTGTGTTAGATTTAGTAAACAAGTAAAAATTACTTGTATAAAGGGGTAGGGATATATAAGTTTCCACTTCAGCCTACTCCTTTTCAAACACAGAAGAAGGGATGATATGTATTTTTTCTGTTTGTGGTATTTTTTTTTTAAATTATGTATGTTTTCTTTGTTTGAAATAAACGAAACTAAAAATTTTTTTTTACAAAAATAAAAATGTTCGCTGCTTCTAAAATAAAACAAAAAGAGTCATTTGGAGCTTTAGCGTATAGCTGATGGTAAAGAAAGAGGTCTGGACAGTGTGTACTCTGAACTTCTTAGTATTCAACCTGAGTCTACATCCAATAATTCACTTTTGCAGTGAAGCTACCGTTCTGACCAAATACGACTGGACACATAAAGTCAGTCATCTTCCCCTCAGGTCATCACAGTCCACGTTCTGCCTTTTATACGAACCTCTTCACATTCTGCAGAGCTGATGGCCAGTTCCCGTGATAACAGCAGAGTTTTGGGTCTGACAGATGTGTCTCTGTGTTTTTTTCCTGCCGCAGCGGACAGCTGCTGAGCCTGGAGGATGGGATGTCCTCTGGTGGAGGACAGGAACCAGAAGGGATGAAGAGGGAGGGACCCAGCGAATACGAAATAAGCCTGGAGAATAAAAACAAACAGGTGAGTCCCAAGCCTACCCATAAACGCATGAAGTGGTGGAGTAAAACTCCTGGCAGCTCCACCTGATTTAGCACAAGGAGTCACAGAGGTAAGGCGGATCACTTGACATCACCTTGCTTGGCAAAAAAGAATCCCATTCAGATCTATTTCTGTCTCTGTTGACATGAAAAAGAACACCCAGGATACCAACCACCACAGCGACAGAAACAGAAGAGATGCTAGGTTGTCATGGTAACAACTAATAACCGCTTGTGGTGGCTGGAGATGTCTTTATTCCTCATAGCAAACAACTGAAGGGTCTGCCCTGGCTTCAGCTATTGCTTCTGCAGAGCATATGTGTGTGTGTGTGTGTGTGTGTGTGTGTGTGTGTGTGTGTGTGTGTGTGTGTGTGTGTGTTGACATCCACTCTTGGTTTGAGCAGATACACACCAGACACAGGAGTGGATGTCCTCCTTTTGCTTTCCCCGCTGCCTCTTCTTCCTCTGCTTCCCACTCCTCATCTTTTGTTTCTTCTTGCTGAAATTATTAACATTCTGAAGGATGGGAGCAGTTTTAGGTGGAGCTGCTCCACCAACAAATGGAGCGAGGCTGGGACTGTGAAGGTGTTTGCTCTTCTGTCTTTTGTCACAGTCCATCTATCCTCTTTCACATGGTCCTTTAGCCAATATTTACAGCTGAATGATCATAGTTGATGCTTTTCTCTCTGGTATCTGAAACCAAACCCCGTTTTAGAAAAACCCAAGAGATAATGACAAAAGATAACTCTAAGAAGGGTGTGAGTGTGAGCTTTTGGATCTTTTTTGCAGACGTGTTTGAATGCTGATGAATGATTAAATGCCTTTCAGTAGATTCATCACTCTTCAATGGCTCTCATCCTCCTGTTAGCGTGTTTGATGGACTCACTCCTGCTCACCGACTCATCTTTTCCCAGATAGAGGAGTTGGAGCAGAAGTATGGAGGCCATCTGATCGCGCGGCGGGCAGCCCGTCGCATCCAGACGGCCTTCCGTCAGTACCAGCTGAGCAAAAACTTCCAAAAGATCCGCAACTCGCTGTCGGAGAGCAAACTGCCTCGCCGTATATCTCTGCGCCACCCCAGCCCATCAGGCCGAAACCGGAACGCAACCCAGAGACACAGCTACTCCCTGCATCCTGGAGGAGGACAGATCCCCCTACGATCTAAAACTCCACCTCCGCCTCCCTGTCGCTCCACCTCTCTCCCACCATCTCCTGCATCGGCCCCTGCAAGCGCACCCTTAAACACCCAGAGCCAAGCTCCCCCATCAAGCCCTGGACCTACTCTAACACAGCTGGAGGACTGCTTCTCTGAGCAAGTGAGTGTTTGAGGATGAAGACATGTATGTACTGTAAGTGTATGTTATTTGGAGAGGCATTTACCTGAAACATTTGTGGTTCTCTGTAAAAGAATGTCAGTGACAGTGAAAATGGGGTTTTTATGAGATCATCCAGTGATTACTATCTCATTAAGATGTCTTTAGTTTGAAAATCATTGCGGATTAACTTCTGGGAGTAAACATTTTGTCTTTTTTGAAGTGATTTTAGTGATTGATCTGAATTTCCTCTGCAATTTTTAATAAGAGCTGTTTCAAGGTCCTTGATCATCTCCATCTTTACACGTGAAAGACTTTGGTTATCTTCATCTTTTCTGTTTTTGAGAATGGATGCCGTTACATTCCAAATTAGCTCGTGTCTTTTATCAATGGAAACTCCTTTCAGAGGTTGTGTTTACAGAAAAGTTGTCATGTGAGAGTGCTCGCCCTGGTTTTAGGTGAGAAGAGACCTTAGATGTATAAATAAGTGCTCTCATACAAATACTTGACATTTTTATGTAGTTCTCTTTATGTTAGCACATTAGCATTATGAACTAAAGCAGATTGGCTCCAAAGGTTTTGATCTCTAAAATAATCTGTAATCAATCAGATGCGAATGACTTTCTGCTTTTTTAACTTTTCTTTGCAGCTTCACTCCTTGGCTCAGTCTATTGATGAGGCAATTCGTGGCTGGAGCATGTCGGAGAGCGGGGAGGGGAAGGGGCTCCTGATGGATCCCGGGGCCCTTCGAGCAGCTGCAGAAAGTGCCGGCCTGCCCCGCAGTGCCAGCTCTTTGCTAATGGCCTTCAGAGATGTAACAGTTCACATTGACAGTAATAGCTCCTACACCATCTCTTCTACCACCACCACCACCACTACCTCTCTGGGAAACGCAGGAGGAGGAGGACCAGGCAGCAGGAAGACCTCTGTTAGCGGAACGGGCGTTGGAGCAGATGGCCAGTTGTTGGATGAGCCGGAGTTTCCTGCACCTCCTCCAAGCGAGGAGCTGGAAATGACTGATCTGGGATCCAGGAGGGGCTCAGCTATCCCGGCAGCAGGAGGTGCAGAAGGGGAGAGCTGCTCAGATGGACAGGGATTCACCTCCACTTCTACTTCTACCTCTACATCAATTTCCACCTCAACCCAACCTAATCAGCAGCCCGCTCAGATTTACACCCAGTACCAGCAGTACCACTACACACACCCTCAGCAGATCCCTGCTGGTCAAACTCCTGAATCCCTGCAGGCTCTGGTTGTCTCTTTGCCGAGGGACCGTTGCCAAGACCCAGTTTCTTGCCGCTCACCAACCCTGTCCACCGACACCCACCGCAAACGCCTCTATCGAATTGGCCTCAACCTCTTCAATGTGTGAGTGGGATAAAAAAAAACACATCTGAAATGGTTCTGCATCCTCTGGTTTAGTGCCCAAATCACTGATACTTGCACCTCTAAGCATCACCTCATTAGTGTTTGAGATCACTGGGAGGAGCTGTCTATTTAGCATCGTCTCAAGATGGTGTGGTGTCCGTGAAATAAGAGATCAAGTGGGGGTGGGGATGGAGAGAGGACTAAATGTTGCAGAACAGTGAAGAGGCAGACAAGGAGGTCATGAACAACGTGAGAGCCACTCAGGTTCTATAAACAGAGTCTACGGTCGACCCCCACTTCATATTGGTTAAGACAAATTAAAGTAAATTACCTCAGTGACAGCCGAAGTCCTGAGCTAACAGCTGTTCTGCATGAATGCACTCTTCTTCTCCTTGTTTGCACTCCCTGTTATGCACACACACACACGCACGCACGCACACACATTTTTATTAAATACAGAGTGAATACAGAACCTAATATCTGCTAACACATTTTTGTCCTTTCTGTTCTTGGGGAACAGGAACCCAGAGCGAGGGATCCACTTCCTGATCACACGTGGTTTTGTCCCGGACACGGCGATCGGAGTGGCGCACTTCCTCCTGCAGAGGAAGGGCTTGAGCCGACAGATGATCGGGGAGTTTTTGGGAAACAGCAAGCTGCAGTTCAACAGGGATGTCCTGGAGTGAGTGCAAATTCATGACAATTTATTCTCAAAGCCAAACACAGTCCTTGGTATGGCTTTTAAACCAAAACAACTAATAATTTCACAAATGCAATGATTAATATGAATCTATAACTGAGATTTAACTTTCGGGGAAAACTTTTTCTTCCTGTTACAGCTGTATAACCTGGGGACACCCGGGACAAGTCTCCAGTCCCTGACAGGGACACACGACTGTTCACATACTCATGCTGACCTAGGGTAAATTCAGAGTCTTAAATGAACCTAAATTAGTATGTTTTTGGTCTGTGGGAGGAAACGGAAGCACCATGGAGTAAAACCCACTCATGCATAAGGAGAACTTGCAAACTCTGTGCAGAAAGGCCTCAGCAGGGTGTAAAAATGGCAAACACACCGCCATCTGAGCCACCATGCAGCTACACTGTTTCCCTTGAGGGTTAAAATCTTAAAGATGCAGTATGTAAGGATTTAGTGAGAATTTTACAGTGAGAAAATCCCAAAAGAGTCTAATGTTTCAGTCATTTTGGAAGGAAGGTTATTTCTATCCATCCATCCATCCATCAATTTTCTGTCATGTTCTGGCTAAGTCTCCTGAATCAATCACAGGAGGAGGGTTTAAAAAGAGAAACAATATTTATTTTTCGTAAAGGAGAACTAAGGGAGCGCCGTCGACGTGAGGCGAGGGTCCGTGGTGGTCGATTTAGTGGAAGGATGGCTGGAGCTGGAGAGGGAGGTGGTCAGGTCTGAGGAGGGTTCGAGCGCGAGAGAGGTTCTCTGGAGAGGAGGTGAGTGCAGGGTGAGTGGTGGAGAGTGGGTCGGTCTGGCCGGGCAGGGAGAGCGTGGTCCAGAGATGATGTCTGTCTGGTTATTGCTGGAGAGCTGGTTGTGGAAAAGGGTACCTGGAGACAGGAAGACGGTTTAGGGACTCGAGAGGCTAAAGTGGAGCAACACAGGTTGAGTTGGCACACTATCTCAGGTTGAGTAGAGCAATCCCCAAAGTGAGTAATCATCCGGCAAGGTGGGGTTGTCTTCCTGCTCCTTATAAGCCCAGACCGGTGATTGAGAATCTGCTGCAGCTGCCCGCTCCTTGGCTCCATCCATCTGCATTTGAGCACTCACACAGGTTAGAACCATTCACCTCAGATTCTGACATTTTCAGCCACTCATCCGGAGCCGGGTTGTAGGGGAAGCTGCCTCAGTCCAGACACCCAGACTTCCCTCCCCAGCCACTTGGGCCAGCAACTCCGGGGGTATCTCAAGGCGTTCCCTGGCCAATGTGTCCTGGGTCTTCCCTTGGGTCTCTTCCCAGTTGGACATACCCAAAAAACCTCACCAGGGAGGCTTCCAGGTGGCATCCTGACCAGATGCTTGAGCCACCTCAACTGGCTCTTTCAATGTGGAGGAGCAGCTGCACTACTCTGAGCCCCTCCCAGATGACTGTGCTTTTCACCCTACATCTAAGGGAGAGGCCAGCCACACGGCAGAGAAAAATCATTTTGGCCACTTGTATCCACAATCTCGTTCTTTTGGGCACCACGCAAAGCTTGCGACCATAGGTGAGTGTAGGAACATAGATTGACTGGAAAATCAAGAGCTTTGCCTTCTGGCTCAGCTCTTTTCACCACGACAGATTGATACAACACCCGCATTACTGCAGACGTAGACCAATCCACCTATCAATCTCACGATCCATTTTTCCCTCATTTTTGGACAAGACCCAGAGACCCTTTGCCATGACTCCCAGGCTGACACCCTCCTCTGCCTCTGCTGCCTCCTCAATCGAGCCCTCAGCCACTCAACTACCATCACCTGCACCCTGTCATCAGCTCATCTCACTCACCTGCTCCCTCTGCTATATATTCACCAGCCAGCCACCAGTTCCCTGACAGATTATTGAACGCTCTTTGTTAGTAGACCTTCCAGCCTTTCACCTTGCCTGATCACAGCCTCCGGACCTCGTTTTCACGCCTGACCCCTGCCTAGGACTCAACCTGCCATCACGACCCTCGCCTGTCTTTGACCTCTTCTCTAGCCTGCTCCATTTACCTGCTTCGCCTCGTTCTGGTTTTGACCCACGCCTCCTCTCCGACTCTGTCTCCAGCCTCGCCCTCCTCGGGTAACGCCACATCTAATAATGACTTTTAAATGAGCTTTACTGTGTTTGGTGTCATCACGGGTCCTCCAAGTTCTGGTCGTGACACCCTTAAACTTCTCCACTTGAGACAGGACCTCCTCCCTGACCTGGAGAAGGCATTCTACCCTTTTCTGATTCAAGACGATGGTCTTGGATTAAGAGTAGCTGACTCATGAAATGTATTTCATGTCCAGCTGGCTATGGGGATTGTCAGTTTTCCCTTTTCAAAACAAAGGAAGGAGGGACGTAACTACTATTTACCATCAGTGAGTGTGGGGTTGTCGTGTCTCCTGCGAGCTAATACTGCAGCGCCGACAATTGTAATTTGATGACGGCTGACAAAAAGCTCCAGTGGTTGCAGTAACCAAATTTTACCACAGCATGCCATTTTTACTTCATTTCTACTTAATGCACCTTTAAGAAAGAGTTAAATGTTTTTAAAAATTTATTTTCCAAATCTGGAATTCTTTAGATGACACTGAAGATTTCCCCAAATGATATTTTGAACTGATCTACCACCTCCATTAACTGCTCCCCATCTTGTAACTCCTGTACTGCTGACTTAAAAAAAAAAAAATTTTTCACACTAACTTTGGAACAAGACCATTTAGACCATTTAAAAGTCCATTTTAGAAAGGAAAAAAGTTTAAAACTGTATTTAAACTAATGATTATACTCCTGTATTTTACAATGGTTCAGTGACGGTGAACACTTTGCTTTTAAAGCTCTCAGATTCGTTTTTACATCGTGAGCATTGTGCTCTGGAGGACCCTGCTGCACCGGAGGCTCACAAGTGATAAACAAAACTGAAAGTAATAGCTAGAAAACAAACAGAAGGCCCTCGAGAGAAGAGAAATCTGCAATAAAAAAGACTAAAGCTAAGCAAATGGATTTTTGTTAGCTTTGAAAATTGAGGATGAAACATTGGTTAAAAATTTGTTTATCTTTAAATTAGTCATCTCAAGTATGCGCACAAACCAACATCCGAACATGAATGCATTCATGCAGCAAACATGCAACTTTGCACACTCGCTTTTTGCATCCACAAAGATCCAATGCATAAAAGCTTTTTGCAGAACTTGTCAAAATAGGCCACTGCTCCGAACACACTCCAACAGCCTCATTTTCTTTCTCTGAGACACACACACACACACACACACACACACACACACACACACACACACACACACACACACACACACACACACACACACACACACACACACACACACACACACACACAAATATGCACGCTCAATCTTGTTGATGTACTTCCTTCATTGCAGCAGTCGGCTCATGGACCTTTATGTACCTTTCTCTTGTATTATTTGAATTTCATTATTTTGTCATGCTCATCACTCTTTTTCCCTTCGTCTAATCTCCAGCTGTCACCAGAGACTTTCCTCTCCATTCATATTTGCACAGTGTGTGTAAGTGTGCACATGTGCAAACTTGCTGTCTTCCAGGTCAGCAGCTCTGTCATGTAAATGGGTTTGTAAGAAAGAGATTTGTCATCAGCACTTATAAATATACTTTGTTGCACATGTGACCATTCCTACCTGCTTAAAGGCCAAGTTCTCTGAGAAAACATTTGTTTGATTGTCATATTTGAAATACAATCGGTCACTCTGAGTTATACGCGCAGGCTGAATGTGAAAACAGTCTTCTACTCTATGTCCTGCATTAGCTGCCGATACACTCTAAATGAGCATTCATGGATTCACCCGTGTTGGTTATAAAATCTGGGAAATCTTGAGAGCAGTGTGTGTTTTGGCTAACCATTAGCTTTAGCAACTCCACTACATGGCAGAACTTCGACAGGCTTGTGTTATTTGTGGAGATAAAACATCAACATTGCAGAGCGAAAGGAGGCAGTGGAAGAGCTGCGTTGCTGTTAGCCAAATTCTACTTCCTGAAACAGAAGCGCCAGAGCTTTTTGTCCACAGAGAGCAACTCATAAGGCATTCATTCATGGTAGAGACCACAGAAGATGAACTGGGAAACACATTAAGTCCAGCTTGATTTACCTATCCTCTTATTTTCTTTTCATCTCTTCGTAGCTGCGTTGTGGACGAAATGGATTTCTCAGGCATGGAACTCGATGAAGCTCTGAGGAAGTTCCAGGCGCACGTTCGTGTTCAAGGAGAAGCCCAGAAAGTGGAGAGACTCATCGAGGCTTTTAGGTGAGACACGCTCACCACAACTAGCAAGAAAAAAAACTAAATAAAAGGACTTTGCGTCGTAGCTCAACACAATGAGTTCTTTACATAACAGGCTTTCAGGAATTCTTTGAACTTTATAAAACGACTAGACTTTTTTGCTTGCAGCTTTACATGCAAAACAGGAAAACATTGACATAATTCACGTATTTAGCAACATTCCTCGGAGCCCTCAGCGTGCAGACTTGTCCAGAAAGGCAAACTAACAGTGTAATAACATACAAGCACTGCATTAGTTTTGCTGTCTCACCTCTGTAAGCTCTGATGACACCAAAGCTCTGTATCATTAGCAAATTACACTGATTGCTTGCAACCTTTAACTAAACTCTGCAGTGTTTCTGATTGTAAGCCACGATCCCAACAGAGAGCTCCACTGCAGACAATCAGTTTGGTTTCCATTAGGACCAAAATAGATGCGTTACTACTCTCTCCCCTGGATCACCCCTCATTTCCAGATCCTCTGGTTTTGCTGGTAGTCGTGATTTGTGAGTCAGTTTACTATTTCAGTTTAGTCAAGGTTATGTGCAAGTAGATGAAGCCTGAGTTAATTTTCTGCACATTTTCTCAGTCCTTTGCAGTATGAGCGTATCTGCTTATGATGCATAAAAATATCAGAGGACCTTAAAGAGCAAGTCACCCCCAAATCAACTTTTTTTTGCTTATAAACTAAATAAACGAGTGTCTAATCGTGCTGCAGACACGTGTAGTCAATAATGTGGCACTTCAGTGCATTTTAGTTAAAATTTAAATATTCTGCCTAAAACTGTCAGTGTTGTGCCGTTGTCAGGTAAAAACTCTGCACTGTAATTGAATTTAAATCTGCCACCGCTATTGGCTAAGAGGTATGCTATGATGTAAACTGGTACATTATGATGTCACAATGCTGTCGTGAGCCTGTGTGTGTGTGTGTATTTGTTAGCGGCTCCGCATTCTCGGTCTGCCTGGCAACAGCATTTGTTGCATTTTTCAAACATGAAGTGGGAGTGGAGTTAGTCTCTGATAGGGGGTGACTTGCTCTTTAAAGAGACCTGCACCAGTTGGTCCACTCTTTTGTGAAATTGTTTTTATTTGAAAATCGTCTAAGGCAAAGACAAACGGACATGACCTGCACAGGAGTGATGTCCGCCGGCTTTAACTGTCCTTGAAATGTTCCAGTGATATCCTAAACTTTGTCCCGAGGTCTAAAAAAGTAATAAAAATCCCATTTTTGTTTTCTCCTCCACAGTAATAGCTTGTGCTGCAGCGTAAGTTTAATACCCCTCTGCAGATGTGCTGCTATTTCCCTCAGGAATATGTCTCCAGCATGACATGATTTGAGTCACCGTTCGTTTGAGCTCAATGACTAAGACGTCCTTTTCCCACAACAGGGGCATGATCAGAAACGTGCTGCCATGTAGTTTCAGTCAGGCTGAGAATGCCATCATGGTGTGCCACTTTGTAAAAAAGCAATAATTCAATTACGTCCTGCTGCAAACTCTTTGGGATTTGAATCGTTTCACATGTCTGTAAGCTGCTCAAATCTGATTGGTTGTTGAGTTTCTCATGATTCTCCAAACTGAGATCACTTTAACTGATGCCTACTAATTTAGTAGTGCGAACATGAGTTCTTAAACCACCGAATAGTTCCCGAGCACAGCCACTGCTGCAGCTCACGGCTTCCCATGGGAATGGGGGGAATGCAGGGATATAATTTCACCAGTGTGTGATGATGACTAATGAGACTTTATGTTATATTTGCATCGTTTAGTACCATTCCAGCTCCACAATATTCGTTTTGTGTTGGTTGTGTAATAAGCAGTGTCCTTTGTAGATCCCATTTAACTTGATTAAAAAACAAAAGTTATCTTTCTTTTGGGTTTTGGAAAACAGCAGGCACAATAAAGCATCAATGCTGAATTTTTATGTGCTTCATTGGCTTAAAATCAAAATTAGGAGCACCAATATTTCACTTATTTAAATGGATTGGTTAAAGAAAGCATCCAATTAGTTTGAGATTATTTCCACGTTGGAAACGGCTTCTCTGTTGTTTTGATGATTGGGAGTCATCTTTTCATTCTGTGTTTGGGTGAAGATGCACCGATTTATAGAACCATCTCTAAATGTCATCCCTACATGCCTGCGCACTCGAGCGCTCGTTAACACCTCTTCATTTCACAGTCTGCATTATGCATGACAAGCTCAAACCCATCTGATCCAAACAAATTTGTTTATTTTGGTTTGATCTATGACCAAAGAATATGCCTCTTGTTAAGCCTATTATCACGTTCTCTGGCAGAGGTTGATTTGCAGCTTTGTGCTGCTTCGTGACAACATTTTTTTTTGCTTAGTTAAATTTAGTCTTTTAACTACATCCTTTGAGCTGTGTGGGAACTTTTGAAACACTGTGGCATGAACGTGTCCATAGCATAATTTTCTGAGTGCTAAATCCTTTGTTATTGCCTGTGCAGCTCTGTTTTTGCCTCCCACCTATTGCTGCAACCTTGCTTTAGCTTATTACGTCGTAAGTTTCCTTTTGCTGGATCCTTTTCTGTGGTGTCTGACTTTTTTAAGCAATTTCAAGCAGAGCTAAGTAGCATTCGCATTACTTAATGGAACACATCAGGCCCAAAATGTATTGATTGTTTTGTTATTATTGTTTTTATGGCATTTAAAGTTTAGAATTTCTTTGAATTTTGTATTAATTTAGTTTCTTTGTATTTTTGACCATTGTTTTCTCTTCATTCTACTTGTTTCCACTCCTTTTACACCTGCCCCCAATCTAAATACCGAAAAACACAAATAACATGGTTCATCCTAGCCCTGTTATATGAGCTTCACATCACTCTCAGTTTTGCATTATGCTGTTTTTACCATAATTCTATATGAGCATAAACAACAGCTGCTCTCTTTAGTGTAGCTCTGTGCACTTCCTGCAGGACTATCATAAATAAAATGGGCACAAAAGGCAGGGAACACATTATGCCAGTGTTGGCAGCACTTCACTGGTTGCCTGTGAAGTTTAAAGTTCAGTATAAAATTCTTACTCTTGCTTACGTGGAACTGCACCTGTTTACTTGTCAGCATTAATACAACGACACGCCCTTTCATGCACACTTCGCGCAGCCGAGCGTGGCATGTTGGGGGTTCCTCGTGCCAGGCATAGATCACGAGGAGATCGTGCATTTGCTGTTTTGGCAGTTACGCTCTGGAATGAACCACCTTCGAATCTTAGACAGGCGCCATCATTGCAGGTTTTTAAGTCAAACTTGAAGACACGCTATTATGCTCAAGCCCTTTCAGCATTGGGATCTGCAACGTTGCACTAGAATTCTTTCTTTTGAGGTTTTTTGTTATTCTGTTTGACTATTTTTGTTGTCTTTTTGTTGTTTTTCTATTGGCTGCAGTTTTTTTTTGCCAAATGTTGTTTATCAAATGTTTGTGTTTGTGTTCAGCACCTTGGGCTTCTGCTGCGGTAGTGGAAGGTGCTTCATAAATTAAATGAAATTAAATGAATCTTTCTGCAGAATTAAATGTGTAACTTGAAATAAAAGATGGCAGTAACGTTTATAAACTAAACTTTATTATAAATAAAGTTAACATGAACCCTTATTATATGTTTGAGATAGGAGTTGGTCAGAGAGGGCAGTAATCCAATTTATGACCCCACTTAGAGCTGTTAGCTCCTAAAAACTGTCATAATTGAACCAATGTAAAGTAGATCCATCATTTTCCATTTGAACTTTTTTATTTTATGCTTGAGTAAAATAGTTAATTTTATTTAATTATAAATAATGTCACCTACTTATGATTTAATCTTACCCATTAGTGGGTCTGTCATGCCGCCCTGATTTGTTTAATTTGCGACAGACAATCAACTTTCATTATGTGAAAAAATATTCACCCTTTCATAAACCCTTCTCAGCATCCTTGTTTCAAGTGGCTTGTCAGGATCTGCTCCTTCTTCCTCTGACGTGTTGTCCTGTCTCCCCTCGTTACCTTACCCACCTGTTACCCTCATTATCCTCATGCATTTAAACCCTCAGTTTGGGCTGGACTTTGTCAGATCCTTGCCTTCTTCCTGTATCTTCCCACCTAACATTATTCATATTAAACAATTCTTTGACCTGCATTTGGGTCCTATACGGCAAGCACTTCTACATCATGACAATATATATTTTTTTGCTTTAAGTAGCTTTTCCTCGTTTAAATGTATAAATCTTAGTTCTGTGGAAATCGGTCATGATTGCGAGTAAAGACCTGGGTGTTTTGTTGTCACTTTTATTAATCATGCTTTTTATTCAAACTCAAATATTCCACAGCTGCCACCTCCAGAATTGAAAATACATGTGTGAATAAGGTCCTTCCAGCGTTCATGCTCCTTATTTTTTAGCCTCATCATCAGATCCTACTGTGATGCAGGCTGCACAGAAATGATGCGGGCTTTTTCTGGCACAAAAGAGAAATTTTATAGAACAATCAATTTCTTTTTTGACCAAATCTTTTCATAATTTGGATGAATTGTGTTTAAAACTTTTCACCATTCCTTTAGAGAAAGTTTAACTCCTCCAGGAAGAGAAAGAAAGGATCTTTGATACTGACCTGATGGACAATCAGGACACCCACAGCGGTTATCAGTTAATCGCACCACACTCGTTCGTTGGCTCTGAGCCTCTGGGTGTAAATCATAAAATAATCAGTGACCTGCAGCCACAACTGGAGTTTGGAGTGCAGGTCAGAAACGAGCTGGATATTTATCAGGAAAGCCAGACATCCGATTCCACATCTGTTACGTAACGGCTGTTATGTCATCCGTTTGCATTACGTTGTGCTCTTGTAGGGAATGGTTCTTTTTTATATAAAAAATGGTTTTTTGTGCCAGCTGGCATACAACTTTTCTATGCAGATATTAAGCTAAGAGGTTAGGGGCCGGAGTTTAAATAAACCTGTTACATAAGAAGGGAATCTGTGCTTGAAAATATGTGAATGGAACAAAAAAATGAGTCGTTGCACATCCTTGTACTTACCACTTCATTTACTCTCTCAGTGCGTGCACACGTATGCTCTTACACGCGTATGCACATGTCCATTTGCATTCTACACACTCCAGCAGAATTGCTGCAGAATTACATCAACCTGGAAAATCAGGAGATTTGTTTGTGCTTCTATATCTCTCTGTGTGTGTGTGTGTTACATCTGCAGGGCCATTCGAGCCAGGCAAGAGCTCCTTCAGGTACAAGCAGTTTTGAACCAGGCTGGTTGATTGATATCCAATAAGTTCTCTTTTCCTTAGATCTTCTATAGGATGTGGGAAATTGTTTAGTGGTTACGGGAGTCTCAGATGCAGCCTCTTGGTTGCACATGATTTGACAAGTACACAGTTCTTTAAAGCAGAGCATCTTTCTCCATGTCTGCATCCTGTCTGGCTGCAAAGATAAAAGCCTCCCACTTCTGAAATGGCCCACTGTGTAAGCTATTTTGACAGCGTGGAGAGGGAGCTCTAGGGGGGAAAGGAGAGGTGGAAGTGAGAGTTTGTGGAGCCCAGGGGCAGCAGTGGAGCAAAGAAAGGCCAAATGCTGCCTCGCTGGCTCCAAAGTGGCATTACCTTACCGAGGGCAGAACTGTTTTGGACTGCCAAGCTCGTCCTCTGTTCTGTCACTCATCGTACAGTTGCTGTTCCTCGTGTCTGAGCAGAAATTTAATTCGGTTCTGCTTCAAATATGCAGACAGAGGCTAGAAAAGTGTGTGTTAAATCATGGCATCATTTTTAAAAACAGTAATGATGATGCTTCCTTCTTCTCATTCCGTTCAGTCATCATGACACTTGCTTATGAATTTTTTGATTTTCTGTATGGCAAAGATCCTAACCACCAATGGGGCAAAGAGGAAGGAGATGATTCAGAGGGAGAGCGTACCCCTCCGCCCTTCATTGGAGGAGCTGCTGTGGAGATAGCTAAATACTTGATGACTGCACATGACCACTGACCTCGCACAAGCTGCTAACACAGAACCAGAGCAAAGATAAAAAATAACAGACCCCATCCAGCCAAGCCGTGAACTATTCAGCCTTCTGCCTGGAGGAAGGAGCTCAGATAGTTCAAAGTGACAATAAATTCATCCAAAAAGCAAATGATTTTTTGTATGATAAAGATGCACAAATCTAACATTAAAGCATCTATTCACTACATTTTATGGTTATGTAACCACTTAAAAAATATTCGGCTGTAATTAGATTCAACCTTGAGGATTTTGTTGCACCGATTATTCAAATTTCAGCCGTGCCTGTTTATCAATTTGAACTTTTCCTTTTAAAACACATAAAAGAAGCATGACTGTTTTCTAAAATGTCTAAATTCATTTGCTCTTGATGTTGCACTTCACAGTCAGAGGTACTGCATGTGCAATCCTGATGTGGTGCAGCAGTTTCACAACCCAGACACCATCTTCATCCTGGCCTTCGCTGTGGTCCTCCTCAACACCGACATGTACTCCCCCAACATCAAACCTCAGCGCAAAATGGGCCTCGACGACTTCATACGCAATCTGAGAGGTTAGTGTGGGCATCTAAATGAACATTTCACAGAGATGCTGTGGTTTACAGGATCTACTATGAATCTTCCACGTGAAAGGAGCCGCTGTGATGAGCAGCAGATGGGTTCCAACATTTATGACAAGTGACTTTTACATGCAGAGGGTTTGGGATTGGATAAATATAGAAATGACACACACACACACACACACACACACACACACACACACACACACACACACACACACACACACACACACACACACACACACACACACACACACACACACACACACACACACACACACACACACACACACACACACACACACACACACACACACACACACACACACACACACACCTCAAATGTTCCACTGCAAATATTGAAGAAATTCATTGGATTGAAATGCCAGAAAGAATGATGGGGGAGATGAAAACGAGAGCAGAGGGCAGGCTAAGGCAAAGTTTTACAACAAGCTGCCTCATATCAACTTCACTATCGGTCTTCTGAGTGACAGCCTCTTGAATTGAAGTAAATTACTCAAAGAGGCTGCAGTTGCCTGCTTCCCTCTTCTATCACCAGAAAAACACCAGGAAGAGATTCCTGATATCCTTGACTCAAAGCTCTTCTCAGCGAACACATTCGGTTCTGTTAAGTCAGGCTCATTCAAATTTTTGCTTTAACGACAAGAAGGTTCAGCTTTTGTGGAAATATTTTATCGCCTGCTGTAAACTTTGTGTTTGAAAGAGTTCACAATGTATGAAATAATTACTGGTCAAGTAACAATGAATATTGTAACGTTTGTAATATTCGTAATATTTTTGATCACTTTTTACAATTGTCAAATAAGTATTATAGAGTAATGGCCCAGAAACGATTAAAACACAGACGTGAATCTTAACTAAAGAAATAAACTAATCAGGCTGAAATCTTTTTAAAATGCGTATGAGTTTCAAATTCACATAAATAATATTAGAATTGAGATTTCAACAATTTGTTAATGCAGGTTTAGTTAGCTTTTGTCATAAATCAGCACAATAAATAATCACATTTGTGAAAATGAACACATTTAAGGTCTAGAATTTCTTGAATTCTCAACACAACAATCAGAACAAATCACAACAAAACAGAACAGAGCAAAGCAAAGCAAAGCAAAGCAAAACCACACACTCTTGAGGAGATGCAGATCATCATAATTAATGGGCTGCATTGGTGGCGCAGTGGTTAGCACTGTTGCCTCGCAGCACGAAGGTTGCAGGTCCGAAACTCGGCTGCGGCCTTTCTGCGTGGAGTTGCGTGTTCTCCCCATGCATGCGTGGGTTTCCTCCGGGTACTCCGGTTTCCCCCACAGATCACAACATGCCCTATAGGTTATAAATTGTTAGTCGCTTTGGATAAAAGCGTCTGCTAAATAAATAAAGATAAACATAATAAACATAAATTCAAGTGAAATATGTTGCATAGTCAGTTGGCAAAATATGTAATGACGACAGAATTTTACCCATTTTTGTAGTTAGTACTGCTGGTAATCTGTGGCAGCCATCTTTAATCATGTTCACTTGGAAAAGTAATCAGATGTAGATAAATATCTTGAGATTCCTTTCTGCGAGTTTCATTAAGATTTGTCCAGCGGTTATTCAGATAATTTGGTAACAGATCAATGAACCCTTGTGCACACGCAGGCAAAAACATTATTGCTCACCTGTCATCTTTCTGCAGCAGGTGATAATAATCTTGATGATTAATGGACTTTTATCAGCAGGTAAAGGTAGAGGACTAAAAGGTGTCAAGGATCCGTGTGAGGAGCAAACGCAGGACTTCCCTGAGTTACATGCAGACGCAGAGAAAACAACACTGCAGCTAAAGCAGGAAAATTAAGTCAATCCTTGAATCCAAAAGGCAGCAGACAAGCACCAAAGATGAAACAATGATAACAATTGGCTGTGAGCCAGGGAATTCAGGCAGGTTATATACTTAGAGGATTAAAGACAAAGGAAAATGGGTGAGTGGCAATCAGCAAACAGCAGCCAGGTGTGTCAGTAAAATGTACACAAGACAAAAGTAAAATAAGAGGGATGTTTGTCATGAGACCTACTTAATATATGTATAAATATCAAATGTTATAATAATAATAATATTAATATAATAAATAACAGAACATGGCAGAAATTAAATAAACAAAATGAATGAATCCAGGTTTAAATGCACCAAAACAAAGCAAAAAAAAAAAACAAACAAACAACAACAACACATACCAATAAATACAACAAATCATAACAAAACAAAACCAAATCAAAGCACAACACAACACACTAGAATGCACAACAGCATACAACAAAACACAACTAATCACAACAACACACAACAAAACACAGCAAAAAGTAAGAAATAACAAGACTGCACACGGACCAGATAAGAATTGGCCAATATTACATCATTTTCACTCTAAAGATTGATGAATAGTTCCAAATGAAGCAACAACATTTTCTGTTTTATCTCTATTTTCACCTCAATATGTTCACTTGTTTTCTCCTCTAAGACCACTGGTCCACATTTCCTGTTTGTTGATGACATTTTCAGCTGACATTTCTCAGATATGGACTTTTTATCCTGAGGAGGTTCTTAGGGACCAGACCAAAAGTTTTATTGAAGAAAAAATACACTTTTTTTTTTACTTTTTACTATTGAGTTCTTTTACTGATGCTAATCTGTTTTTCTTTCTCTATTTGACACTACATCAATGACTGCAACAATTTGTTTAGCATCTCCACCAAGAGCTGTACCCCAGATTAGAGAGATTCTCAAACAGCTTGCAGAAATCCGCAGCCTCTTAAAATGCCACGTGTTAAACTGCACTCTACTGCACAAATATTATGTAATATTAGCTAATAAGACCAAAACACACTCACCACTTCACACTTAGCAGATGATTTAAAGTACATTTTAATAAAATAACTAATTTGTTTATATAATTTCAGATTTGATGTGTTGTTTTAAGCTCTCTGATGACATGGGTTTGTAGTCGTGACTAAACCACATGGAATTATTTCTATGCTGGCCTCTTCATAATGAAATGACCTCATGAATCTTTGTAGGTGTGGATGATGGAGCAGACATCCCCAGAGAGATGGTTGCAGGGATTTATGAAAGGATTCAGCAGAGGGAGCTGCGCTCAAATGAAGACCACGTAACCTATGTGAGTCGTGTGGAGCAGTCCATCCTGGGCCTGAAAACGGTGAGGGACATCTCAGGAGCTCTTTTTCATTTGAGAGCCCACAGTGGCGTTTTTGCTCCTCATTTTCCTTGTGTGATATATCACCTCACTGCAGCGTGTCATCTACCATCTCTTTGACCTGGCTTTCTGCAGATCCTCGCTGTGCCCCACAGACGGTTGGTGTGCTGCTGCCGTCTATTTGAGGTGCCTGATGCAAACAAACCTCACAAACAGAAACTTTCGCAGCTCCAAAGAGAGGTTTTCCTCTTCAACGACTTGCTGTTGGTAAGGGACGCGCATCCGACATGCACGCTAACGCATCCACATTTGGAGATAAATCCAGAACTCTCTCTGCTTCATTCGTGTTTTCAGATCCTGAAGCTCTGTCCCAAGAAGAAAAGCTCAGCCTCTTACACTTTCTGTAAAGCTATGGGTCTCCTGGGAATGCAGTTTCACCTCTTCAGCAATGAGTGTAAGACACTGCTTTACTTTGCAGCGATTTATTCCCGTCATAGTCTAAGCCTTGTGCTCGGTGGATGCTGAGCTGGCAGAGCCATGTGCGTTACTGCTCTCCATCAAGTCAGTCCTAGCACTCAGACTGTCAGGGGTCACAAAGAAACCTGACATAAAACACAAATGAGGAGATATCTTTTGGGTAAAATGTGCTTCCTCTAACAGATTCAATCTAAGACAAAGATTTGGTGCATTTATTCACCCTGCAGCTCTCTGTGAGCAACTTTAACTCTGTAAAAAGGGATGATGCATCAGTTTGTAGAAACCTCCAAAGCGTAACTTGTAGTTTCTCCAAAAATCCAAGAAATCCCCAAATTACATGTCCTCTATTTAATTAATACCTCAGTGGACATTTATTAGTTCATTCCTTATTCATGATACGTCTGAAAGAGATTTAGATCTGATCTACTGAGTTGTCTGGAGCCATTCAGAGACATTATAAAGGAGGTGGAGGAAATCCAGGCTTACTGTAAGCCAGGTGAATAAAACACTGCAGTCCAAAACATGAATCAAACATTAACAAGACCAGGAACATCGTGTATGAAGATTGAGGTACAGTGATCCCTCGTTTATCGCGGTAGATGCGTTCCAGACCTGTCCGCAATAGGTGAAAATCCGCGAAGTAGGGACACCATATTTACAGTATTTATTTAACAGGTACGTATTCAGTACTCAGACTTTTAAAACCCTCCCTTTACATAGTACTGTATTTTTACTTGGTTTTTTGTAGTTTTTTTTACAAAAAGTGCATTTTATGATGAAATTGATTAACAAAAAACAGGAATTTCTTGATATTTTGCATAGAAAAATCCCGCGGATCGGTGAAAAATACAGCGAATCGGCGAATTTCCCTTGAATAAGGCTCCAAAGAAAAAATCTGCGAAGTCGTGAATCCGCGATAAATGAACCGCGAAGTAGCGAGGGATCACTGTATTTGGAAAACCAGGAAAAGGCTGGGAATTAGATCAGGGGTTACTAGAGAAATAGAAAAAGTCCAAACACATCCAGTGAGTGGACCGAGGCTGACAGAACCAGGTCAGTCATTTATTCTTTTTTTTTGAAAGACCAGGAGTTTTGACAAATTGGCTCCATTTCAACCAGCAGAACTCTGGCTCTGTTTGAGAAGCGTGGCATCAGTCACCTAATAGTGAATCGATGTGTTTCGACAGTAGGACCAGCACACTCAAGCCGTGTTTCATGGGCTGATGCATCACTCTAAATAACAGCAGCAGCATCAGAAATTTCAGTTTAACCAGATTTGATCAATTTCAGGTCTTTTTATTATTTATCAGCAAAACAAACCTGCAAACCAAAACCTGTCTAAACACTGTCTTTTCTCATTGTGTAATAATGTAAGACCAAGACTTGAGCTCCAGCCCTTCTGCACGATGGAGGGTGTTAAACGACACCTCACGAATCACATTGCACGTGTGTTCATTACACGCACATAATCATCAAGTAGGAATGAGTACACAGTCCCCCGGAGAGCTGCTTGGAGGCCGTCTAATGATTAGTCTCATAATCACGCTGAGATTCATCTTGTACTGGTTTAACATAGTCGCTGACAGCAACGGGCTAACAGGCAAGAATCTGATTAAACATTCAAATTATTCTAATTAGAATTTACGAAATGTAAAATACATTTTATGCATAAAGGTTGAAGAAAACTTGGCATCATCTGAGCTGAAGAATTTTTAAAGAATGCCTGCAAACGAAATAAAAATAAAATAAGTCTGCAGTGTCCTAAAACGACTTTCTTCTTGTTTATGTTTTTGATCAGATTATGCTCACGGTGTCACCATGATGAGCCCGTTTACGTCAGAGAAGAAGCAGCTGGTGAGTTTCTGCTCTCCAAGCGGAGAGGAGCTGAGGAAATTTGCGGAGGAGCTTAGAGAAGCTATAGCGGAGGTCAACGAGATGGAGCAGATACACATTCAAAGTAAGGAAAAAAAAAGCGCAACACCTGCAGATGTAATAAAACATGTCAGACCCTGTGACTGACTGCAAGCGTGCTCTCTCTCTTTTTGCCGTGTGCACCATAGTGGAATTAGAGAGGCAACAAGGCATCCAACCGCACATTTTGCACACCAACGGTGGTCAAATGGACACGCACACGGGGCACGGCTCTCCCTCAGGTAGCATAATACAGCATGCATTAACTAAATGTCAGCCCCCTGTATGGGAGTCCGTCTCTGGTTTTCCGTGTTTGCCTGCTGACTTACAAAAGAACCCGCTTCTCCCCACAGGCCAACAGGATACGTATGATAAAACTGGCAACAACAACACAGTAGAGGTGAGTGTCTAAGCTGCTCTCGTCTCCCTCAGGTAAGTATCTGCATATACAGCTCAGTGGCATGATTTTGTGTGTGTGTGTGTGTGTGTGTGTGTGTGTGTGTGTGTGTGTGTGTGTGTGTGTAGTTAGACAGGGGCCATGTCTCATCCTGAAAAGAAAGCTTTTTGCTTTGCTTCAGAAAAGCTCTGCCTGCAGCACATCCCCACGATGCAGCCGACGATACAAAGGCAGCTAAGAGGTGGTTCTGTAGTGGTGCTGCTCATTCATTCAGCACCTCACAATCAGACCGGCAGCCACTCGCTATAAAACATCCCAGCTCTCGTGAGCTAAAGCCAGTCTTACTATTTACGCCATCATGAGCCAGGGTGGCTGCTGGAATACCAGCAGGCTATAGATACTATTAATATTCAGTCAAGTGTGTTTGATTTGGGTCTTTGTAAAACCAGCCCTTCCTTTTAAGCAAGCTGCCCCCCCACCCCATTTCACTTATATTACCCATTTCTCCTTCTCCCTCTGCTTCTCACTGAGTCCCTTAGAGTTGTAACCTCTTGTGCTAGGGAGACACCACGCCCTCGGTGTCACCGCTATCCTCTCCCCACTCTCCTTTATCTACAGGCCTATCGTTCTGCCACTCGTCTATTACCGCACACTCACACGAGACTTCAGATGTTTCAGCAAAAAATGAAATAAAATAAACACCGTACACCCACAACCCCTGACCCTTTTCCTAGGCTGGTGAGTGTATAAAATGTTATTCCGTTTAAATTGTGTTTCACCCCAAGAGATGTGGAAAAGCCGGAGAAAGTGAGAGAGAGTGTGTGTGTATATTCTGCATGCAGTTGCACTGCATGCCACCACCTGCATGCCGGCATGCCCGTGTGCGTAACTCACCAGAGGGCTGCGTAGAGGCTGAGTTCAGGCTGGTAACTCTTCATGCGTTCTCTGACTGTTCCTAAACTAGGTGTCAATTCACAACAGGCTGCAGACGTATCAGCTGAGCCAGCCCAGCATTGAGTCAGCGCCTCTGGCCCTGGCGGCACCACCTGCCCTCCTCAGTCCCATCCAGGCTGGGGACCTACGCCCAGAAACACTCATACAGTGCCAGCAGATTGTCAAGGTGATTGTCGTGGACCAGAGTGGACGAGGGCGGATGGAGGCCTTCCTCAGCCAAGGTCCGGCCACCCACCAGCTCATCCAATCGGCCATATCGACGCCCGCATGTGTCAGAGAGGGAGATGGACCCCAGCCGCCCCTGCCGCCTCCCCCTCCTCCTTACAACCACCCCCATCAGTTCTGTCCCCCTGACTCACCTATGCCCTTTCACCACACCATGCCTCTGACCCGCAGGCGCAACTCCAGCGGTTCTCGCAGCATCGTTTGAGTCGACCTCTGAGCTAGAACTGACCTCTACACTCGCACACAGCACCAGGCACTTGGTGGAGCACAAGTCAAGTCAGTTTGACGACAAGCAGTGCAAAAAAGAAAAGAGTTTACGAGTCAAAAGGTATGAAGAGCCAATTCTCTGTCTTGGCTGGGTTGCGTTGATTCTGAAGATGGAGTAGCTTTAATGGCAATTCTGAAAGAGACTTCACCCCCTCTTTTGTCTCCAACGCGTCTTCTGGTGACCCGTCTACTTGTCACAGATTTAGGTGTCACCTGTCCAACGACTGTCTGTGAGCGAGCCTGGTGAGAGATGGATCCAGAAAAACACTTCATGTGAAAGACAAAAAATTCTCCATTGATGTTAGCGACTTTCCTTGATGTAAGTCTTTTTGTTTCATGAGGAATCATTTCAGCACTCTGCATAATGTGAAGAAACAAGAGTACCAGCTTTTTTGTGTCCTTGTTTTCAAGGGAGCAGGAAATCAGTATGTGAGGAAGGAGGTAAGGGGAAAAAAGATAAATGGTTCTGTCACCGCTACAATGTCATGTGCAATTTAGAGTAGTAAGCGAAGGTGTTGCTGCTCATCTACTTAAAACAAGTTCCCGATGACAATCATGTTTCTGTGCTTCATTGTGCATTTTGCTAAAACGGTTGTAGCACAAATAGTGTCTCACTGCTCTGATTTGGTGGAGTGTTGCTCTGATAGAGCTCAGGAAAGACTGGAACAAGTGATACTGTATCTGCACCCCTGAGCTGCTGAGAGCAGAGGGTGTGTGAGTGTGTGTGTGTGTGTCCAGTCTGCTTACTCATGGGCCACAGCGAATCTGACTGGTAAGTCATTTAAAACAAGGCTAAAACAGGCATACTGAGCATTTCTTTTGATGTAAGTTTACTCCTATTGTGAATTCTGATTTTGGATTTAGACTATACCTCTGCCCAGAAAATGTGTTTTATAATATTTAAAAATTAAAATTATGCCACACAGGGTAGACACCTCACAGAGACGTTACTGTTATGTTTTTCTAAAAAAAAAAAAAGAAAAAAAGATCTAATAAATGCAAATATATTGAATGTTAAATCAATAGCTTAGGTCTTTTTATGTGGAGTTCTGTGGAAAGGTTTTGAAATTGAACATGAAACATGTTATTGACATGCTAACGGCTAGTCTAAGTAGGCTCTGGAAACAGATTCCATTTCAAAATTTTTCTTTTGGTTTTATGAAAATTCTATTTTAAAAATCCTGTCAAATCCATATTTTGTGCAAAATCCTATAATTATTTGCAATCTAATAGTCCCATATTTGAAGCTAAAACATTCCTCGTAAATTCATCAAGGATGCAATTTGTTCCATAGTTTTAAGAATCATTGTAAATGTATTTACAAATTACAAAGAAAAAGTATAAAACTATGTTTGAAAAGGTCACTCGCTCACTCACTAGCTGCCTACACAGACAATTTCAAAGAAAATTCATCGTTCGTTCTACACATAAGTAGAAGAAATGTCTGATGTTTGTTTTGGGGAAAGAGATTTTTCAAGCATTTGTTGCTTGAAAACATTATTTGCAAGTGAACTGTGATCATATTTTCATGTCTTCATTCCACCAAATAGAAGTCATTCAACAATGCAGAATGTAATTTCATTTCCACAATTGTTCTGAATGACAATTCACGTAGAAAACATGGTCTCACATCAAATTATGGTTAGATATTTTATCTAGACAAGCAAGTAACAACATCCACCTTAGTGTAATCTAGTTTATTTTGTTTTCTGCTACTTGATAGCCCAAGGCTATGTGCAACTTGAGGCATTTCTGAAATGTTCCATGTTTTCCATTTTGATCGTGCGTTTTTAATCCACTAAGATTTTGGATTATCTATTAGCAACAGAACTAAACTCTTTTTTTCCCAGCCATCTATCTTCAACAGAGAAGACACTAATTGTTTTAAACCACAGAACCTCACTAAAAAATATCTGAACTATCCCTTGTCAGAGGGAGAAGCTAAGATGTCTATGAAATGATTATTTTAGTTGTTTTTACCCATCACTGTGTTCTCTGTTCAGCGTTGATGATTTCAGGCTTGAGCCAGTATGTATAGCACACCATGAATCATCCAACGCAGTCTTTTGCACCGCAGAATATATTGGACATAATGTAAATAGATACCATAGATTTATTCTGAAAAACAAAACAAAACAAAGTGATCCCAGTGTGTGTAACTACGTATGTATTTGTACAGAGAAAATTCTAGTTTAAAAGAAAAAAAGAGTATAATAGTTATTATAGCTAGCATTTATTATCAGGGGATGTTTTAAATGCTAACCCAATGAAAGATGGGGAAACAAGCAGTTTTTCTAGACTATACTCCAGTTACCATGGTAACAAACACTGACACTGAGACTGATCAACATCCATTATTAAATGATCATGTCATGTTTTTACAGTTTTACTAAGAGATGGCTGTTTCACCTGTCCAGGTGTGTAAAGGGCTATGATTTATTGGTAGATACGCTACAATAAAATCACATCAGGCTCACAAAAACACACATTTACACACACAGATTCACACACACACCAAAAGCCACAACTAACCTAGTTTAAATTAACTCCTAGATCTGTGAACCCATCAGAACTTCTTGGTTGAATATAAACCCTGACTGACATGTACAAAGTCGCATGATCTTTGATTTTATTTTTCTATAATTGTTATTTTTATGTAAAGCACAAAGAAGAGTCTGGATCCTATGTTTGTGTCATTACTGTCAGGGCATGTTGGGTTGATTGATGTCATTTTCTCCTCCCTCTCCACTTCCGCCTCCTTTTTCCGCCTTTCCCCTCTTCCTCCTCTCTGTGGTTGTCATGGAGACGCACCAATCTGCAGCCTCTCTGCGGCACACTGTCAGCTAATCTTTGCATCCTTATGACATTTCTAACAAGGAAATTTCTTAAAGATCAACATGTTTCCTATTGGAATTTCTATTTATTTTTGTTTTATTTGAAGAGAATGAAAGAATAAAGTAGTTTTTACTCTCGGTCTCAGGTTGTTCGTTTGTTGTGCTTCAAACATGGAAATGCCTGAATGAATCTGCACCAGATACACAAGAAGGTTGATGAAAAATAAAAGGAGATTATGGTAAAACCAGGATTCCCCTCATTAGAGGACATAATCAGACTGAAACCAAAACTCAATCTAATGCATTATACTGTCACATTTGGGTGTTTATGCATATATTTGTGTCTTTTTTGATAATGTGTTGATTTCAGTCACATTAATTTTATGAAGCAGTGTCAGATGAATAGGAAGGAAATAGAAAGGATTTTTAATAATGCAGCGATGGTTCAAGACCATCAGCATGTAAGAATGAACTTTAATGTTCTTAGCAGCTTTGCAAAGTGAGTGAAATGTACCTAAATGACACCCCGATAACACCTCTTTTAAGTCTTTTCGTGCAAAAGAAAAGGAGCTTTGGTGCTTCTTGTCCTTTTTTTTGCTTTGACAAAAACATTGTCCCACCCAACACAAAAGTAAAGAAGACATTGCAGGCCCAGAAATTCTTGCAGCCTCAACATTCAAAGTGATGCTCAATAATTTTCATTCAGTCATACTGATTTGAATTAATGTTAAAGTAACATTAAACTGTTTCCAGTTTCTCTGTCCTACTGGTTGAAAGTGGAAATCCAAATGTATTAAAGCCCCCTGCAGCTGCCTGCTGTAGCTAATGCTAACATCAGGCTAGTATTAACATAAGAAGAAGAGGATCTTTTACATAGCACCTCTCAAGATACTAATAATGAGGCACTTCACAAAAACAAAATAAAGATTAAGTATAAAAAGATTTTAAAAATGATTAAAATATGTTTAAAAGGAGAAAAGAACAATACAAATGTAAGGAAAGGGAGAGAGAAAATTAATGGGAAAGAGGCAAATCAATGGCGGAATAAGAACAGAATAAGGAGAGGGTGGTGATGAAGGTCACGCAAAAGCCAGCCTGCACAGGTGAGTTTTCAGCTGCTTTTCAAAGGAGACCACTGAGTCCACTGATCTCAGGCTCAGGGGGAGAGAGTTCCAACTGATTCTAAATAGGCCATGAGTTAAAAAGATTCACTTGGTTATACAAAAATATTGTTACTTACGAGTCCAGTAGCAACAAAGTCAGCTCAACATCAGCCCGTGATTTCATAGATTTCCTTAGCTTCTCTAAAAGACTGTAGGCCACACCAATGTTTACTCTGGTTTTAGCTTTTGCTTCGTCTCCAAAGACATTACTCTGACTTTTAATGCCAGGCCAATTCCACCATGTTGTCAACAAAAAGGAAACTTCTTTTTGTTCTTCTTTTTGTGTTTGTACTGACAGTTGACGAAATGAAAAAGCGAACTGCCAGCCTTAATTTTAACTACCAACAAAGAAAATAACAGCCATTCAACAGGTAAACAGCGCCTCCTAGATCACCCGCTCCAAAAAAAAAAAAAAAGTTAAGTGCTGTTTTCTGTCAGCAGAGGGCTGTGGAGTGCTGTCCCATGTGAAGTTGGTAAAGTTTCCTACACGATAATTGAACCCCCACTTTTTAAAGAATTGGTTATAATGTTAAAACGGCTTAGTGTTTGCTTTAAATTGTACATATTATGCAAAACTTACCATTTGCATACTCTATAAAGATTCCAAGCATAAAAAATCCATCTATTCCTTTTCTGTCCGTGCTTGGTTTTATGAATTATGCGCCTAAAATAAGCCATTTCAAAAATTTCACATTTGTGATGTCACAAATGGAGAACGAAGAAAATAACCACCTAACAATCCAGAGAGAGCCACAGCTAGTACAAAGAACTTCACATGAACATGTTTGGCATTGACCACATACAGTAACTGTTATAACGTATAAAAACATCATGATATGTCCCCTTTAATATATTTGGTAGATGGCCTATATTTATATAGCACCTTCTTAGGACTCTACAATCCCTCAAGGTGCTTCAAAACACAATCAGTCATCCACCTATTCACACACACATTCAAATAGAACAAATAGTGATCTTTATGTTCTTTTATTGCCATAGTAATGGAGAAACATTTATATTTATTCTTAAAATCAATACAATAAGCAGCAATTTAAGAGCGGTACATAATTTTCTCGTGGTAGTTTAGAACAGCCAGCATCATAATTTACCCATTTTTTTAAAAGTCAAGTGTATGAGAATAGATAAAAATTGTTTAATCACTCTATTTGATTAGCTATACACAACAGACACATTATATCCCATAATAATCCCAACATCCCACATTCATAGCACTTCCTTCAGGTACTGCAGTTGTAGTTTATGTCTTTTAAAAAAGTCCTTGATTCTAATTTGTGAACTTAATCAGACACAAGGTGGTTGCTTGTTTCTTGTTTTAGGTGTGACAAACTAAAACAGTTGCCAAATATTTTTCCAATATGATTTTATGCAAAGGTGACTGACGGAATCAATCAACATATTTTGGAAGCTTCTGTGAGGGAGAAAGACTCCTTTTAGTGTGACATTTGAGCTTTAATGCAGATCGAATCCAATGAAACAAAAGAAATACTTTCAGTTTAGTCAAAAACACATTAATTCAACCGAAATAAAAACTCCAACCAAGCTGTCCGTTATGATTTTACATTCAAAAGCAGTTAAGCATTTGATGACGCTGAACCTGAATGGAAAAGAAATAAAGTTTTTACTGTCAAATGTCAAGGCGAGAAAAGAAAATTGGATTCTTTTGTTTTTGCAAATCACTCTTGAGCTGAACATCTTGACACAAAGTAAAAAAAGACCAAGAAACAAACAAAATACAATTCTTTTGGCTTAATAAGTTATAAAAAACACACAAATGTACACCGTGGTAATACATTTGTGCTAACAACCTGCAGGTGCACAGATTAGATAGAGCTCACACTTAGGCCTGTCCCTCCTGTCCCTGTCCTTTTGGATAGTCTCTCTTAGTGCTCGTCAGACCGTCTTTGAAAACGTCTCAGAGTACGCTTTAGAGTGAGAACTCGGCTGAGAATGGGACTTAAGGTGGAGATTTTCACCTCATGCTCTCTCTCTTCCTCAACCTTGATCATCCTCGGTCTTGTTTAAAGTCCAACAAATGATTCCCACAAACATCCATCTGGTTGGTCCTTCACATAGTAGTCTCCTCCCATTCCAGTTCAACGTCACCTGAATACAAAGTAAGGTGAGCGCTGAGTGATCACAGTCATCGTGTGTTTTTGTTGTTGAGGTTTACCTTCCATGGCATCCAAGGAGTCCATCTTCTCCAGAGCAGAATAGTTAACAAACCAGATGGACTGACTGTTGCCTTTGTTGTTCAGAAGCTCCAGCGTGCATTGGTGTAGGAAGATGTACTGGGCCTGGCAGAACAAACACATGGATATTGTCACTCTAATGATTCAGACCAGATGCTATTTAGTAATGAGCAGATGCTCCAAGAGATCATTTAGTGACAAAACAGCCAAAGGAAAGGGCAAATAAAGAATTGAATCAGTGTCTACTAGATTATGTTGCCTGACTTGTTCCAGAACAAAAAACCCACCTTACAGATTTGTGGACAAATCAAGAAATGTCAGAATTCTGATGTGCAACAAGTATTTTGTAACTCATTGCTGCAAAATTGGAACAAATCAGGAATTCTCTGTTTTTCTGTGTCAACAAGGTAAAAAGACCAAAGCCAGAAAAGCTTAGCACAGCATGAGAAGAGCTGTGTTGAACACATGAAACAATGAACAACAAAGAAAGGCAGGAAAACACAGGCAGAAACTCTCAGGCCGCGTTAAAATGGATCCAGCACATTCAGTGGCAGTAAGAGAATCCAACACATTAGCGTTCAGCTGGTGGTGTGCTAAATGCAAATTTTGGATTAAACTCGCTCAAAATCACCCGAGCTGCAAAATGACAACACCTTTTACGGGGTGAGAGCGGCAGTGAAGGGAACTCTGTTTCTTTTCACTGAGCAGGATAATTTGGTTCAGCTCGGAGTATTGTTTTGACAAATATTTGAAATCGTGTGATAAGGTTTGTTTGTTTACACTTGGTTGGAATTGCAAAAAAATCCCCCCCTTTTTTTTTTTTTAGCAATTTTCAAGGAACATCTCGGAAGGAATACTGAAGATTCGATAAGTTTGTGTAATTTTAACAAATATTAATCAAAATGAACTTTTGTATGGAACTCCAGAGTTTAAAATAAATAAATAAATAAATAAATAAATAAATAAATAAATAATAAGACATTATTTTTATTGTGCAGTATATATATATATATATAAATAAATACAATTATTTAATCTGAAAATGAAATTGTGAAATTAAAGCTGCAAGCAGGGTCGTTCGGCCCTCACAGCTCCGCGCCGCTCCGGCCGGCAGTCTAGTGCACCCAGGCACGTCCGCTGAACATAAACATCGACCGCCCCCAACACCAGAAACCGCGAACGGTCTCCTCGTCTGCACCTCACCCTGACTCAGCATCTTCTCAGAGCCCACCTATGTTTACCACACTGGTGGTGTGATGACACAGACCAAGTTTAATGCTATTCTGACCACGTTTTTTGAAGTTATTGAAGGTTAACCCTTTGATGCATAATGGTCACTACAGTGGACAGGTACTCAAAATTGTTATTTATTCATTTTTGCTATTAACCACAGCTGTTGAAGACTTTATTGCACGCGAGCCCCTCCATTTGGACTTCAGTAAGTCAAGCCAACTTATTTCATGTTCAGAATGCACGCTGTCCACTGAGGTGGACATGTAATAAAGTATTTGTAAATTATTATATGTTATAAAAATATTTGTTTCATTCACACCTAAAGATGAATGAAAAAAATTGTTTAAAAATCATGGTTGAAGATTTCATAATTCATGCATCAAAGGGTTAAAGTTATCTAGGGGGCGCTGTGAACAACTACAGAAAAATCCCATTGAGGTCAGCTTTGGTTGACAAAGATGGTTTTCTGTTATTTTGGCATTAATCAGAAGTTGTGTGTGTTATCTAGAGCCAGAGAGCCGAAAGGGGTGGAGCTACAGGGGTTTGAAACAACAACCACATCAATGTGTTTGGTGCAGTCCTGTGATGACACAAGCCAAGTATAATGCCATTCTGACCTTGTATTAGGAAGTAATGAACTCTTAATCTTATCTAGGAAGCGCTTGGACCAATTACATACAAATCCCATTGAGGTCCTCTTAGGGAGTCAAAGATGGTTTTGTGGTAGTTTGGCATCAATCAGACGTTGCGTGTGCTTTCTAGAGCCAAAGAGCTGAAAGGGGGCGGAACTAAAGGGATTTGAACCAACAACCACATCAATGTGTTTGGTGCAGTTACGTGATGACACAAGCCAAGAATAATGCCATTCTAACCTCATCTTTAGAAGCTGATAAAGTTTGAACCCATCTAGGGGGTGCTGTGACCATTTACAACTAAATACCATAGAGGCCATCTTTGGTCATCAAAGATGGTTTTCTGTTAATTTAGCATCAATCAAACGTTGCATGGGTCATCTAGAGCCAAAAGGCTGTAAGTGGGCGGAGTTAAAGTGATTTGAACGAGTGAGCACATACATGTGTTGATTGCAGTTGTCTGATGACTCTCACCATATTTGACATAGTTTGGAGCTTTTTTGCAGAAGTTACAAAGGTTTTATTGTATCTAGGGGGCACTGTCCCAAATTTAGGAAATATTTCAAGTTTGTAGGTTGATAACAGTGTGCAGTTTGGTGTGAATTGCATCATGCATGTGTTATTCAGGGCCTAATATCTGTCAGGGGGCGGAGCTAAAGCAATAACAACCAGTGACCACAGGATTGTGTTGGGTGCCTTTGTGTGATGACATATAGCGAGTTATTACAGTTTTAAAGGTATGTAGGGGGCGCTGTGGTGATATTATACAACATTCACCAACCGTTTGTGCCTCATTGGCTAAAGGGCATGATTGTTGACTGCCATGTTCAGTCTCATGCAGATCGGAGGCTGTTTGCCTCCTTTTTAAAGGTCGGGTGCTTTTTCAGAAAATAGGCCACGCCCACAAACCTATCACGTTCATATCTATTGGTGGTCTGAATAGGATCACTCACCAGCGAATTCGTAGCGATATCACAATAACTGAGGAAATGAGAGGCAAACGTATTTCCATGGCGTGATGGCAAATTTCGCCATGCTCCCAAAACCCCGCCTTTTTTCAAAACCTGCCAGTACTGGAGACCAAGTGACCTCAACTTGTTTACTGCTGTTTGCCAGAGATTGCTGGTGATTGGGTGAAAGGAGTCCAATAGGGAGCCGTGAAAAAAAAGTGGCGTGGCGACAGGTCAAAGTTTGAGGCTTAGCCACGCCCACACCTTTCAACTTTTGAAAAATCCAACGGTTGAATTTTTTCCCCTATAGCTTAAGAGTATATAGCAGAAGTTTGAAGGTGATTGGTGAAAAGGGTTAAGGGGCATCACTTTCCAAACAACGTGTGCGAAAACCACTAAATCGAGTACTTGGACCAAAATGGCCGACTTCCTGTGCAACATTGACCTTGGCTCCAAGAGACTTTTTTGTAGGTCCCAAGGCACTACTTGGGACTTCTGCTTCATACTTCTGCTTAAAACTCTTAAGACCAAGCGGAAAAAACGGAACCTACGGATTTTCCGAAACTCTAACGGTGTGGGCGTGGCTAAGCCTCAAATATTGACCTGTCACCACACCATGCTTATACTTTCAGAGCTCCCTATTGGGACTCCTTTCATCTATTCAGCAGCAATATCTGCCAAATAGCAATACAAAAGTTGAGGTCACTTGGTGTCTAGTACTGGCAGGTTTCAAAAAAGGGCAGGGACCTGGGAGCATGGCAAAATTTGCCATCACGCCATGGAAATATGTTTGCTTCTCATTTCCTCAGTTCTCATGATATCACCAAAGATTTCTGGTGAGTGATCCTAGTCTGACCCCCAATATAAATAGATGTCATAAGCTGGTGGGCGTGGCTTTTTTTCTGAAATAGCGCCCCCTACGACCATTAAAACTCTCAGCCCCAAGTCATGCTTTGACTGAGGATTGTGAAATTTTGCACACTTTCAATTCAATTCAATTCAAGTTTATTTATATAGCGCCAAATCACGACATGAGTCGTCTCAAGGCACTTCACATAATAAACATTCCAATTCAGGTCAGTTCATTAAGCCAATCAGAAATAATGTTTCCTATATAAGCAACCCAGCAAATTGCATCAAGTCACTGACTAGTGTCAGTGACTTTACAGCAATCCTCATACTAAGCAAGCATAAAGCGACAGTGGAGAGGAAAACTCCCTTTTAACAGGAAGAAACCTCCAGAGAATCCTGGCTCAGTATAAGCAGCCATCCTCCACGACTCACTGGGTATTGAGAAGACAGAGCACACACACACACACACACACACGCACGCGCACGCGCACGCACGCACGCACACACACACACACACACACACACACACACACACACACACACACACACACACACACAAGTAATGTGTCTATAGTTACATTGTGATTTCTTAGTAAATATTCTATTTGGTGAGAGATAAACTTTATTGTATTTATCCCAGTGAATCTATAATTAAACGGATAAACTAGTAGTAGCACATCCAAAGTCAAGGAAAGCAAAAAGTTATTATCAGGAGAGAGAGAATATTTATGTGGTTAGCAGCAGTGTGCTAGACGATAGCCCCCTCCATGAGGCCACCACAGCTCAGCAGAAAATCATTGTAGCAACACTTATGTAGTGTGCCTGGGCCTACAAAGAAGTCTCATGGAGCCAAGCTCCATATCCCACAGGAAGTCGGCCATTTTGTTCCAATTACGTTACAGAGTTTCTTTCGAAGCAGGAATATTTTGCTAACGTAAAACATTTTTAGTGGGGACTGTTGGCAGGCTAGGAGGAAAGGTTGAGTCAGATTGAGGTGACAGCTGACAGTGATCGCAGTTAAATGCACGCTGGGGAGTCAGGCGCGCACGGGCGCTCGTGCGCGCACGGGCGCTCGTGCGCCACCGGTTGCAGGGCGATGGGTTGGGAGAGTGTCGGGGATGGAGTGGAGGGGGTGCGGACTGAGTGCGAGCAGCTTCGCTGCGAGGGCCGAAGGACGCTGCTTGCAGCTTTAATATTTAATTCTTTCAGGTTTTATGGTTTATTACATGGCGTCATACAAAGTTGGCTTTTATTTCATAACAGAGATTTTCTCAATGGCTGATTTATTTCATAATTACACTTTTCAGCAGAATTTCTCAGTCTGTTGATCAAGTAGACAGGACAGAGCCAGTTTGTGACTGGCTGCCATTTCAGTCAGACATAAGCAATCAAACACGATGTATTGAATTAGGCCTGAAGGTGCAAATCATTCTACTGTGTCTGTGTGTAAATAAGATAACTCACCAGATTTTGCACCATGCACATCCTCTCACTGCGGAGCTCAGCCACAAGCCCGTAAATATCCACAAAGTCATGATCTCTGATGTGCTGAATGAGGTGATCGAGAGCAATGAACACTCCTGTTCGTCCCACACCAGCACTGGTGATACAGAAATAAACAAACAAACAATAATCCCACAGTCGGCTGAGTAATTACACTCTAAAACCAGAGAAGAAGAAGAACACTACTGGACTCCACCACCACACAGGAAGGTACTGCTACTTATTTTAGGCAGAACACCCCTGATGCTTTACCTGCAGTGGACCACTATGGTGGAGTTGTCGTGCCGATGTGCTCGGACAGTTTTTACAAACTTAATCAAAGTGCTGCAGGACTCTGGCACTCCATGCTCAGGCCACGATGTGAAGTTGAAGTGTTTGACCAAAATGTAGTGACCGTGCTAAAGAAAGAGGGAGAGAAATCAACAAGTTCACATCTGCACTTAGGTCTTACTGCATTGTGTGTTTATCTTTATCCATGACATGCAGGCAATCTGGTGGTTTTCAGAGACATCATAGTTTAGTTTTACATCATTTAAAAATAGATGATTAATAAAATTAGAACGGAAGACAGAAAAACGGCTAAATTCAGACTTCCTCCTGCCTTAATGAGATGTAATGAGATTCAGAATTCAGGACCTTACGTAACATTTGACCTTTTAGATGACGGGGATATTTACAGCATTGCCAGTTGTATGGATAAGCCGGCATGTTTTGGGCTCATAGGTGCAAGATTGTTACATTAATACATTTATATTTTTTGTAAACCCACTTTTTATAGATTCTCTATCAGCTATTTATAAAAAACTACAATACAGAATCTTGTTTATATATTAGTAAAATTTTTGTTGTTGATGAAGGATCTCAGTCGTCCATAGTAATCCAAGTATGATTTGGTAATCCAAAGGGGTTTTAAATTAAGGCAACTGGGCTTCTTTGGTTTCGGGAGGATATAAGTCATCTATTGTTGCTTAACAAGCAGAAACTACTTATGAATACCCTCCTCCCTACCCCCGATGAGTCATTAGCCTCTACTGTGTGGGAGTTGTTGTGTTAATTAGACGTTGGAGGGTGTGACCTAAACTCTTTGGGAATAAGTTTCAGAGCTGCACTGTAGGTGCTGGAAAGGTGAAACCCGAGTCCTCTCCTGTTTAATGCAGGTTTATCCCATTTGACACCGATAGCAGTCTTTACTCCCCTCTTACACCATCTATCTTCTCTGTTCAGAATGGGTACATTTTCTGTGTAATGTGTAAATTTCTGTTAACTTTAACTTCTAACACTTGGATTAAAAGTTTCTGATTAAGATACAGAGTTTATTGATTACTATTATAATAATTCTTAGGTTCATTACACAAAATAAACAGCTTTTTTTTCTTGTACAAATCCATCCACTGCTCCACAGTGATCTTATTTGAACTTTGCATTCAGATGTCTGTTCTTGGTCTTTAAAAGTGGATTTATTGGATCTCAAACTGTCAAATGACACTCTGCACATCTGAAATAAAAACATTTACTTATTTCTCAATCCTTCTTAAAATACTTGCCACTGTTATAATTGAAATTATTCCTTTTACAAGGTTTTAGTACCTTTTCTATTTTCAGGGTCCTGATGGTCCAGTCAGGAAGGACTTCCTCTGACACTTTAGAGATGAGAAAGTCACTGAACACCGTCACTGGCTTGTTGTCTTCTGGCCAATACTTGTGACACCGAATCTAAAACACCATAACACAAAAGTCTTCAGGAGAGAAGAACAATTCCAGAACACGGTGTGTTTGTTAAGGTCAGATTTCTAATGTAGCCTACTCTGTCTTTCTCATAACACTGTGTGAGCATGGCAATAGTTCTAGTTCCTGTCTCCCAGATCATCCTCCAGAAGTCAGCCACGGTGCTGGAGAGCGGACCCTGAGTGGCGATGAACTCATTGGGACACAAATAACCCTACAAGGGGAAGAAATTCATAGATATTGATGTTTATACACAAATAACTTCCAGTAACATGAGATCATTGCTGATTTAGGTTTCTCACAGAAACAAAGCTGGCGTTGATGTAGTCTGAGCCAGCCACCCCTGGTTCTGACAGCAGTTTGACTCGATTGTTATTGTCTAAATGTCAAATAAGCAGAGAGCAGCTCAGAATGAGTGAGTAAACTTAAGCTCTGCATAATTTTGAACAAAAAACCTTGTTGCCTGGTAAGGTTGATTCTCAGTCTGAACACATACAGGGTTTAATGTTGAGGAAGCGGTTCTTGGACTTGTTCCAGGGCAGATCAGCGTCAGTGGTAGCCAGGTCTGGCAGCAGCTTAGGAAGCTCCTGGAGCAGAAGAAAAAAATAAATCACTTAGATTATGACATAAAAAGCCTTTATTTACTGCTTCCCACTAAAAATCCTCAAATCGCTTCATATATGAATACACATAAAAATGTACAAATATCTTTATATAGATATAAAAAGCATTTTGTATTATTTTATTGTGATTTATTGGTCTAATAAGCATTGGTCCTGATTTTTCTTACCACAAACTCCTCCTGGAACTTAATGTTGTCTCTGGCACACAGATCCTCCACATGCTGCAGGAAGGATTTCTTGTTGACGGGCCTGGAGAAGTTGGTAGGAGAAAAAAAACCCACAGAGATAAAAACAGAAAAAGACTTTTTGGAAACTTATTTTAGGTTTTGGTCTTTGCAAAGACATCCAGAGCATACCAGCTTCTGCAGCTGCACCATAATTCACAAAGAAAGACTTACTTGAGAGACTTCCTGTAGCTGAGCAGCCTGAACAAAAATAATGAAAAGAAAACCAAAATAAACAAATTAACGCATTAATTGCAGCCCACACTTTGGCATTTGTGTCCATGGTAATTGCACTAATCCTCACAGCAGAAACGTACACACTAATGTGTGTTTAGCAGAAGTGGGTTAAATCATTTTGCAATCAAATCCACTGATTAAACACTGTTGCAGGCTTTGATATTTATTCTAAAGGAATAAGTGCAGATCAGTGACATCAGAAGTGAGTGGTTCTTCCCCCGTGGGACGCGCTGAAGCTACACGGATTCTCAACAATTGGTGAAGCTTAACATGTATACCCTCTGCCTTCCAAGCAGTTTGAGATCAGGCAAACAAATTAAAAAGGTTTTGGGAAGATGAGCAGCAGCAAAGCTGTACAATCTTTACTGGCAGCGGAGCCAAAAACGACGGTTGGTGAAACATTTAACCATCATCTTCTGCTTAAGCAGCACAGATGGAGGGTTTGACGCAGGCCTTTTAATGATGACACACATAACAACACGCAAACCCACCAACACAAGCCATGCACAAGCTGAACGTCCAACTTACTGGATGACATAAATCTCTTTCCGCCTAAAGAAGAAGGAAGAATACCTGTTGGGAGGAAAGTGCTCGGTGAGGGAAAGAAAACGTGGGAGTCAGTGTGCGTCTGCATAGAAGCAAATCTGACAAGTGACAAGAAAAGGTGTGCTGCTTTAACAAAAGCAATGTGGCAAGTGCAGTTTAAACAGATTTCCTCTTATTGTCAAAGTAAAGATGGAATTCTGGTCACGTAAAAGCTGAGTGGACAAGAGAGACTCCAATTTAAACTTCATGCTTTGTTCTTAAAGTAGCTGAAAAATTAGATGAAACAAGAATGATGCCATTCTGAACAACTCATTACATCCTTTTAGTGATAAGGGACGATTCAGTTAAGGTGGCTTGGGCATTTAGTTAGGATGCGTCTTGCACCCCTCCCTGGTGAGGTTTTCCAGGCACGTCCAACTGGGAGGAGACCCAAAGGAAGACCCTGGACATGTTGGGGAGAGCTGGGGAGAGCTCAGGAGAGGGAAGTCTGGGCCTTCCTGCTTAGGCTACTGCCCCCACGACCCAATCCCAGAAAAGCGTAAGAGAATAGATGGATGGATAGATGGGATACATAATTCACAAATTTAGATAAAAAATAGGATTTTTTATTTAAATGTTGGATGCAAAGTCTATTAATAATGCTTTATTTTATAAAACAAAACAAAAAGAATCTGGTATCTGACTCAGAACCCAGCAAACGATCTACCTACCAACACATGAAACTATAAAAGCTCTCAGGTTTACAGAAAATGTTTGTATTTCCCTGAAAATTTTTGGTTAATCTCTCTTACCCTCACAATTAAGAAGAAAATATGCATTTTTTAAATAAATCAGAGCAATATTAGAATTTTTTAAGCTTTAATTGATTTTAAAGGGAAGAGTTTAGCTCTTTTGAACTCTAATTATCATCTCACAAGTTCATAATGTTCAAAATCTTAAAAAAAAATAAATTCAATGTTTACTGTTTGATGTTTTCTAATCAACACCTTCATGAGTCCTGAGAACTCAGAATGAAGAGAAAAAGATGTTTTGATCAAAATGTGTTTGAAGAACAACAAAATCTTAATCATTAAATACAAGAGTTTTTTTTTACTGTGATTTGGGCTTCTGTGTGAGTCGTAGTCAAAGGGAGGATTTTAGTGATAAAGGGAGGGAAAAATTCTTTTAGAAGCCATGCAATTCTGGATAAAAGCACGATACATTGTGTTTTTACAGCAGGATACAATGACCAAAAGGCAGATGATTAGAACGGATGAAGAGAATAATATGCTTTTGTTATTTTTATAAATAAGTAGTTAACTATATTTGCAGATAAAGACATTTTGGCAAAAAGTGCAAACATTTTGCTCGTGGTTTCCCCTCTAATGTAAAGCACGACTACTTGATTTTGCTTTCCACAAGAAAAGTTTGAACGTTAGATGCTAAATTTTGTCGCACAGGGAAGCAGCCAGAATGACTCTTCTCTTCTAGACAGAACTGAAGGCAAATTTCAAAGAGACAATGAAGCGATGTATCTCCGTGCTGCTGCTTCTATTTTATGCACAAACTCCACACTGTTAGATGGTTTTGTGCTGACGGGAGTGCACATCAAATTGATTTCAGCACAGTGTTTTTTTTTCTTTGCTTTGTTGACATGGATTTTGAATCTTGTCTGGAACAGCTAAATCAAGTTTTTAGCTGTGTACCACGCTTTGGCTGGCAGAAACTAGTGAATTTTTGTGTTTAGATGATGAAAACGAACAGACTTACCGATTGAGTTTCTCCTGTTTCAGCTCCATGTCTGCGACAGCGATCAGCTGATCCAGCTTACACTTGGTCTCTATGATCTCTGCCTCTCTGGGTGAATAAGTTCCACCCTCCTTCTTACGCTGGTGAAGTCTAACAATCATAGCAATTTAATCACAGGTAAAATAAATGAAAAAACAAACAAACATTTATTTACTACAAACTGTGGGCAGGAATTCAGAATATGTTGGTGCTGATGATAATGCTTGTAGCACTTCTTACTTGACTGAGCAGCAGATAAAGACGATGAGGAACAAAGCCAGGAAGAATGACACCAGAACACCCAGGATGATCTGCTCCTCTTTGGTCAACAGTCCATTCACTGCAAAATGTGGAAAAACAAATGTTCAGTATGCTGAATCTTTCCAAGCAGAGTTTTGTTGGGCCGTCTCCGCTGTCGGTGTACCTGCAGTTCTGATGTGCTCGGAGTAGTCGGAGTCTGTGTATTGGCCTTGAATGTTAGTGGCTCTAAATTTAAATCTGTCAACATAAAAACAACAGCACCACTGCAGTTTTGGAAAACAAAATTTCTTGTTTGTACTTTTGCAGGGTCCAGAAGATGACCAATGCACTCACACATAAACTGTGTTGGATTTCAGAGGCCCATTGCACAAACTTGTTGAGTCATTCTCCCTGCAGTTAGTATTCGCTCCGATCACGTACGTGTCATCTGTGGACTGGTTTAGCCTCACAAGTGACGGGATGTCCCCAGACACGCTGCGACCGCCCCTGACGAGCACATTCGCTTGCGCTGTCTCATGCAAACATTTAGGGTTGGGGAACCCTTCGTCAGTGAAGTATGGAGTGGGGCGATGTAAACATGCATAGCTCCAGTTTGTCACAATCTCGTCGTCCCTCACTGAGTGATGGAAGGAAAGTTGGAGAAAACAGAGAACTGAGGTATGACACTAGGCCATGCCGCTGATGCTGTTGGCTTTGCTACAGCAGCACGTTTTCTGATCTCAGGACAGTGACACAGTGTGAAATGTGGTTTTACTTAAAGAAGGACCAAAACACAAGTGAGTTCTATAAAAACAGGATTGCTGTCATACCCCCCAACTCAGCCACGATGACCTGGATTTTTGCGATTGGTCCATTGTCGTCACTATAGAAACAGATAGGCTTTTTGATGGTTATGGTGCTGTGGGTTACCATGGAAACCCCTCTATGGTTCAGCATTGCTTGAGGTCTATCGGTTGGCTTGGATGGGGCTACAAAGCGTGCACGCACACACACACACACACACACACACACACACACACACACACACACACACACACACACACACACACACACACACACACACAGACAGACAGACAGACAGACAGACAGACAGACAGACAGACAGGCACGCACGCACGCACGCACACACACACACACACATGCAAGCATTTACCAGGTGAACCAAGTGTTTTGTATATTTCTGAACTACATTTATAACATATCAACACAAATGTAATGAATTAGTTTCATTTTATTTGTGATATTAAAGGTGCATTATGTAGAAATGAAGTAAATATGACATCCTGTGGTAAAATTTGGTTACTACAACTACTTTAAACAACTCTGGAGCGTTTTGCTGGCCGTCATCAAATTAGAATTGTCGTTGCTGCAGTATTAGCTCACAGGAGACATGGCAACCTCACACTCACTGATGGTAAACAGTAGTTATGGCCCTCCTTCCTTTGTTTTGATAGGAGAAAAACTGACAATCCCCACATCCAGCTGGATATAAATTTGTTTCAGTATAACCTTCCTTCCAAAAGGACTGAAACATTTGACTCTTTTGGGATTTTCTCACTGTAAAATTCTTACTACATTCTTACATGCTGCACCTTTAATGGCGCTATTTCATATGTTTTCTGCATGTTGCGACAAGAAGATATGAAATGTGTTAGAATTTTGCATAGAGCAGACTCAAACCTTTAATGCCTGTAGTTATCTGGACATGTGAACTGAGTGGACTGTTGCCCACCCCATTCCTTGCTGCAACCTGCCAACATACAAGATGTCAGGAGACGATGAAAAAAATCAGTTGTGACAGTTCGGAAGTGTAATTGTTTAGCTTTGTGTGTGTGTGTGTGTGTGTGTGTGTGTTGCTCACTTGTATACTGTAGGTGCGTCCTCCTTTAAGGCCATCTACGACAGCAATCACCGTGTTGGAGTCTCCTTTGTTTTCCAGGCTGATGTTTTTAACCAGCTGATCATTCTCATACACAAACACGAAATAGGCAGTGATGTTTCCGTTGGGCTCTTGGGGGGGACCGAAGCTCACCATCACCGAGTTCACCGTGTCTGAGGCGGCAGACACCGTCACGTTATTGGGTGGGTCTTTTGGCTCTGGAAAAAGAAAAGTCATAATAAAGGAATCAGCTGGTGAGCTAGAGCTTGAATAAGAACTGAAAGATCTAGACGTACGTTCCTCCAGCGTTCTAAAAACCAACGGTCCGACTGCCTTCCCATCACTACTGGCTTGCTCGCGTGTACCAGTAAAGGCGGTGACAGTAACAGCATAACTGGTAAAAGCTGTCAAGTTGGTCACCACAACAGTCATCAGCTCTCCTGGAGCTCGGACTACGGAGAAGTTCACACCAGGACCATCCACCTGAGATGAGACAACCTGGTAGGTCACTCTTTTGATCACATGATCAGCTTTTAAAACCATGGCAATTTAAATGACATCAAACTACTTTAATCCTTATCTCCTCACATGCACTTAATCCTACCTGTACAAGGTAGGAAGTAGGTCCGGAGAGAACAGCTGGAGCCTCCCACGTGATGCGGAAGCTGGTGGCGGTGGGGGTCATGTTCAGGTTACGGGGAGGAGCGTCTGGGTCTGGAGAAAGGAGATGTGCTGTTAGACCTAATGCAGTGGCTCTATTTGTGCCTGACAGACACGTTATTCACACAAGACTAAACAAAATCAAAGAAAATAGGCTCATTTATTTTTCCAGCTAAAGACTTTCTCTGCATACATTAGTGCATCAAGATGGAGAAGTTATTATAATCAGGCATCATATTTTAGATGGTAAAGTCATTATGTTAATGTATGCTTTGACATTGTAAATGTGTCTGCCATAAAAAGCCATTTGGTCAAACTGAAGGATTTTAAATGCAACATTATGACGTCTTAAGTTATTATTTGTCATTAGCTCGATCACTTGGGGAAGAAAAACATAGACTGACTTTGATAACTTTGTTTTTTCTCGCTGATCCAAGGATTTCTGTAGTATTCATTCCTATATGGAAGCTTGGGAGAGAGAACAGCTAAATGTAAATGCAGGACTATTATGGGATTAACGGGATGAATTGTCTACAACCCATAAGGTATTCGAGCATGGCTTGATGAAATCAAAAGGGGGCCATTTTTGCTTAACTTTCTCTAACTTAACCATCTCATTTGTCTAACATTGCAACCGAAGCCCTGATTAACAGTCAGCTCTCTTTTGGCAATGAGTAAAGGTCACGTCATCACTGGTTCCTACTTCCAGCCAGGGTTTTTGCATAATTCCAGAGAGTGTATTCCCCAACTCCAGCATTGGTCACGGCAGCCACTTTGAAGCGATAGTTTCTGTATTTAGCCAGGGACTGAAGAGTGACGCTGCTTTCCTTCGCTCTGTCGGAGGCGTTCACTGACACTGAGAAGCTGTGTTCCACACATTGTGATGAAAGATTGTCCTCTGAGGTTGGTTTAGCGGTGCTGTGTGTGTTTGGTTTGCAAATATCCGAAAGGAGCTCCGCAACGATGTCGTATCCTCTCAGCAGGCCTGGAACGGAGAGCGGCGGAGCCCACTTAAGAGTCAGATTGCTGGAGGTGATTTGGGAGATAGTGAGGAAGCGAGGGGCAGCTGGAACTGTTGAGAGACAATGAGGATTTAATCAAGCATTGGCTCTTTGTTAAATGAGCATTAGAAAATGAGAGCTTTAACTGAGAAAATCAGCTGTGCCTGATTGTTAACCTGATTCAGGGAGGGTGGAAACTGTGCAGTTTTCCCTGGCTCCTGGTCCTGCTGAGTTGACTGCAGCTATGATGAATGCATACTCCTGGTTTGGTAACAGCCCCGTCAGCGTGTACCCAGGTGTGTGAATCTGGTGTATGACAGTCTGCAGGTCCACCTCCTCTATCATCTCGTAAAACAGAATCTGTCCATTTGGATTGGCTGGAACTTCCCAAGAAAGCTCGATGGAATCCCAACTGACTCCCGAGCAGGACAGGTTCCCCACAGCATCAGAGACTGCAGACAGGATGAGAGGGAAGATCCAGCGTTTATTTTGACAGTTTCAGTTAGGTAAACAGCTCCAACTGGAATTGATTTAGTTTGAATTTGCTTGCTAAGTGTTTTAAATTAAACACAAAATGAATTAAAATAATTCTAAATCTCTGTTGTTGCAGCCCAAAAGGAACTGTCCGAATGTCTTGTCCAAATTCACACCGCTCAGTCCTCATCTCGATGATTCAGCACATTATTCTGAAAAGATGCACAGTCATTCATTGGCTCTAGTAATGGCAGTGCATATCTTTCTGTGTGTTGTTGGAAGTTCCTCCTGTTCCCTCCCACGGTTTAAAAAAATGCTGTGGAAGTTTTAAACTGACTGAATGAGACAGTTTGTTTGTCTGGTGTGTCTCTGTTGGCCCTGCGATAGACGGCTTTTTGACCTGGGTTCACCCTGTTGATGTTAGTGGGGTCATGCTTGACCTGTCAGTCCCCTCCACATTAAAAAATAAAAGAATGTTGTAGAGGAAAATATTGCAGTTTCTTCTTCTTGTCGGCTGCTTCTTGTTCTCCATGCTGGTTGGGATGTTTTTGTTACCCTCCTTCTTATTCTTTACCTCTCGTACATTGTATTTTCTATGGTCTGCTGATCTTTTGCTGAATGAATCTGTAATCATCTCAGCGGTTCCCAGTCATTAATAAAGCTAATGTTCATTTCTAGTTTTCAGTTTCTCAGTTACTTCATTAGATCTCTGCCTGTGTGTTTTGTCCAGTCGCTGTCCTGTTGTCCCTCTATCTCTGCCTCTTCTCTTCCTCATTCTTGCCACATCTATGTCTCACCTCCTCTTAATCTCTCCTCATCTCTGCCTCATCTCTGCCTGATCTCTTCCACATGTATATGGAATGAGATTTTTATTCTTTTTTATTGAAAATTGTTTGCAATTTTAATCTGTTTGCTGTCTGATTTATTGTTGATCTCTTTGCATTTTATTTAAATGTACTCTACTTTTTAGAAAGGTTTTATGGACAAGTGTTGCAAATTAGCACGTGTGCTAACACACTAAACAATGCATCTGGTTCGTCCAATGTATTGCTGTGTCCATGTCAAACAAACATCACATCATCATATATAATTTCATCCTTGTCTTTGTACCGCCTCTTCCTCATCTCCACCTCATCTTTGGTCCGTCTCTGTCTTGTCTATTCCTCATCTCTGCCTTTTCTCTGCCCCATCATTTCCACACCCCTGCCTCATCTTTGCCCTGCCTCTTCCTCGTTTCTGCCCCATCTCTGCATTGTCTCTATGCATGTTAATTTAGATTTTGTATTCTGTTGATAATTTGCTGACTCTGCCAGGAGCTGAATTAGACTCACAAAAAATCATATGGCAGGGCACCTTTGGAGTAAACTTGTAAAATTGTAACTCATAGCGTCACAGCAGGCAAGACACCAACAACCTATAATACTTTTCTGTAAAATGTTAAATTATGAGCATTTTGTTTTGCCATTCTCTTTTGCTGATATATTTATAATCTCTCAGGAAAATATTTTATGTGTATGAAGCATAAAATGTCAGCGTCTAAGAATAACTCTGAACTCTAAACTTAACACAAGCTTAAATCCATGTGGCTGCACCTTCTTTTATGTGGGAACTGCATGTGGCTTACCTGACTCGTTTGTTGTGAAGGTCACAGGGCTGCTGAATTGATTCCCGTGGCCCACTCTGGTGTAACTGCAAACACTGATCTCATAGGAGCTGTGAGGCCTAAAGCCTGACAGGTGCTCTGTGGTCGACGGGCCAGAGGAGTTCTACATTTGTTCAAACACACAAAATACAGCATCCTAGATTAAATATGCCTCTCTTCACAGCTGAAGTGGATGAAATCAGGATATCACATATATGTGCTGTTTAAGTATAATGTTTCTGTAGAGTAATAGCTGGAGTGTGAAATTAGCCACCACTTGTGTGTACGCTTAGCCCGGAGTATGTGTGTGTGCCCTATTGTTACTGTGAAGGAGCTTTCAGTGTGTGAAATTAATGGCACCTGATGTGTGACGGTTTCTGTGATGAGGTCTTGGATCCAGAATCCGTACTTTATCACCACTCCATTGGGCTCCAGAGGCGGCTCCCAGCTCAGCCACACGGAGACTGCTGTGTGGTTGTATATCGTTAGGTTACGGGGAGGAGACGTGGGCCCTGGAATACATAATGAAGCTGATTTTAGACAAACTGCTGTGATTTATAAATGCATTTGAGATCTGGTCTTGAGCTAACCCCCTTCATCAGTATGCAGCTGCACAAGCAGAGTGGGCCCTGCTCCTTTACGCGTGGCAGCGATGATGCTGAGATTGTAGGCCGTGTATGGGAATAGCTGAGTGAGGATGGCCGAGGTGTTGGGGGTCTGTGTGGTGCTGGAGCCCTCAGGGCCAGACAAAGTGAGGGTGTACTCAGTTATTTCTCCATTGGACTCCAGAGGGCGCTGCCAGTCCACAGCGATGGAGGACGAGGACACATTTATAGCTGACACCATCAATGGAGCAGAACTAGGGACTAAAATGAAACACACCCATGGAAGAATCAGTGTTGCAGCACATACTATGTACACACTCTTCCTCACAAGCTGCTGTCTAGATAAACTTACCATCATCATCCGTCCTCAGGTACATTGTGCTGGTTTGGTTGTAGGCTGGACCAGCACCAGTTGCTGGGGTAACAGTCAGCACGTAAGGAAAATACTTCCTGAGTTTGGTAAATAGGAACACATTATCAGTTGTGGCTTGCTTGATGGTTTTGTTGACAGCTGGTGTTCCTGGGCTCAACATGTCTGGGGACATTCCAGCTTCCTGCAAGGTCAGGATGTAGTAAGGGCGGCCATTTGGCTCAGTTGGAGGATCCCAGCTCACGATGATGGCAGTGGAGCTGAAGTTCTGGGCTGTCAGGTTTGAGACTGGGTCGCTTGGCACTGCAAGAGGAGACCAGAAAACTGGTGTTATCACATCAAACCATCAGTTTAATAAACAAGTTCACTCCACTTTGAAGCATCATAGTATGCTGATAATTTACATAATATAAAAATCCCATCATTATCATTGTTACTATCAGCATTGTTATAATTAACAAAATGAGCAATGTATACAGGAAAAATAATAAGAAACAGACAAGTAGAACAGAAAAGTCCCAATACATTTAAAAATCTACAGTTACAACACACAAACATGGGAAAGGAATTTTCATTATGAAAATATGAGATCGAAAGAAAGAAAGAAGGGAAAAAATACTCATCCTGTTCTTCTTTTACAGCTCTTCTGGAAAGATTGTACAATACACAAAGCAGAAACAAGGACAGACAAAGAGGAGGGAAGAGAAATAACTGGCGATATTTATGAATGAGTGGCTATAGGGAGCCAGGTGTTTGTGGGGGTCTAAAGACCAGGGGACGTGAGCCCCTGCTGGGCTTGGCTGTGCGGGAGACACAAGGTGCCCTGGAGGTCCGGTGTTTGGCTGATAATGGAGCAGCTAGAGCACAGGTAGAGATACAGGGTCAGTGATCATTCAGGCAGGGAAAACTTCACAAACAAAAACAACACATGGATCATTTGTGACAAAGTCTGGCAGTAGTCTGCACCATTTTTCCCAAAATCACATAAAAACCTAGAGATGAATTTAAACACATTTTCTGTGACTATGATCATCTCAGGACATAATGGCATAAATCTTCTCAAAGCTTGTCAGGATTAGTTTATTCTCAGTTTTATCAAATTGTGACTTCTGTTTGTTTCTTTAATCTGTTTCTTTAATCCCTCACAGTCACTGTTAAGCACAAACTGTCTTGTAAGCACAGGGGACTAATTGTTCAGATGGACATTTATCTCTTTTTACAAAACAGGCTGAAAGGTACTTTGTCAATCACAAAGTTTTTATGTAATTTTATTTAAAGATAAGAGGAGATTTGAAAAAAGTGTGCAGACTTGCACCCCAGTTATCATCACATCAAAGCTTGTATTTCTTATTAAAACCTATGTGTAGTCTATGCATAAACTTTTATAAATTTGTGTCTTTTTGTGTGTCTAACTGACCGTCTTCTGGTAGGAGCACGGTTAATGGCTTTGACCGAACCCCTCCGTCACCCTGTATAGTGCTCGAAGTCATCCATATAGTGTAGTTGCTGCCACCAATCAGGCGTTTCAGGTTGTAGATGAAGGGCGAGTCATGAGAGGCAGGGATAGGTAAATTTGAAACAGGAATTTTCTGTGGAAAAAAAAATGTGTTTGAGGTATTTTCAAAAACCAGACGGAACATTTAAGCAGCTGCATTGATGCTTTTTGTTCAAATAAAGAAACAAAGAAAGAAAAAGCTATTTTAGAAAATATCACCATGATTTGTGCAAATTTCTCCAAATGCCTTTTGACAACATATAGCCCATGTTCAAATCTGGGCTTTAACTGACTGACAGCAACACCTAGACGGAAAAGTCTAGCATCAGAGTTTATGCCATTAAATATGAATAAATATCATCAAGCTGCACCTCTTTTTTAATTCATTTATTTTTTTCCATGTCCTGTCTGGCTGTGAAGCAAACATAATTGATGTCTGAATGCTGGTGACAAGCCTTATAGATTTACGCTCAGGTGGAGCATCAAAGCTTCTGCTTTTAATGTCATGCCTGATACTTAAAACTTTATTGTTATTGTTTTTTGAATGCTTGTAATTCCAACTGGACATGGAGACAGAGGTGAAAGAGAAAGGAAGAGACAAAGGGGGGGGGGGGGGTGTTCCACAAAAACGTACAATCAGTGATGAACAAGAGTCTGCTTCTAGACTGGCAGAAGGAGAAAACAGGAGCAAACAATCACTGCATCCACCTGATGAGGAAATATTAAATCAACATTGTTCTACTGAATAATCAAACGATAATAAATCACAGTGCATTAAGTGCCAACCACAGCCTTAAGACATGTGTTGAACATGCCCAAGTCCATACTTATGAAAGCACCATGTGAGCACCTGTGTGGGTACACGCGCTTGTATATGTAAGGTTTCTCTATAGGAGCATCCAACAGAGAGTGTGAGGGGCCACAGATCTGTCCCCAAAGATGTGTAGGAGATGGAAGGAGCTCCAAGTCCCAGAGATCCAGGCGCTACCCCCGAGCGCAGGGACCCCAGGGAGACTGCAACCAGAAAAGCCCCTGCCCCCCTCAAGATGCGCAGAGGATTGCCCCGGGGGGTCACCAACCAACAGCAATCAAGCTGCACCTCTAACAAATCTGCAGAGCCTGGGCTAAAAGACCATTGAATCATTTTTTTATGAGCGCCAAACACAATTAATACTGGAATTAAATGAATTATGACAAATAAAACAAGTAATAATAAAAAAGTAATAAATAAAGAAAGAAATCAACTTTTTTACTGTTATGTTTTCTAGTCGGTAGAAAGCAGACAGGAAGTGACATTATTCATATGAACTTTATTACAGCAGGAAGGACAGGCAAACACACGGCATTCATCTTGTAACAGTCAGAACTTCCTCAAAACTCTACACACACCTCTCTCTCTCTCTCTCTCTCTCTCTCTCTCTCTCTCTCTCTCTCTCTCTCTCTCTCTCTATATATATATATATATATATATATATATATATATATATATATGCTAGTGTTAGCAATTTGAATTTGATGCATGCTGCTAGCGGTAGCCAGTGGAGCTCAATGAACAGAGGGGGGTGATGTGTGCTCTTTTTGGCTGATTGAAGACCAGACGCGCCGCTGCATTCTGGACCATTTGAAGAGGTCTCACAGTACAGCCTGGAAGACCAGTTAGAAGGGCTTTGCAGTAATCGAGGCAGGAGATGACAGTAGATTGCACCAGGAGCTGGGTGGCATGTTGTGTTAGGTATGGTCTGATCTTTTGTATGTTATACAGCGCAAAGCGGCATGAACGAGCAACAGAGGCAACATGATCTTTAAAGGTCAGGTGTTCATCAATCACAACACCCAGATTTTGAACTGCCTTTGAAGGAGCCAGAGATAGGAAGTCATTTTGGATTGAGATATTGTGCTGTATGGATGGTTTTGCTGGGATGACGAGTAGTTCAGTTTTAGAGAGTTTGAGTTGGAGATGGTGGGATTTCATCCATTTGATATGTGTTATGGCTCAGAGGCATTTGGGTTTTTCCCTGTGTGTGTGTGAGAGGAGATGCAGCACCTGGCTCCAATCTCACTAGATTGCCTCCCGGTTAGATCCTCCCAGCTGATCCTGATGACCAGCAGCATAAAAGTCAGCCAGCCCTCAGTTCAGGGAGCAGCAGGCCAGGGAGTTTCTCTCTGGTCTGTTGTCTCCTCAGCAGCTTTTGGTTTTGTTAAGTTTTAGGTAACAACTTTGGTGAGAGCTTAACTCTCTGTGTTTAACCGTTCGCCTTTTAGGGGTAAAGTACACTTTACCCCTTCGCTTGATTTTATTAAGACATCACTCAGTAAAAGGGAAATCGTGATGGTCTTTTGTGGTTTTGTATTAATTTGGTTAATATGAGGGTTTAGTTGTTACTCGTTTTGCGTTGCTGCTGATGTGTCTTGTTTATCTGTGTTTTGAGTTTATATTTATGTAAATAAATGTTGTTTTGCTACTTTCAACACGAGAACATGCGTCCTCATTGTTACCCCAGGCCCCCTAGACAGCCTGGATCGTAACAGAGAGACAGTTTGATATTTGTACAGAGACAGTGTGGTCGTCCAGTGGAAATGACAGATAGAGCTGGGTGTCATCTGCATAGCAGTGGTAGGAGATGCCTTTCACCCAGTGAGGTGGTGTATATGGCAAAGAGAAGAGGTCCTAGTAAAGAGCCCTGGGGGACTCCTGTGGCAAGATGGTGCACGGTAGAGGATTGTCCAAGCCAAGATACACTGAATGATCATCCTGTGAGGTACGATTCGAACCAGGCGTGTGCTTTCTCTGTGATGCCCATGTTAGAGAGTGTGGACAAAAGGAAGCCATGGTTTACAGTGTCAAATTAAACATACAAATTAATTTCAGATATTAGAATCAGAAAAAAGACTACGTTAAAAGGTGAGCAGTTACAGTGGAGAAAGTGCAGCATAAGAAAAAAATCATTCAAAGGCTGATGAATACATGAAAGTTTTCAATTCTGATTTAAAAGTTACTAGAGATGAGGCAAATTTGAGGTCACAAGGAAGCTGATTCCATCTGTGTGCAGCATAGTAGCTAAAAGCAGCTTCACACTGTTTGGTTCTGACCAAGGTTCTACCAGCTGACTGCTTCATAAAGATCTCAGAGCCCTGCTGAACATTTATATTGGAAGGAGACCCAACATGCATTTTGGTTCCATGTCGTTGAGTGATTTATAAACTAGTAGTAGCACTTTGAAACCAAATCTGTAGTTTACTGGTAGCCAGGGTAGAAACTTAAGAACTGGAGTGATGAGCTTGGCTGTTTCTTTGAGATCTATGTTGTATGCTCCAAATTATCAAAACATCTGTTTTTGTAGAGGTGCTCTCACTTGCTGATGATTAGTTAATCAAGACGATTTGATTAACGGCGCCTGGATGCTACTTATCCTCATTAATCCTATGGAAGCACTCAGAGTATAATTAGATTTTAACATTCTGCTGCTGCATAATGCCACTGTGTTATCATGTGTTCTTTACTAGAAATCAGATGAATTATTACTGCATCTTGATAGGTAAAATCTTAAAATCAAATGAGGATGCACTATCTTTTTGCATTCATAATCAGTGACTTACCTTTTCTGTCATCGTGTTGTTTTCAGAGATGTAAACAGTGTAGTGCACAATAATACCATTGGGTTGAGTGGGCGGATGCCACGTCAAGGTGAGAGAGGAAGCAGTCACATTTACAACCGTTACATTCTGTGGGGGGTCAGTTGGCTCTTCGAATCAGGAGAGACAAAGAAATCAAAGAACACAATGATTAAAATGAAAACATAATAAGAGATCAAAACTCACAGAGCATTTTTGCAATACCTGCTTCACCGCTGGTAAAGCTGATATAGATCAGCACTCCTCCATCTCCCAGTCTGGTCCAGCTGGAGACAGAGGCATTATAGCGACTCTCTGAGTCTACGTGAATAATCACGGATGTGCCTGTCACGTTCTGCCATGTCTCCGTCGTTTCATTCCTAACAAACAAAACAAATATTCATGCTGCATCGTTTCCGTTTTGTTTCTATCTCTTTAATATAAAAATATAGAAATAAGTTTTCCAAACTCACCAAATTCTGACAATGTAGTAGAGGATGTCTGAATTGGGTTTGAGAGGAGGTTCCCATGACAATTTTACCTCATAGTCTGACAACTTTGTGGCCTTGAGGAACTGAGGAGGGGTGTCTGGAGCTGAGACAGACAAGACTTATGGCATCTGAAAAGTTAAGGGGTATTCGTTTCTTAAAAGTTAAACAAAGGTGGAACCCAGGAACTCTAAACACCAAGTGAAAAATTAATCTTTGTCCTGAAAAGAAAAAATAATGTCAGTTTTAGTTTTTTTAGATTAGTGCCTTTTTTTAGACATCAGTGCCTCTCATTCCTGATGGAACAAGCTGGGGATCACATGGTGAGAGAAACCTGTGACATAACATTATCTGCAAGAGATGAAACGGAGAAAAGCAGGGAAGAGGAGGGGAAGGGTCAGGTTTAATTAGATGTCCTTTAAACTCATCCGCATCCTGGAAGGGAAAGGACCCTAACTACTTCTGACCCATGCTTCTCACCATCCTCCCGTGTGGTGATGTTGAGCGGCTCGCTGCTGTAGTTCCCCGGCCCAGCTCGGGTGTGTGCCTGAACCGTGAGGCGGTACTGCGCATACTTCCTTAGATGTGTGATGCGGATGAAGTTGGTCGGTGTGCTGAGGTTCAGGGACTGTGAAGAGTTCCACAGCTCCAGGCTGTAGTAAGTAATGACCCCGTTGGGCAGCAGAGGAGGATGCCACGTCACATTCACCTCACTGGGACTCACAGATTCATAAGAGAGTCCATATGGAGGACTGCCTGGAACTGCAGATAGAACAAAGAAGGGGCATTTAATTTCAAAGTTTCAGAAATCTTCCTAATGTGCTCAAGAAGTGTTGCACATTTGATCCAACTCACCATCTTCTCCAGACAGCAAGTATAAAGTGTCAGATGTTTGGTTGCCATCGCCGTAACGCGTGAATGCTTTTACGGACACGTTGTAGTAAGAGAACGGCTTCAGGTTCATTAGAGTGGCTTTGTTAGATGTGACGTTCATCACAGTAGAGAATGACTCGTTTTCATACAAGACCTCATAGTACTGGATCACCCCGTTAGCTTTCCCTGGCGCAGACCAGGTTAGCGTAGCTGTCGAGGAGCTTGTTTCCAACACACTGAGATTTTCAGGGGGAGAGTCGGGTTCTAAGAGGAAGAAAGATGTCAAAGATCTCAGCAGAAAATGTTCACTTAAGAAGAAATTCTTTATTTTGGGTAGAGTTAAACTAGCAAATGATATTTTATGTTTATCTCATACCATCCTCTAAGGTGTAGACAAAAACATCATCCTCCTCTGATAGCGAACTCTCTCCCACAGCTGTGGATGCCGCTACGCGTAGCTTATAGGCAGTGTACTTGTCCAGATCTACACATTCAAACAGAAGAATGCACATATTCATCATCAGACCTTTAGCCCGGTGATCTGTAAATAATAGATTATAACTTTGTACCTGTTATCATCATACTGGTAGTGTTTGTGTCAAATTTAATGGCTTCTTTGGTGCGCAGATTGACACTGTAAATGGTGTAATGTGTGATCATTCCATTGGGGTTGAGTGGTGGCCTCCAGCTCACAAATATCGAAGTGGAGCTGATGTTTTGATAGGTCACATTAAACACCGAGCTGGGGACTTGAAACAGAAAACAGAATTATTTAGGAGTTAGCAGCTTTTACACATTTTCATCCTTGCTGTATTAAAGCTGAGGTCCATTGTGTGATGTGATCAAAAACGAGGAGGAGGAGCTTTTGAAATTTGACAGGCTGTCCACCTTATTCCTAGCCCTTGCATGAAATAAGCAACCGACTTCTGATCCGTCATTTGTTAACTCAGCGACCATATATGTATTTTTCAATCCACTCATGCTGATGTGACTTTTATGGGCTTTATAGAGACGAAAACTATGTGGGAACACTAGCTGTCATAGCTCAAACAGGACACCATTACAATCTCTCTGCCTACTGCAATAAAGGGGTGGGAGGATGATATGAAAATCTGGCCAAAGCTAACATACAGTAGCATTTTAGCTACTACCTCAACTCTGTCATGTCTGACGACGGCTCCAAGGCTTATGAGTACCTACATAGTAATACGGTTGGTCCTCAAACAGGTGGGACACAATCTCACTAACATAAAAATAGATGTAGAGTCAGGTCAAAGCCTTAAATCCGTCATCACCAAGCCTGGGTTTTATTTTTATACTTTAGTTTAAATACAAACAGCAGATTGTTCATGGAAGGTAATTTTAACGATAGGTGTAATGATCATTTTCAACGCATTTTTATTTGTACAACCGCGAACAATGCAGCATATTCCCGAGCCGCACAAGTACATTTTTCAGGGGTAATATTTTTTAAAATCCTTTTGAGATGTTCAAATAAACTGCTCACCATGTAAGTCAAAGACTATGGACAGCTCCCTCCTGTTGATATTCAACTCTATTGGTCAATGATCTAGGCGACTTACTTTTCATCATAGAACAGGGTCAAATTGTCAACTTTAAGCATTTTTTGAAATTACGTTAAACATTTTAACCTATGCACCCAGCTTCAATGCAGTTAAATAAAATATTAGCATGAATACATACCCTGCTCACTGGTCTTTTCAGTAATATTTGCAGCAGGTCCTTCTCCCGCTGTGGTAGATGCAGTGACCTTGAACGTGTACTCAGTGAAAGGATTCAGATCTGACACCAAGTAGGACAATTGCCCAGACAACACGTTCACTACCTCCTGTTTCACTGTCACACCTGCAGTAACTATCCAGACATAGACAAACACAGTTTATCAGCACGACATATTGTTTCTATGAAAGTAAGGAGTTCACACTTGAAGGACTTCACACCTGTAGCCCCAGACACTGCTGCGCTGCGTGGTGAAACGTATGTTATAACTGAAGCATCACGTGTAGACAGGCGAAGCTGGCCTGGAGTCAGGGATAAGGAGGTGTTGTTAGAGGTGACCGCTTCTGTTTGTGGCTGCTTCATCAGCCAGGGTGGAGGTGTAGTTGGTGACATAGAGGTAACAGAAGATGCAAAGGTCCCAAAAGATTGAGTGATGCTGCGAGATTGCGACTCATAACCTGTGCTGGACTTGTTAGTGCTGAGAGTTTGTTTGGTGTTAGCGAGGAGATCAGTGCCTCTACTTTCAAAGGGTGTGAAGTTGAAAGCAGTCATCTCAGTGGGCACCGTGTGCGCAGAAACAGTGGGTGTGAAGATAGGTGGAGAAGTGATGGTGAGGTCAAGAGATCTCTTACGCCGTTTGAAAGTTGCTTGGACAGGAAGTGTCGAACCAGTTGTTTTCTGATGGAGGAAAGAATTTCAGTTTTGAAAGATGTTGGCTTATCAATTACGTCAGTAATTTAACGTGCTTGTTAACAACTCGTTTTTAAATTGAGAAACTCAGACAGCACACACGGGGGGTTGAGGGGTGTGTGGTCTATCACTGCCTCAGTGCAGCTCTCTCGGTCAGCCAGGCGACGCCTCTTTCAGAAGCATTTTCCTAACAGGAAGTGTGGATGAAATACGTCTCCACCCAGGCCTTGACTCTCACATTAAACTGGGTTTAGAAGACAGCTGCCGTGTTAAAAGACGTATTCTCAATTTAAAGGAGTTTCATTACCCTTCATAGGATTTGTTGAAGTTTATTACCCCTGAGGGGGAATTTGAGTTTCAAGACAAAATGCAAAGAAAGAACAGACACGACTGACATAAATACAAGCTGGTGAGAAACATCTGCCTTACTTGTGATGTGAGAGTGATGTCCTGCATCAGAGTCTCATTAACCAGGACCTGCAGCCTGTACTGGGTTATGGGACCATTAGGCTGTGCAGGGCTTTTCCAGCTCACACGAATGGAAACTGAATCTTCAGCTTTAGCTACCAGGTTCTGCACTGCGCTAGGGGCTGTTCACACAAGTAGAAACAGATAGAACACAAAACTCCACTTGGAAATTTTAAAAACTGCCAATGAACAGCTGAGTTGATTAATTTTGCAAGTACTTGACTTCATAAACACTCTCACCTTCTGCAAGTGTAGTCTCATTCCTCTCTGCTGCTGGACCCACTTCTCCTGCAGCTTTTGCACGCACAGCTAGTTTATATTTTGTGAAAGGCGTCAAACCAGTAAAAGAAAAACGAACATCTGACGTGCTGTTCTCGTATAAAAAACCTGGAGAACAAATCAATAGTATAAGCATTTAACATTTTATGTGTGTGTGAATATATTTAGTTGAAATTGAACGACCTGTAGGGCCAGAAATGTAAAGCACGTAGGTGAACTTTCCAGTGATGATGTTGGGAGAGCTCCATGACACAGAAATCCATCTAGACGTCACATTTAATATAAGTAAGTTTTGAGGTGAATCTTCAGGAGCTGTCATTCGAAAACAAGAATGTTAGGAAACATGATGAAGTTTAATCCTAAAACCTCACCGGGCTATTTTCACACACCTGATTCTGGCATGCGAACCATGGTAGAAGCTGTCTGTCCCTGGCCAGCCGAGGTGAAGGCCGAAACCTCAAACAGATAGGCAGTGTAAGGTAGCAGTTGGTCAACTCCCACTGATATGGGCACACTCCAAGAGGCTGCAGGTGGCACAGCAGATAGGGTGATGGACGGAGAGGATGCTGTTATGTCCAAGGGGCTGGGAGTTGCACGTGACAGGATATCAGCTGCATCCTGGACAGAGAAAATCACAGGAAACAAAGTAAGGGAAAAAACGCTTGTAATCTGAACAAAACAGAGAAGGGAACGACATAGTACATTGCAATGAGGCAGTGCTCCATTCATTATTTCCTCTGCGTTAACCTCCAGTACACGGGCGGTCATCCCCGTACGAACGTATTTCACCTTCACGGCAAATTTTGTGATGAGGCCGTTGATGCGGTGCGGCAGAAACCAGGTAACCACAACAAGGGTGTGGTTCTGAGCATACGCTGTCAAATTGGTCACTAGGCCAGGGGCTGCAGGACATACACAAAAACCCATTTACACACACGCACGCACGCACCCACCCACCATTCATCATAGACACTACACAACTGTACACAACTACTCACGTGACTCAGCTGTCTTTACGTATATCGGTTTGCTGAATGCCCCTAATTTACCAGGCGTTTTAGCTGCTACCTAAAGAAAAACAGAGCACTAATTGATTAATGTGATTCATTTATGCTCCAGTCCATAAAAGCACTTACCACATCTCACAGACATGCTAGTCTCAACCATACGGATATTTCTAAACTCTAACAATTTTTTTTTGTTGTTTATGGAAGATTCAAACAGTTTGATGCGTCTTGTGATAGATTTGTCCATGGAGATTAAAAACGTTTGTTGTGGACTGTCAGTAATCTGGTATGAAAGGATTTCTGCTCTGTTGATAAATTGTAGAGTGAAAGGAAATGCAGGGGAGATGCAGTAATATGATACAGGAACACACGTGCATAAGCTCATAAGGATGAAGACAAACGCTCTATGTGCAGGTATAATCAGTCAGTGTGTCAGTCTGTTAAAGTCTGTTTGTGTGAAGGTCACAGTGGGTTAATGGATTCTGAAAACTAATAAGCATGATCCCATTCAAGCTTAATGACAAGAGACAGTGGAAAGAGCCCTGGCTGATCCATAGATCTGTTTACCTGATTATTAATTCAGCCAGGATCAATTACCTGTATTCAGCTAGATCAAGAGAATAGCCTGATTCTTTTGTGAACTCTGCCTCACAGCCACGACCAGGAGGATGAGACAGGAGGAAAACTTTCCAGGATTCTGCACTTTTTGGATGTACTAATTATTTAGTATAATGTAACACACTACAGCGAGTACAGCTGATTTGGTTGGTATGTATTTTTATCTAGATAATAGTCTTTTGACTTGTGTTTCCCTCTAATTGCCAAAGGAAATCCTAATAAACTTCTTTAAAAATAACAAAAGATTTATCCTACCTGAATTTGATATGTTGACCCTGAAGTCAGCTCAGTGAGCAGATGTTCTGCCTCTGTGGTTTCTTGTGTTATTAAGGCATCAGGATATGGACACACCTCTTTGTACCTACAAAAACAATGTTACGTGGTTATTAAATGTTGTGGGGTTGAAAATCACAGAAACTAACACAAATAGTCTATGCAGGTAACCTGCCAGTGGTGTAAAGGCTCATACATTTAAATGTATGCACTATTATGCATTTAATACATTTACAGTTTGGTCAAATTTCTCCAACCAAACCTCTTGGAAAAGAAGGTTCTCTATACCAGATTATTTTAGTGTGACTTAAGGCAGCAATCCTTTTAGGAATCATGTGGGCTCACGTCGGCTGGCCAGCTATACCACCTCACGTAGGCCAGAGCCCCGTGGTGGCAGCAGTCTTGCTGATCTTCGACCGCTGCAGAGGAGCAGAGGGCTCAGGCCCAGGCGTTTAGCTCTGATCGCTGTGGTCTGTGGCTTTGCTTGTATTTTAACAGTCAATGGTTGGCTTCTAGCTCTGTGTTAGCTCCAGGTTTGCTCAGTTAGCTCGTAGCTAGTAGAGTTTGATGGGTGTCAACCGTTTTTTCCCACCGTCAAAGCTCCACTCTCAGCTACACCTCTTTGCCCACTTTTATGTTTGGCGGTAGTGACGACACGAGTTACACGGCCAAGATGGTCGTATTGGGAATTGCTCATTTGGCTTCAAAGTAGCCTTTCAGAAAGCTATGGGTGATGTCACAGAGGGTTTGTCCAGTATTTTAACAGCCAATGGTAAAGCTGCAGGCCCAGACGGCATAAGCTCCAGGCTTATGAGGTGCTGCGCCCACCAACTGTGTGGCATCATGGGACACATGTTTAACATAAGCCTGAAGCTGGGGAAAATATCACAGCTGTGTGATGCCAGTGCCAAAAGCCTCACACCTGAAAAACTTAAGCAGCAACAGTTTGGTAGAACTGACCTTGATTCTGATAAAAACCTTCAAGAGGCTGGTTCCTAACCATCTTCGCCCACTGGTGAATTCTTCATTGGATCTGCTGCAGTTCATCTACCAGCCTGGCATTGGGGTGGGTGATACTATTAGTTACCCTTCTGCACCGAGCTTTGACTCCCCCGGAGAAGCCTGGAAGAACTGTGAGGGGCTTTTAAGGTTTCCCCAGTGCTTTTAACACCATCCAGCCTGAGAGTGGACCACCATGTCACAGTGAATACTGCACTACCTTACAGAACATCCGCAGTTTGTTAGATCACATGTGTTTCTGACACGCCGGTGGTGCGGGGGCCCTGCAGCGAACTGTGCTGACACCATTCCAGTTCACCCCCCAAACTAGACATTTGTACTTCAGGCTACAGAAGATTTCTGATGACTCTAGCTGGCCTCATCATACGGGGAAACCCATGAAACTGTTGGTGGATTCCCACAGACACAGGCCCTCTGCATTGATGCATCTAGTTAACAAACATTGAAAAAGTGAACTTTCATAAGTTCCTGGGTGTTTACCTGAACAACAAACTAGACTGAAACCATAACACCAATGTTCATTACAGCAAGAGTCAAAGCAGATTCTACCAGCTGAGGAGACTGAGGTCCTCTGGAGTGTAGGGGGCACTCCTAAGGACCCTCTTTGACTCTGTGGTGGCATCAGTCATCTTTTAGGGTGTTGTCGGTTGGGGCAGCAGCTAATCTGCTGCTGAGAGGAAGACATTAGATTCACTCATGAAGAAGGTCAGCTCTTCCATGGACATACTGAGGGATAGTAAAGGAATTGAATTGAATTTATTTTAATTTTAAAAATCCAGCTGTGCTCATACTTGTCTGCAAAATATAATTTCTGGATACAACTTAAAAATGTATATTTTGTATTTTTTTTGTTTCACAACTTTCACACATACTGTTTTGTTCAAAAACGCAAAGTGCTAAAAACATGCCCAGTCGTCAATGTAAATAATCAAATCAATGCAAAAGGAGAATACTCAATAATAAATGACTCACTTGTACAGCACCTTTCAGAGTCAGATGACTTCAAAGCAGTTTACACTACAGTGTATCATTCATCCATGCACACACACATTCACACGCTGATGGTGATGAGCTATGATGTAGCCACAACAGCCCTGGGGCTCACTGACAGAGGCGAGGCTGCTGAGCACAGGCGCCACCGTTCCCTCCGACCACCACCAGCAGGCAGGCAGGATTAAATGTCTTGCCCAAAGAGACAACAGCAGAATTCTCTGTCCGGAGCTGGGATAAAACCTGCAACCTTCCGATTACTGGACAACCTTCTCAACTTTCTGAGCTACTGCTGTCCTGTTGTTCACACTTTGGTCCATCTAGTGGGGCTTACAATTCAGTATTATAGACTTTAACAATTCTCCAATAATAAAAGGCGACCTACATACTTTGTCCAGTGTTGACATCTTTAGATATCAGTACCCAACAAGCACAAACATTACCTGTAGACATATCCAATGACATTGGTTGCACCGGATGGAGATGCCCAGGTAAGCAGAATCCCGTTAGAACCAATAGGTTCTCCCACAAGCTTTTCAGGGGCACCAGGGGCTAAAGAAGAGGAAGGAATTGTACATCACAACAAACAAACAAACAAACAAACAAACAAACAAACAAACAAACACACACACACAAACAAACAAGCAAACAAACAAACAAACAAACAAACATCAATAAGATAGGAGTTTAAGCTAAAGCTTTACAACCAGTTAAGCAGTCCTTGGACCAACTTTTACATCAAAGCTAAACTTTTTTTATTTTACAGGTGAAACTCAAAAAATTTGAATATCATGCAAAAGTTCATTTATTTCAGTAAAACCAAATTTGAATATCATGCAAAAGTTCATTTATTTCAGTAAAACCAAACAGGCCCAAACCAAATATTGAGTACATTTGCATGACTGTACATTTTCAGAGTACTGACATTTCTATTTTATATTCTATTTTTCTGAGAAGTTGGATTTGGGGTTTTCATTAGCTCACAATTACATAATACTTATAACAAATATCGGCTCAAAACATCTTGTTCTCTACGTAACAAGCCTGTGCCTTGTATTAGAATGATCCAGTAGTGTTGCAGACTGAGTGTGTGCATGTGTGCATGCGGCTTCTATGAGTGTGTTTTTAGGCTAAAGCCTGATGAATAAGGCTTTACACAGCAGTGGCATTTCACTGACATTCACTCCGGACTCATTCATCCAGTGGTTCAAAAGCCCCCGGTTAAGTTACCTAAAGGAAGTATACACATCACCGCACATACCCCCCCCCCCCCCCCCCCCCCCCACACACACACACACACTCCCAATTTGCTCCCTTGTCTCCCTCTGTGTGGGTTAAACTGTGAACATCTCACCACTCTGACTGGTACTGATCATACGGCTGACTCCAGGGCTGATGTTGGAAGAGGAGGCTGTTGTTACCGTCAGAGTGTATTGTGTCCCAGGACTTACACTTGACGCATCGGCCTGTGGAAACAACAGGACAGAGAATATTTGTTCTCACACAAGCACACAGACATGTTTGTGTCAGTGATCTGCAGCTCCTCAGGAGATGATTCATCTCTGGCACCACCTATGTTCTGAATGCAGTTTTATCAGATTCAGTACTATAGATTATACACATTTATCTTTGCATATAAAACATTATGCTATTTACTGTCTTTGTTTAATCCAGTAAAAAGTCTTTCTCATGATACAATAGCAGAAGTGTTTGATTATCACTGTGGCACCTTTTAAGGTCTGCGGACTAAGGGTTAATTTCAGATTTGTGTGAAGGAGATTCAAACGGGTGCTTCAGGGATTTCATACTGACACATGAATTTTCTAATAGTAAGGAAAAGGTTTATTCTGTTTGGTTATCTAAACTAAAACAATGAAGTTTGGACTGCTTGATTGACTTCCATGTTAACTGTTTTGCAAGAGGTTGTGGAAAAGGTGCCAGTCCAATGAAAAAGGCTTAACACATTACAAGAGGTGTCTTCTGATGCTGAGATAGTGATGATGAAAATAGAGTAGATCCCAGTTTCTTTAAGCGGGTCAAAGCGAACATTAAAAACTGTAATTTACTCTGAACAAGGAAATCAGTTCCCAGCTACTCAGATTTCCCTTTAAAGGTTTGAAATGAAAGATCTACATTTTCAAAAAGCTGTATTTTTTCATATGTGTTTAAAGGTTTGGTTTGAAGTCAGAAAAACTAAAAGTTGCATGTTTTTGTTTGGTTTTAATAAACTAAATTAACATCCATCACTGTCCAGCATTCTTTTTGGAGTTGCACGTTTGTCTTTTTAATACCTGAATCTAACAGCTGAAATGTCTCCTCAGCTTTCATTAGTATCTACAGGAGTGATTAATCGCTAAATTAAACACATCAGCTGTGTTCGTGATTTTAAACATGCAAGAAACGTGCTGGAACCAGACTGCTGCACCAGGTATGCCAGCTCAATTTTCTCTAAGTCCCAACAGAGTGGCCCGCCAGGCTGAAGTTGCAAGTGGAATGTTCTGGCCACAGGGGGTGATAGGGGCTGGGTGGCATTTCTTTAACCCTCTAAAGGATCATTTTAGCACACACTGGCTCAAGAAAATGATTTGAAAATATGAAAAAGTTGCAAAGTATCCCTTTAAAATGATTTTATGATGAAAAAATAAATGAACAAAAGAGTCATAGATGTTAAATATTCCCCAGAATTAGTTTTTTTATAATCTTCCTAAGACTAAAAGGTTTCCAGGAAAAATACAATTTTATTGAAAGACAAAGATGAAGATGTTTAGATCTTCAAGAGATAATAATGGATAGTTCTCCTCCATCACGGGGGTGTAGTGAGATATTAAAGTCCACAGCCCAAACTGATGTTTTTATTCTTTATTTATATAGCGCCAAATCACAACAAGTGTCGTCTCAAAGCAATCATGCCAATTAGTTAAACGTTTCCTAAATAAAGGAACCCAGCTGATTGCATTGAGTCCAATTAATTTTAGATCAAACACAGGTCTGATGTTACTGAAGTGTTTTAGGATCACATATAGATTTTAAACGTTTCTTGCAAGAGACATAAAGCACAAAAATGTCAGAACTTTAGGTTTGAACCCCAGCAGGAATTGCATCGTTTGAACTTCAACACAAACAGCAGATCTAGAGGCTGGATGAGGTTAAAAACATAAAAAAAAGAACTAGAACAGTTCTCAGAGAGCACGTTATTTCCTGAACTACAGCGACCTACTTTAAGTTTTCAAAGAAGCTGAGGCTTCATGTTTGCTCCACCTCTCCACCAGTTACTTATCAAATTCATTGTATCGGCTAAATAAATATTCATAATAACTTTGTCCGGTTGTTCTATTTTAATATGCAACATTTTATTTGAAATACTCCACTCAGCCACCTGAATCACTACAATGGCTGGTGGAAGTGAAAGGATGACAGCTGGTGGTTGTATTTGCCTTCATCTGTGTTACAATTATGATTTGCATTCTGTACTGCAGTTGTTTCAACGTGAGTGTGTTCTGCTGCCATCAGTGTGTGGAGCGGCAGCATACCAGCACCAAACTACTTCTGAAGATGTGGGAATTTGCTTTAAGTAACAACAACATATTAGTTAGTAATGAACAGGAACAATAAAGGTTTCTTGTCGTGGATCCAGATGTGAATTCTTACCTGTTTAAGGTAGCACAAAAGCAGCAGGATGAAGGAGGCCATGCTTGGTAGCAGAGTTAGTTTAGTTTAGTCGCAGCAGGTTAGAGGCCTCATCAGAGTATCTGCATCCGATAATAGTGCACAAGAGTTAGCAGCTATCTTAAAGTTAAAGGGTTAGTGTCCAAGCTTTCCAGGAAAACAGCAGCATTCCAAATTTGAACAAATGTAGTAAATGGATCATTTTTGTAGCGCGAGGCTAACGCTTCATCTGTGGTCTCTGAGCCTCTCCTGGGAGAGTTGCTTAAACAAATGAATGATTCAGGTTGAGCTCATGAGGGCAACTTAATAAATAATGAGGTCTGTTACACAACTCAGTGTTTTGTCTGTGTGTGTGCAGTTTGTGGGGTGTGTAAAGTTACATTTTGAAAGGGCATCGGACACCTGACAGTCAATAAGGAACCTGTGTGGGGGCCAGGCTTGGCTCACTGGGAGGAGAGATGTCCCAAAGACACTTGTGTACCTGAACGTATCCATCTTGTCCAGAGTGAATGATGACTTTCCCCTGGTTTGGTAGAAGGCTCACTTGGTACCGATCCACACACCCCTCTGCCTGCAGCCAGCGTACTGAGAATCCATGCTCAGATACGTTCACTAAAGTCAAACCTCTCACTTGCTTTGGCACTTACAAAAAGAGGAAATGGAGAAACAGTCAGAAAAGAGAATGAAGCTGTGTGATTTATTAATACATGTGAGAACAGGTGTTGTCGACCTGTTTGAAATGTATCTACCTGTAGTTACAGTCAGAAAGGCAGCGCTTCCTGTCCTCACTCCTCTCACTCTCTCCGTGCTCACGTTGTAGCTGCAGCCATCCAGCAGACCTGTCACCACGACAGCACACTCCTCTTTGGGTACTGTGAGTGTTTTTGTGACCGAAGCATTGGTCACGGTAACTCTGTGGTGATCAAACTCTCCAGGTGCACTGTTCCAGCTCACAGTGACGGACGATGAATTCACTCCGTCTAAATGAAGGGAGCATAATCCAGCTGGGTCTGGAGCACAGACAGACAGGTGTGTAAGTGCAGGCGGCCCAGTTTCAACAAGCTCTTTTTCTGTTTTAGGGAATCATTCTGACTCTAACATTAACATTTTTGCACCATCGAGGCACGTGAGTGTGTGCGTCTTCGTTAGTGTCCCTTACGTGTGTTGAGGTCTCTGTTTACTGCCTGACTTGTGTCTGAGCCCAGAACGCTCTGAACACTGACACCATAGTCTGACCCCGGGATCAGTTCCCTGATCTCATAGCCCGTGCTTTCAACAAACACTTCAGTCCACCACTTCCTGTCCATAGAAAGCAGGCCAAATAGAAGCTGCCGAAGCAAAAACATAAGTACTAGTTTTAAAAATACATTTAAAAAAATCCATGAGCTAATGGGTTACAGACATGCTGTGGATTACAAATGTTTGTAATTACTTGATGCAGTATGTTAATTTACATTAACTAGCTTAGCATTAGCTTTGTGTGCTTCAAACACAGTTGGTCATACTTCCTGACTGAAGCTCATTTATATTTAAAGAGTTGGTAACCAAACCCTTAAAAGGCCTTCAGCCGTTGCTAAGTAACTATTACAGTGGGGCAATTGGCATACTTTATTTACAATTTCAGAACCGTGTTTTGGACTCATGCACATCTCTCTGGAGGCTTATAGACTGTTGCAGCAGCTTGAAAATCTTACCTTGTACTTGTCTACCTGTCCTGCTGGTGGTCTCCAGGTGACAAACGCAGACATCACTGGGTGCTCTGAAAGAGCCACTTCCTGTGGAACCCCTGGCACTAGAGATGAGATGCTTATTAGCATGTGACACCACACACCAGTACCTAATCATGTTCCAGTAAATACATTTTTAATTTGTCAGTAATTCACTTTGAGCCAGCAAGTGGGAGATGAGTGAGGTGACGAGGGGCATAAGATGTTTTCTACATCTCTGTTTTCACATATTTTGTTTAAAATGCAAGTTTGTTTAGAAAATGAAAGAGAATACATTTACAGAGGTATTTTTGTGAAGACAAACAATAATTAATACAACTAAAAAGTATTTTTTTAGTTTGTCACGATCATCCCTCTTCACCTGTAGTGTATAAATGTCCGACATGTGGTCAAATACATGACAAGGAGCATGATTGTTAAAAATCCTTCTGCATTGTTGCTGAGAATAACATTATTAACAACTTGATATGAATGTTTTCCTTTTATTTAAATTTCAGGAAATTTAAGATGTCGTGTCACCAGATTCTCACCAACACACACCCCTATAAAAAAGGAACTAAATGGTTCAAATAACCACATTCAGAAGCATTTTGCAAGGTAATTTGAAGCCATTTATAATCCTTTTTAAAAAAGCTGCAGCAGAAAGAGAAGCGGCCGGTAACCAAAAATACCCTGAAAGTGTAACATAAATCAACTAATCACTCTGTCACGGTCTGCCCTGCTCACTATTCATTCCACTAATACACTGCAGTTGTCCCAGTTCTGTGTTAACAGGTGGGCGTGTCGGACAGCCAGCTGTTCCTCCCTGATCAGAGGGCCAGGGGTACTAAAGGAGTGGTGTGACACAACTCCAGTGCCGCTTGATACTCGCATCTTGGGTAAACACCAGCCAGTTGCAGTCTTGTTTGATGTTCAGTTTTAATCTTGTCTGCCCGTTCCAGTCAGCCCCGATCTACCGAGTCCTGAAGGTTCCTGCTCATCTGTTCTCAGGAATTACCCACCGCCGTCTGGAGTTGTTGTTCCAACATCATGTCGCTCACTGTCCCCCTGGTCTCCTCACTCTCCGCCGCCCGCCTGTCGTCCTGTCCGTTTCCCAGCCTGCCTAACCACCAGCCTCTGGACCTGCATCATACCTGCCTCACTGTCTGCCTCACAACCTGTTTCCTCATCCCGTCCTGGATCCTCATTCTCTGCTGCTTGTCTGTCCCCACCTGGCCCCAAAGACCCAGCCCTGCCTCACCAAGACCGATCATCTGCAGTAAGAATAGCTCTCCAAACAATTCCAGTTCTGGTTCTCTGGTTCAAGGGGTTCGTGATTCTAACACCAGTTTGCTCTCCCGCTCTAGATCACGGTCCCTCCTGTTCCCGTTTGGAGCAGCGTTTTCAGTTACACCCCATTATTAATAAATATTATTTGTTATTTACCTACCATCGTTTCCGTCTGTGATTCTTTCATGTCCTGGGTAAAACATATTCCCAACATGACACACTCAGAAATAATCTCTTACAAATAAAAGACTAAATCTAAAGTTTTGTATTATCTGGAGAACAATTGGGTGATACAAATGTTTTTAATCCTCTTCAAAAGCCCACAAGTGTCAAATAAATAATGTTGGATTTGATATTTTATTGTTTTTTACCTTCAAGTATAAAGATACAGTTTTAAAAAGAGGTGCTGGAAGTATATAGATCAAAAATAGTGTCAGCACATTTGGACAACTCAAATTTTTTTAGTAAAGTGAATAAATTGTTTTGAGTTGAGTTTGCACATTTTGACGTTTAGCAAATTTAATTGTGAAATTCAAATAGACGTTTTCCCTCATTCCTGTATTGCTGATGCATTGTACGATTTACTCTCTAACCTACCAGTATAGATTGTTAGAGTAGCAGGTTTACTTCTTCTCTCTCCACTGGTGGTAATTACTTCAATCGTATATCGACTTCCAGGATCAAGGCCTTCAAAGCTGTACGATCTATGGACACACAGGCACACGTCTTGTTCTGTGATGCTAACCCATAATAATTTATGAGGTGGCTGAAACAGATGAGACTGACCTGAGCTCCTGATGAGTAACGGTCAGCTCCTGAATGGATGTTGTGGCTTTGATTGACAGGATGAGTGTGCTCACCACTCCTCTTGATGCAGTCCAGCTGATGCATATGGATGATGTTGTTTTATTGACAACAGAGACCTTCGCTGGGCTGGGAGCTGACACAGCAAGAAAAACAATGCATGTAGTTATTAGAAAGGAAAGATGAAGAATGTGTGTGTGTGTGTGTTTACCTGCAGTGATATTGATCGAGACGGGCAGACTGTCAGCGAAGGACTCTTTCTCTGTTCGCACAGCAAAGTGATAGAGCGAGCCTGGAGTCAGACCAGAAAACACTGCACCTGTAATGAACGCCTTCTGGATCTGTAACACACAGATCAAATCAGCAAAATCCTGACTTAAGTGCTTATCATGAATCCTACTGCTAAACCCTTAGAATGCAAGGCGACAAATGTGCTTGGTTTAATACAAAATATGCATAAGTATTTATTTTGAGTCTGCAAAGAATGATCTCTGCCCTGTTTAATGTGTTTTACTAATTAGTGCAACAGATGTGTTTAATAAGGATATAAATTACGTGTTTATTTATTTATTTACCTTCAGTGTGTCATTACAGTTTAGGCAGATGATCTCATAGCGGTCAGCTTGTCCCTCTGCTGGATCCCATATCAGCTCAATGGATGACTCCGTCACCAGTCCTTCCCTCACTCTGCTCGGTGGAGCCAGACCTAAAGTTAACCAAGAATCTACGTTATCTATCACAGAAACGCCAGGAAATTATGTCATGATGAATGAAATGATCATTCTTTATTTTTTATTAAAAATAGTTTTAGATTTTTTTAAAAAATGAACAGCCCAACCCAAAATAAAAAACCTGCAGAATTCCCTTGTTTCTCAGTCCTCTATCATTTTATCATTTATATACTATAAATCTTCAAAGACAAGAAGCAGATGGGATCTGATGCCAGTATTAGGGCAGATTAAATTTTAAATCTGGTCGGTGAAAAATGCATGAGGTGATGATGAGAAAGCTACTTTTAACTGGAGCCAAATAAGGAGGGTGACAACAAAAGTACCATGAGCACTTTTCCAATTTTCATTAACCCAACTTGGAAAAAAAAGGACCCATAATGCCTCTTTTAAACTTGACAACCCGTTTCAGCTAAACATTTATGTTACAGTTGCAGAATGTAACAAAAACTAGCTTCAGAATCAATAAAGCAAAGAAAAACATTTGGTCACAGACACATCATTAAGGTTGTTTATCAGATGGACTCCCATTGTCTCAACTGTCTAATTTCCCCTGAGAGCATGGCTCCCTTGATTAGTCAAAAACTTGGTCATTTATCTTCTGCCGTAAAGTCAGACTTGAGGAAATTGACTGTTGTTTTTGACCAATCAATGTCTCTTGAAGGCCACTCAGAAACATTGGTCCAAAACTGTTTCTATCACTAAAGAAATATCTCCAAATTGCAAAAGTTGGTGTCAAAACATGAACTTGAAATGGTTATCCATGCCTTTATCTCCTACCGTCTAGACTCTAGATTACTGTAACACACTCTTCACATGTTTTAACAGAAAAGCCCTTGACCACCTTCAGTTTGTCCAGAACTCTGCAGAAAGGCTCCTAACTGGAGCAAACAGAAGAGCACACATCACTCCTATTCTGATGTCTCTGCACTGGTTACCCGTCCCGTTAACTTTAGAGTTTATTTTACAATCCTGACCATAACTTTCATGCTCTACATGGTCAAGCTCCTCCCTATATTACTGAACTGTTAAAGCCTTATGCTTCAACCCGAGCCCTCAGGTCCACACACCAGAACCTTAAAGAAGTTCCAAAGACCAGATATAAAAGTCGAGGTGATCACTCCTTCCAGACTGTTGCACTCCAATGGAATGATCTTCCTTTATCCTTACGTATTGATAGTCTGGATATTAAAAAAAAAACCATCTAAATACCCTTTTATTTAAAGCTCCTTTAACATAAATCTTTTGCTTTCTTATTTTGAAATTTGTAATCATCTTTAATTTGTTCCTGAAATTTTGACTTAATTGTTTTTTATGTTGATCTATTTCTGTTTTGAGATCATTACTCAACTCAACTTTTATTTATATTGCGCCTTACAGGCAAAAAGCATGCCACCAAGCCGCTTCACAGATCAATAAAACATAAAAGCATAAAAAACATCGGGTCAAATAAAAGAAGAATAAAAACAACGGATCAGATGACAGACTAAAAACACAGAAATATAGCAAAACCCTTCAAAAAATATTTAAAGACAGATAATAAAAATAAGTTTTCAGCCTTGCCTTAAAAACCACCACAGAGGTGGAGACCCTTGTGCTGAGAGTAAGCCCGTTCCAAAGCTTAGGACCTGCCACGACAAAGGCCCTATCACCACCCGTCTTTAGGCGCGATCTTGGGACCGAGAGTAGCATAAGCATCATCAAATCATTATAGTTTTACGGCTTTATGCTTTATTTTGTTTTGATCTATGTGAAGCTTTTGTGATTCTATGTCTGTGATAAGTGCTATATAAATCTGAAGTGCCGTTTTTTCCCCTCCCCCCGACTCTATCCTCATATAAACCCTCTTGATCTGTAACGGTAGCGCGACTCGTGTTGCAAATGACTGCAGTCACCAATTCTTGTCATGTGTCCATGTATGTGTCTGATCTCAGAATTGTGTGTACTGAAACTATTGAATTTCCCTCTGGGATTAATAAAGTACTTTTTAATTAGAATTTAATTGAATTGAATCTAAAATGCTAAAACTTGTAAAAGCAACATGAGTTTATTGCAACTGATGCAACTATGATGCTATTTGATAACATTATGTTTTGTTGACATTGTGATATTGAGCCTAAAACACAGAAAGTACAGCTGTGTTCATGTTTAAATTGGACTTTAATGATTGGTTTGCTTTTTCCCATCAGAACTCTGCTGTAACCCAACCGTGTCTAACTTTCGACCTCCTAGTAAACTATTTAAGGCAAAATAAAAGTATTTGAAGGTTATTTTTCATTATTTAAACCACTTTGTTCATGTTTATTTATTTGGCAGATGCTTTTCTCCAAAGCGACGTACAATTTTTAACCTATAGGGCATGTTGTGATCTGCGAGGGAAACCAGAGTACCCAGAGGAAACCCGTGCATGCATGGGGAGAACATACAAATACACGCAAAAAGACCACAGCCCAGTTTCGAACCTGCAAACTTCTTTCTGCACCACCATGCATTTTTGTGCAATGCACCACTACCACAGCATGATGCTATCATCACCATGCCTTACAGCTGTTACAGAGTCTCACTCTGACATCTCCAAACACACTTTTGTCATTCTTAAAGGCCCAGCTGCGCATTGTTGGGGCTTGTTGGGGACCTAAAGGGCTTGGGATCATACACGATGTGTGCAGACATGTTGGTGGCATTACGAGTGTAAACAAACCATGCAAACAAACAGTACATTGCAGACATAAAGCAGATTTGAGAGAAAGGACGTGTTAAACAACTTGATAAAATCCCCTAAAGAATGCGAAATAGACACATTAAATAGAGAAGTCAGGGACTGGTATGTGGACTAAATCAGCATTATAAATGGTTCAGATCCATATGAAACTCCCAAGGCTGGAGCACTGATGACAACTTGTTGCCACAGCAGTTCTGCATGACGGGCATTTTTGACCAACTTGTTTGTGGGGTGAGGGATGTAAACGTCCGGATGAGAGGTAAATGTTTCATTTATTAGTCTCGCTAGTAAAACAATCTGAATTGTCATCCCACAGAAGAAGTGTAGCAGTATAAGTTGTGTGTCAGTGCGCCTGCGTTAGCGTACTGGTATGTGTGTGTGTGTTGTGTGTGCGTGCCGTGGCTGAAGGAAAGAAACAATGTATAAAAAACATACACCATCTCCCAACCCTGATGAGACGCCAAGCTCCTTCAAGGAAAACAGACAAGTCCACTTGTTTCCAACTAAAACCATTAAGATTATCATCAATCTAGACAAACATACTTCCTGTCATTGGCTTTAGATGTGTAATATTTGACAACACATTCTCATCCCAGCGCGTCAAAAACAAACGCTTGGTCAGCCACCCTCCACGTCAGACCCCTGACGCCAAAAGTGCCCTTTTTCGTTACTTATGTGCGAAAAGGGTTTTTTCCCTTATTTGACTGCAGATCCCAATGCAGCGTAAAACTGACGCGATGGGATGTCCGCAGCCAGGGCACCAAACAAGCTCATTGTACCTCACCTTAACCTTATCCTCTTATTTAACCTTCCCCTCACCCCTATCCTAACCTTAACCATCTTGCTAGCGAACACGTTAGTGATGTGACGATCGCTCTAAAAGCCGGCTCTATGAAGTGAACGGCGGGAGCCGCCTCGTCAGTGGTCGAGTTTGGACCGAGCCAACACGAGGGGGAGGTTTCAACTATCACGGTGGAGGTTAAAAGTAGAGGGTATTTGTAACCTCCCCCTCGCCAGATGGTATGTTCTAACGTTCCCCTTGGGTGGCAAATACGAAAATTGACAGTCAGACTCTGACTGTCAGAGTCAGAATGCATGGGAAACAAACGCTTGATCACAGTGAGAGTAACGTTTTAGGTAGCAAGAGGGTTAAGGTTAGGATGAGGGAGAGGGGAAGGTTATAAATAGTGAAACGTTAAGGTTTAGGTGCGGTTAAATGAGCTGGTTCTGTGCCGCATCGGTTAAATGAGCTGGTTCGGTGCCGCATCAGCAGATATCTAATCACGTCAGTTTTACGCTGCATTGGGATCTGCAGTTACAAAAGGGAAAAACCCCTTTTCGCACATAAGTAACGAAAAAGGGCACTTTTGGCGTCTGGGGTCTGACGTGGAGGGTGGCTGACCAAGCGTTTGTTTCCGACGCTTGGGGTGTGAGAATGTGTTGTATTTGAGGGGAAATGATGCTGAAACATGCATGATGTCACTGAATGAAACTTCACCTGTTCTGATGGGGTGGGTGTAGTAGAGTGGTCCTGCCTGACCCCCACTGGTGCTGGAAACACTGAGCTGGTACTCAAATCCTGGACTGAGATGTCTGATGGTTATAACATCACCAGTGGGGAACGAATGCCAGACACACAGATAACCACACGATCCCATGCATGCACTGCTGCAAACTCCAGGACATGCACACACTTTCACCCCATCAATCAAACCCATCCTTGGAGGCTGAAGGAACAGGTGTGCGTAGTTTGTACCCACAGAAAGAGGGACTGCTACCAGCACAGGCAATGGGGCTGAAAAAGACACAAACAGAAAGTCAAAAATAAGAAGGTATTACACCCCCACAGCTGGTGTTTCTCTCCTCTCACCTGTGGTGTGTGTGATACTAGAACCCTCACTCCTGCTGCTTCCCTTCAAAGCAACAACTGATATTTCATAAGTGTGACCAGGAATGAATGCGCCCAGGTTCACACAAACGGATTTATTTCTCCAGAGTTCATCAAAGCTGGAATCGTTTATCCACAGAGAGGAAACGGTGGGATTACTGAGTGATCGGGATGTGATGTGGTAACCATCTGGAGGATCATCAGGCTCACTGGTCCAGCAGACCGACAGGTTTGCCGTCAGGCTAAACACCAGCAGATCAGACGGGGGCTTCACAGCTAAAAAATATAAATGAGAATAAGTTTTGCTCCCTAATACACTGTAAGAAAAGAAATATTGAGTTTACTCAATCAAGTTATGTCAACTGGTTCCACTAAACCTGGTTGCTTAAATGGAATATACATTTACTTTTAACATAACAAGACATATTACTCTTTAGATTTGCGTAACTAGTTGACTTAACTTGGTTAAGTAAATTCAACTTTTCCTTTATTACAGTGAAACAGCTTGAAGTACACGTCCATTAGGTTAATACTGACTCATTAAAACTGATATATAAATGTTAAATTCTTGTTAAATAATAACTGGTTAATATGTGCATAGGCAAAACAAACTGCTTCATCCTTTCATTATACACTCATTTTGTGATACCTTTTGAAGTGTTTTAATGTTTCACATTCGACTTCTATGAAATAATCATGTTAAACCAAAAAGCTATTTACCTACATTTACTCTTTAAAAAGTGTTTTTTGAAAGCAACCTGAATGAAACACCTTCTAAAGGGTAACTTATCTTTGTAGGTATGTCTAACACATTTTTGTTAGTTTGTGCCTGAGCAAATGACATGTTTGAAAATAAAAGGTTCATGAAGCATTATGAATAATAATAAAAAAACTAAAAGTGAATTACATTTTTCAGCTTTAAAAAGATTCGGTTATCGGCACGTGAGCATTCTTGATCAATGCAAACAATCTGTCATCCACTGTCTACTGTCCACGTTATTAACTGGTGACACTAAAACTTCACATGTCCTCACCAGTCTGCACAATCAGAGGCACCTGTCTGCAGCTCCAAATCCCAAACTGCGTGACTGTGAACACTTCAACTCTGTACTTCCTGTAAGGCTCGAGTCCTCCCATCACAGCGGTGTAGAACTGCTTCCTGTCTGTCCCAGGTATTCTAGAGATGTTGGAAATGACCCCTCCCTTTTTTGAGGAAATGTCCTCACAGTTTACAACAAATGTCCATCCATTCTCACACTGTAGACCTGGTAGCATCCAGAAGATGCTAATCTGATTAGCTGTTACTCGACCAACGGTGATGTTCTGGGGAGGTAAAGGTCCTGGAAGTAAGAAAGCACACATACATGACCTTGTGCATTGTTTAGCTAAATGTAATGGTTGTCTACAGTAACTTATGTGTGGTAAAAGCATACACTGGTGGGTCCCATATAGAATATATATAGGCAAACATTTTGGGTCACAGGTTTGTGACCCCATAGGGAGCCTAAGTCTCCTCCCTTTCCAATCAGCTCACAGGTTCCTGAAAAAAAAAAAGAATCCAAGTCAATGAACCCAGGACTTTCCTGCAGCGCTAACCACTGCGCCACTGCTGCCCCTCTTCAAAAATAAGTGCTTTTTTGGTATCAAAATGTGTCTTTAAAATTCATGGACATCATATTGTAAAATCCATAAAATGGCTCGTATCCATGGCACACAACAAGCCAAATGAGAAAATAGCCTTTTTAGCCCGACTGACTTGCATTCTTTTTTGTTTCCTCCGGGGACCCATGCTCCGGAAATAGATGGGCGTGGCTTAGGCTCCCCATAATGATTTGCTCAGATGGATTATAACGGGCCCTACATGAGTTTCAGGCAGACCCAGATGTTTTGTGTTACACACAGCCCTGTTTAATCTATTTGGAAAAACCATTATAGGTCATAGGGGCCATCATGGAAACTGCTGATGGGACCCATAATGTTTGCCCACATATTTGCCATACGGGGCCCACCTGTGTACACTAGCTAGGAAGTTGACTCACTCATGTATGCTGTTTGTGTTTGTCCCAACGTCCAACTGGGCCCAGCAGGGTGAGACACCTGAAGGGTGAAAAAGTAGATGCTCCCTGGAGATAAACCTGCCAGAGTTACTCCTCTGGAGGAGAGAGAGATGAGCACCGTGACAGTTTTTCTCAGCACCATTTTTGTCCCTTTTTTCTTCTCTGACTCCCAGCACCCATCTCTTTGAAAATCACCTGAAAGGCCATTTGCACTTCTGTGATACTGGAGGAAAATCTCAAAAGATGAAAGATTCAGGGAGTGGGAGGGAGTGAGGTCACTCCAGCGAAGCTCTACCTGCTGCTCTGTCACCTGAACCAGGTCAAATGAAAATGATGCAGGGGTTGAAGGGGCTGTAAAAGAGGGAATTATACTCAGTAACAGAAATGTTCACTAATTAAATCACAAGGAAATTGTTTTTCATTAGTTACAATTACTTTAAAATAGAAAAATTTAAATGCAGCGACAGTTTCATATGATAACATAATCAAAAATCAATCATTAGATGACATAAACACAGCAGGTTAATTAATTAGGTGATTGACTTTGGTACTGGCAGATGAAAGGCAAAGGGATGTCACAGAAGAAGGGAGTGAGGAAGTATCCAGGTCCGGTGGCGTTCCTCTGAAAGGCAAAACAGTCTGTGTGACCGGCTGGCAGCAGAGTCACCATCGAGTTTGTTTGATTATACGGCGAAGCATCGGACCAGAGAGCGTGGCCTTCATCCTGTGGGATGAGGAGGTGAGACAAACATACTGTAATTATGTGGTGCAAGGACATGGCAGCACACATCATTAAAGCATCAAAACAAACCTCCCCTTTAAGGAGGAACTGCTGCTGTGAAGCCTCATCACTTCACTGCAGTGTAAGCAGTTTGTTTCCTGTGAAGCCTTAATCATCAGAATGTCAGTGATGGCTAAGATGGTTTTCTTGTTTTAATTTGCTCAAAAGAACATAAACACGTTGTAAAAAGATCTTGTACAAATTCAGTGGTTATAGATTTATCAGTCTATAAATTTTGTTGTATTTAAAGTATCCTGGAGGGCTTTTGTAAAAGTAAATAAACAAATAAACTTTGTGGCATACTTTTCACCGCTACCTCTCTACGAAAGCATAATAAAATATTCATTTCAGGCATTACAAGTATTTATTATTTAACATTTTCTCTTCAGGATAAATTGTTAGTCGTTAAATATATTTTAAAATGGGATGCTAAAAGCATTTAAACATAAATATATGTTAATTTCATATTTCTTAATATTAAATCAAATCTAAATTTATAATCAAAGTAAAAAGTTCTGTAATTAAATAAAAAGGTGTAACCTTCTGCAATCTCATGTCTATAAACGTATTAATGTTGCTTTTATCTCTACAAAATTTTACTCTGCTTGACATGTCTGACATTACCTGGCATTATTATTGTGTTAATTTAATTTTAACATTTGAATATTTTTATTGTATTAGCAAACATTTTTAATATTTGTTTTATATTATACATAAAATAATTTAAAAATGCATTTTTCTATGTTTATGAGGTCCGGTTAATTCCAAAATCCCTAAGTTGAAAAAAAGCACAGTAAACTAGGTTTTTATGTTCATGAGATCCTGTTAATTCCAGATTTGGTTGATAAAGCCTAGTAATTTTGGAAGTTTGGAAGAGTTTTAGCATAAATTTTTTTTGTATATGTTTAAAATATCCAAAAATTTCCCAGACATAGTAACAACAAAAGTGAATTAATTTAATTTATGACTATTTTTTTTTTTACAGATTTGCATCTTAAATCTCCCATTTACCCATAATACATGAAATGTGGTTGAGGCCATTGGTTTCATGGATAAAATGAACTATAAATGTTTTACCTGTTGATCATTCAGCCCCGTCCACAACAGCAGCAGACCGTCATCTGTCAACAGGTGAGAGGATACAAACAGCTGCTCGTTGGGGGTTTTCAGGTTAGCCAGGTGGCTTCCAGCTGCCAGGTTTGTGCAGCTGAGCTGGGCATCGCTCCAACTCAAACCTGATCTTCTCACAGTGTAGCAGCTTCTCTCGTCTGCCAACCATCTATGTGGACACTGATCTGGAGCCAGACATCATCAAATCAGAGCACAAGTCCAAGTGTGCAGTCAGGTTCATGGCTGATTATGAAGTCATGTGGTTATCGTAGAGCAACTGTGAAAACTACCTGTTTCCAGAACAATACTGAGCTTTTGCTTCAAGGTGATGCCAGGCGCGAGGAGCGAGGCCACCGCGACTTCAGCCTTGAAGCTCGTACCGGGTGGGAGACCGTTCATTGTATAGTGGGACTTGATCTCTGGAGAGTTTATATCAAAGACTCGCGTGACAGATTGTGTGCGCATATCGTAAAGAGTCAGAGTGGAAATTCTCCGCTGCCCGTTGAGTTTCCATTTCAGCTGTGCAGTAGTAGTTGTGCTGAATATGTGAAAAGATGACAGGGACACTGGAACTGGAGACAAAACAGAAGGCACAGTCTAATTATTAAAAGTATCCTTTATGGTTTGACAAGCTTTTGATTTACTTTAACCAAGTACAGAGATCAAGGACACTCACTAAAGTGAAACGTCTTCGTCTCCAGGACCGAATCCTTCCTGCTGGCTCTCATCATGATGCTGTACCCCCTTCGGTCTTCGGTCAATTGCAGTAATATCCTGCAGTCAGGCGAGCATGCTGAGTGATTAAAATGTTTCATATGCGTCTGCAAAATGGAGAAGAGCCTAAGAAATTATAATTGCTCACAAAAACAAACCAGGGATAGAGCTGCTCATTTTAAAGGTTCTTACCAGAGGGTTACCTGCAGATCTGCAGGTGATTGTGAAGCTGTCTGGGTCTTGACCAGAGGGAAAGGACTCAAACACCATTTCCACTTCAACAGGATGTAAACGCTGTTCACAGCTCAGAACCACCTATGAAAGATTAAAACACAGCTGCATAAACCGCAATGCATTCAAATAGACGAACATGAAATACCAAAACAGAGAGATTATAATCCCGTAGGCCTTAATCTTACCTGAAACAGACTGCAGAGGAACCAAAGATGCTCTGTTCGGGTCATTGGGGCAGATTTTTGCCATGCATCTTCTATAATCCTTCACCTTCAGGCTGCCACCTCTCCAAAAGGATGCGTTTGTGGAATACCAAATCTGAGCTGTGATTCCTAGCCTTACGTGAAAATCCCAAACTTTACATCAGCTGTGGAAAGTCCCATGCTATTTGAGTCGCTGACGCACAACAACCCTCGTGTGAAGGAGGAGACAGCTCCTCTGTGTGTAAAGGAGGAGTAAAAGAGAGTGCCTAACTAAGATTGTTTTAGTTCAAGCCAATTTGTTCTGCCTCTTTTGTTGGGATAAGAAGCGGTTGTCATGACAACCAGGGCCACTCCGGTGCCTTCGGGGTCCTGAGGAGAAATAATAAATGTGGGGCATGAAGAGATGGTTGGTTAAGAAATGTGGAAGCCAGCGGAGAAGTGCCACCAGCTTCTTTGGTCTTACTTTTTTTTGTGTTTTTATGACATCACTCACCCCCTAAAACAGGAATGTGCTGCAAATGTATCACAGCCTTCTCTTGGTGAGTGGTTTGGCTCAGATGCTGGGTGTGGTGTAAGTCCTGGCCCTTGTGGAACGGCAGGAATGTGAGAGGGAGAAATGATTGACGTGAAAACGAGAGGCGACCACTGAGGAGTTCTATTGTGAAGGGGCGACTCCCACTATGTAATAACCTCTCAGACGTGAGACGTAAACACGCGTCAGCATTACTGACGCTGAATCGTGTTTGACTGAAGGGGTGGGTGTGATGTAAAAACGAACACACTTCAAAGTGACCTGGAGGTTTGTTATCGCACGCGCGCGCGCGCACACACACACACACACACACACACACACACACACACACACACACACACACACACACACACACACACACACACACACACACACACACACACACACACACACACACACACACACACACACACACACACACACAAGTATACAGTTAAACATTTTATTAAACTTTTTGACTTAGAAAAAAACAGAAAGCAATTCAAACTTCTAAGAAACCAAAGTACAAAGCTCCATTTATCAAACACAAACCAAAATGCACATCAACTGAACACGGCAGCTACTTTCATTTAAAAAAGCAAAAAACTGCTGTTTCAAACATGATTTTAATGTTTAATATGAAGCAAAATATAAAAACAAACTACAGGCCCCATCAATTAAACCCCCAAAAAGCAGACAGGCTTGGCACAGCAGTTCTTAATGAAATGGACAACTAAAGTGCAGATAAAACTACTTGAAATGTTCCACTGGCAGCAGTTACAACTATGACTCAAGGTCAAAAACATGGCTGGTGTTGTCCAATAGTACAAAAAAGCTCAGAGTCCCTCTGAATCCCTTTGAGAATGCGTTCTTCTGTTGTGCTCATTTTCATTTTGGTTTAGTTCCACTGGCAGGAGCAGTCCAGAGGTTCTTGGAAGTTGTAGTCCACCATGGTGGCGTTGCGAGAGCAGTACAGTGAGACAGTCCGTGTTTGTAGTCCGCTCTCACGGCAGCACTTGCAGAACCTGGCGTGACTGTTGATGTTAAAGTTGAAAATGGTGGCAGACGGACATTTCCCATCACAGGAATACACTGTGACCTGGAAGAGGTCCAACAGAGACATAAGGACAGGAACATGCAGCCGGGAACATAAAAATGAGTCTATGTTGGGTTTTTTCACTATCTTACTGGTGCATTGCTCCTGCAGTCATCTTTTCTAATGGTGGTTCGAATCGCCACACGCTTACATGTTTTCCCATCCTCTTTACCTGCACGTTTTTGCATAGAAATAAAACTTCATACACAGAGAGAAACTCTAGAAGGATGAAAACGTTACAATAAGAGATGCACCAGTCAGTCAACCTGTTAATGGGTGAATTTCAGCTTGATCCGTGACTCCAAAACTCAATAATCCACTTTTTTTCCTGAAGCACATCCTCGTGGATGTTTACCGAGAGAGCAGAATTCTGAGTTTACCTTTTGTAATATTTGTAAATTGTTTTAAAGTCAAGAGAAGCAAATAAGCTGTAATGAAACAATTTTCTACAGAAGAACGTCTGCCGTTCTCTTTTCTGCTCAGTAACACACAAGCTGAGTTTTTCCATTTAATCACCAGCTGTCAATGACACAGGTGACATATTTAATTTCAGATTTGTTTCTGACATTATGCTGCATCTTTTAAGATTTCAGTCTTGTAGTAAAGTGAAACTTTACCTAACGTGGCACAATTAATAATTTTCTGGAGAGGAAAAAATTTGCAAAACAAAAGAAAATGCTAAAAAAGATTAAATAACTTGTTCAAAAGGTATAATATACCGATTTTACATGTTTTTTCCTCATTAGGAAATGATTGTAGACACAAATGAAGCTCTGCTGTTCAGTGTTTTTTGGAGAAAATATGCCTTTCTTCTAAATAATTTTATTTCTGAACAAAAAATAATAATCTCTGACTTTAAATGCATCAACAGTTTTTAAAAATACATATTTTCAGTAATAACCAGCCCTTAAAACAGCAATCAGTGCATGTCTAATTAGAACAATTATCTCTTGTAAATTCAGTTGACCATCCGAAGAAGCCATTTTCACACAAAGATTCTCCTGAATGTTCCTGAAAAAGTCAAACTGACAAGATCTGTTTGTTGCCCAGCAGCAGGCGTTTGCTTTGATTGACACTTGGAAAGTGGTGGTGGTGGTGGTGGGGGAAGCCTTCCGGCAGAGGGTCACTGAATGACTTCTAACCCAAGGTCACTTCTAAACTAGTTACTGATTAGGTGATGTCTCTCCACCAGTGTAACAATGGAGCTTAAATCACTACAGGAGAGTGTTTTTAAATAATAAAGAACATACTTGTTCTTCATGTTACATTTTCATATTGAGATGAAACAACAACCATGAAAACACACACATTCACAAAAAGTTTTAAAGTACAACAATGTTCAAGGTGTGGAACACTGAAAAACATCTGAGAACGCCTCAGCTAGTTGAAGCTAACCATTAGCATTAGCAACTCCACCACATGGCAGTACTCCTCCAGGATCGTGTTATTTGTGGAGCTCAAACATCAACGTTGCAGAGCAAACGGAGTCAGTAGTAGAGTCGTGTTGCTGCTATCCAATCTGAAGCGAGATGTCCAGTTATCAGGAAATAAAACTCCAGATCATGTTGTCTGAAGCTCAGCTATGACGTGGCTCGCTGCTTGTTCCTGAAAATGGTTCCCCAGAGGGTTTTCTCTCTCCGAGTATGACTTACAAGGCATTCATTCTTAAGCCTGATTCATGCTTCTCCGTCAGCTCCAACAGGGAAGTATGAGCTCCAACCCTCATACTTCTCCGTCTCCTGGGGAGTGTTGCAAAGCAATTCCCCGCCAGGACAACAGAGGGCGTAGCGCTGTTGTGAGATATCCTGTCATGTATCCGGTCCAAGATAGTGTGTTTATATTGTGTTTTTTTGGTATATAAGAGACTTTTTAACACGGACAAATTTGTCTCTCATTCTCGTTCACCTCTTCATGCACTCGCCACCTGTAAACCCACGTTTCCTGTCATTTCCGTCCACAAATAAAACGCTTGCTGCACATCTTTTCACTCATCCAGTCACGGGGGAATTAAACATTCATGTTTTTAGAGTTTTTTCGCGAGGTATTCTTCGAGCTTCTCAGTGTCTGCCGCTAGTTATTCTCGGCTCTCTTTATGTTTTTGAGGGCGCAATGGTGGCGTTGTAGACGACAGCGGCGTCGTGACCAATCACAAGCTTGCGTTCTCCTTCTCGACGGACGGATGTTTAGAAAAGAGATCTCGACTCCGTACGTCCTTGCGGGGCTCTCCACAACCCGCAAGGACGGATAATGTTATTGAGTGTCTCCGCACTGACGCAGACGCATGAATCAGGCTTTACTAGTGATGCTCTGCTAATGCATTGATTAAATGAGTGTTCCACACCTTTCAAAAACCACTGGGAAATGAATAGTGCAAAGAAGTGGTACCTGTGTCACAGTTAGTACTACCAGTGGGTGTTATGGGGTTAATGGTAAAAGGTAAAACATCCACTCCAGAACCTGGGAGGATCAGCGGGACCACAGCCGTCCAGTTCACAGAGCATCAGGAGAGTACAAGGTTATATTTTGTTCATGAAAGACAACATCATGTCATCAACACACACAGACGGGGATCAGATCAGAGCAGCTGGCATGCATGTGGGAATTTCTGTTGTTTCACTCAGGGCAGCCAGCCAAGGAATGCAGTCACCACAAAGCTCCAAGGGCAAACTCTAACCCCTGCACCATCTTACGTCCTTATTGGTAAAACTGCAGAGGAACTCGATTAGCAAACACAGCAGGGACACGCGGCTGAAGCAGGCAAGCAGGTGAGGGCACAATGCCAAATCCAAAGACAGAGAGAACGTCGCCGCAGAGTTGCATCCACAAAGTAAAGAGAAGGAGCATTCAAGTTCAAAACATCTCGACAATTCTTTATAATTCATGTATAGGTTTATATCTCCACCTAAGCGTTTCCCTGAGCTGTGCTGTCTTTTGAATATGCCAATGGAAGGACACCTGAGAGAGCCAGGGATTCTGAAACCAACTTCATTCAGCATTCAGGCTGTCAGGCTTTATCAACACCCTTTAAAAAGGCCACGCCCCTGAACCGTTCAGCCAATAAGCCCATCCACTGCCAGGCAACAAAGCGCTCACCCCTCTAATCAGCTGCACAAAGCATTGCCAGCAGGCCCAAATAAATCTGGACACTCACATGTCTTGCAGCAACCATCCACATAGCTCTGAACAACACCTCCACTCTGTGAGAAGAGAAGCAGATGAAAAGAAACAACACAAAAATGATTAAAACAAACTCACAAATACTAAACAATGAACCACTAATGGTTTTTAAGTATTTAAACCATGTATGTTTCATGATTCTGACCTGAATACATTCTGAATCATTGAAAGGAGGACAAATAACCCCAGATGCAAGAATCACCGCTCCTACTGCTGTCTCCACACAGTCGTAACGCGTACAGTTCTCCACCCAGGAACTTCCTGCCTGCAAACACACAAACACGTTCAGCCGTGCTGGAGTAAGAGGGCACATCTAGATGTGGATCTGCTTGTTCTCACGGTGAAATGCTCCACTGTTCCATTTTCATTGGTGAAGGTGCAGGAGATGTTCTTACAAGAGCCGCAGCACACCTGAGGATCCGTGGATGGGGCGTACATCTGGTGCTAAACAAGACGCATCCAAAGATGAACAAATGGTGATAAATGAGTAAATTCTATCCGTCCTATTGTGTGATGGATACATACTGATCCACACTTTTGGGAGCAGTTGATAGATGTTATCTCCATTGCGTAGAAACCGGTGTGTGGATCCTTGTCATGCAAACATTGCACAGTGTAACACATTTCTCCTTCAAAGTACTGAATCAGAGACTGTCCCGGTCCCAGCACCGTCATTCCTTGGAAAAGACACACCTCACCCTTCTCTGCGAACACACATAACATCTGTAACTACACAAGTATTTTCTCACAATAAAAGTACATAAAAGGCTGTTTGAACAGACTTAAGTGCCATTTCACGTACGACATGCATGCAGAGGACAGCCACAGATGGTGCTGCTGTCAGGGACTTCAGCTAGTACCTCCCCCTGAGGAAAAAAAAAAAACGCTTACTAAAGTGAATTTGCTATTTTCTGGCTAACAAAAGTGGCTTTTTAAACGTTTCTTTGCTGACTTACTAGCTGGCACATGGGGAGAGCTATGTTCTCACACTGGCATTCTGGACATGACAAAGAGCAGAGAAGTAGTGAATTTTGTGGCAGGGACTATAACTTTGAAAATAATTACAATCACTACCCTCTCAGTGACACCAGTTACAAATACATGAGTGTGTAAGTGTGTGCGAAGGTACCACAGTGCTTCTGAGGGCAGCAATCCCCGGGAATAGTAGTTTGCACCAAAGAGAGTCCGGGTGCACAGCTCACAGTGGACGTGGGACATAGATTATTATCACAGACTGCAAAGCATAGAAAGAGGAGAATTATTTAAACACACATTTTTGCCATTTTGAAGTGTGTTAAAGTTGTAAAATATTAATAATCAACATTTTACATCCAACAGAACTGAGCTCATATAGTGGCCACACATTCCCATTCTCAAGTGCCTGCAAATCCTGCAAATCCAGGTTAACCAAACGATTTTAAAAGCATCCCTCAGGTTATAGTGATGCCTGTTAGTGATCATTAATTTAAATGTGATGCACTGAAACAAAGAAACACCCAAAACATGCAAGATAAAGGCCCTGAGGGCCTGGAGCATTTTACCACTAAGCTAATGTACTGATGTCTGAAAAAACTTCTAGTGTGGAAGGTTTGTGTTCACACCACTGCTACTTTTGAATCACACACTTATTCCAGCTGAATCATTAAATAATTACTGAGGAATTCCTGCTGGATTTTATACCAGAAATGCTAAATTAACATAGTAACATAACACAAATTTAACTATTTATATAAAAAATGACATCCCATGAACCACCTAGAAAATGTTACGTTTTGAACCCCTTGAGAACGGCAGAAAGACAATTGTGAATTCCTACTAGCGGTTAGCTCATCATCCTTGAAGGATGCAATATTTATTTGTTCGATCTGTATACTCTAATTGTCACTTTTACACAAAAAACACTATTTCAAAAGGCACAAACACACACCAGAGCAAACACACTTACCACAATGGTACTGTGGACAGCAGCTGTTAGTAGTGTTTAGATCCACAGCCAGAATTTCTCCATGTGAGCAAGATGGAATGGGCTCAATACATGACTCACACACTGCTCAGACAGAAAAGCTGTTTTACTGCTGCAATTGACAGAATTGTTAAATAAAGTGGCCACATTACTGACCCTTAAACCACAGATTTATAGTTTTAGGTTGACCCGTGCAGCACGATCAGACTTACCACACAGATAAGAGTAGCAGCAGGATTTCTGGGCCCTGACCTCAACAAGGAACTGATCTTCCCTGCAGTCGGGGGCCATGAACGGAGGACACGCCATGGGGTCACACTCTGAGGAAGAAAATTTAGTGAGTGTCAAAAGTTAACCATAATGTTTTATTTAGAAGAAAGCTGCAGAAAAGTTTGTTTTCACCACATCGGTACTCTGGACAGCAGGACAGAGCGCTGTAGCCAATCACCAGCCGGTTTCCATTATCACAGGGTGGAGCTTCACTGTCGCAGATGGTCATGTTGCACTCTGGAAGAAGAGTTAAAAAATACAGTAAAGAGGAGAGCTGATGCAAATTCATTAATATTGTGGTAAAATGTAGATGTCTTGAAGTGATTCTAAAAAGTTTATTTTCTTTGTTTTTTACAATTAGAAACATTTAAGCCTCATTTAAAGGCCTGTTTCTGCTGTCGGAACTTCCAGGAAATTTTCTTGGACCTTCACGGTGTGGATGCGTCTCCTTTTCACCAGGCAAGCCCGACGGGACCATTTTCTGCATCATTTCAGTGACCAACTGATGACCTGCACTGGGATATGTTTTCTAAAATGGTCCAGTAGAGTCACTGGGTGGGACTTAAGGTAAACTAATGCAGATTAGCTGTGGGAAGCGATATTGGAACACATTGCCAAACAACCGTCCATCCATCCATCCATCTTCTGAACCCGCTTTGTCCACGTTGGGTTGGGGGGGGGTACACCCTGGACAGAGAGCCAGTCCATCGCAGGGCAACACAGAGACACACAGGACAAACAATCATGCACACACACACACACACACTCACACCTAAGGACAATTTAGACAGACCAATTAACCTAACAGTCATGGTTTTGGACTGTGGGAGGAAGCCGGAGTACCCAGAGAGAACCCACGCATGCACAGGGAGAACATGCAAACTCCATGAAGAAAGACCCCAGGCTGGGAAGCGAACCCAAGACCTTCTTGCTACAAGGCAACAGCTTTAACCACTGCACCACTGCGCAGCCCTGCCAAACAACTGGCATAATGTAAAACTGGAAAAGTTGCCGGCAAAGCAAAGTAAAGGAAAGTCATGAACGCAAGCTCTGGATCCATCTGGCATTTGATCAAAGTCTGGATACTCCCAGGACATCCTGGAATGTGAGTGGTGCTCAACGTTCTTCTTTGTTGTTTTGCTGTTGTCCATCAAGGACCTTAGCAGTAGTTCGGGCTATCATTAGCAATGGCTCAAATTAGCGTTGTTTTGTGGTTAGCATTACTGTGACCAACGTTTACATATTGCCAATATTGAAGTGAGTTGGGACGTGCATATTTAAGGATGTGTGTCCAAGTGCATGATGTGTTAAACCAGCTTTTCTTAGAACAAACTGTGTCTCAGTGGTCATTACCAGTTTAACATTAGTATTTACATAAGAGACATATGTCGGAGTTGGTGCAGACTTTTTGGTATGCTACATTAACCAAGCTGTCTTTATTCAACAAATATAATTTTCTATTCTGGTACACCTTTGAATGATTACCCACAGATTTTTTTTTTGTGCTACAAAATTCAATAAACTCACCACAGATTTTTTTAGGGCAGCAGGACCCTTCTTCTAGCACATCCAGCACATACTCCCCCTCCCTCTCACACAGAGGTGTAGGCACAGCGCTGCAGTCTGGTTCAACAGCCACTACAGAGCCGTTCTCCATGCACTTATACAGACAGCAGCTTCGAGCCGAGCCGTTCCACACCTCGCCTGGGGATCGGGGGTTCCCCTCATTATCTGTGCAGACTGAATCAGCAAACGGTTTGGTCATGACACAGAAATATGAGCGTCTAGAAGCAGAAGTGTTATATCACAAAGGCACATTTCAGTGTATTCACTCACCACAACGGTCCTCTGTGACACAGTAAGGTGAGTCGGCTCGGTGCAGGATGGTTCCACTGCGACACACACACTCCTCTCTGATGAAAGAGCAGGTAGTTTCCTCGTAGTAGTCTTTGTTCAGACAGGTGCGGCTGTTGCAGGTGCTTACACAAGGCTGATACTCCTTACCAGGAGGACAGCGCAATGCTACAGGATGACAAAAACCTTGTCAACAAACAAGAAAAGGAGGGGAGCACATATGCGATTGTGCTGCTTGTGTTTTCTTACGACAGAAATTGTGTCGCCTCCAGCTGATGCAGACTTGGTGTGTGTAGCAGACTGCCACATAGGCTGCCAGAAAGTCACACTGGTGATCCTTATAGTGCAAGTCTCCTGCCCACATGATGTCACAAAACTGCTCTGGAGGCACCTGTGATTTTTTTATATTTGATATAAATGTTTGAATGTATTTTCTTTTTTGTGTACAAGACAAAAGGCTGTAAAAGATCAGAACCAATCCAGGTCCTCCGGATGTTTTGGATGTCTTTCAGCGTTAACACTTACTTTGACAGACTGGTTGATTGATAAGCCTTTGTAGTATTTTGAAGAGGTTTTCAAAGCTGTTTTAGTGAATCTGCAAACAAGCTAGCTTTTGAACGCAAACACGATCATGGAATGCTTACCCCTTCCCCTCGGGTATCTTCCCTGAGATCCTAATTCAGCTGTAACCGTAAATCCATGATGCTGGACGAGAGAGAGCGCTAAACACCAGTCTCCAATATTTACGTCCAAACATCTTTTGTTTTCTGCAACTTCAAATGGTGTTTCTGTTTTTGGGACTCCGGTGATTTGGCCTAAAGTTGAAGTGGTAGCAGCCGGCTGTTTCTCCTTCTCTGATATTATTGAGTAGTCAACCTCTCACACCAGTGTTGCAAAAGACTCGAGTGCGTAATGAATGAAGGATGCAGGGAAGGGTAGAAGTGCAGCCAACCACCGGATGGTCCAATAGTTGCTTTCGGTTTAAAACGCGTTACTGGCAGAGGGTTTTAGACAAATGCGAGTGAAACACTTAATTCTTTTCTTTTTTGTTTTTTTAAATCACCACAATATATTTACAACTATTCTTTGTTAGAATGTTGTAGAGAAGCATGAAAAATGTTTTAAGCTAAATTGTTTTCTAAATTTGCTTTAACGACTTTACACAATGAGTACGATTTGTTGGAGCAGAGAAACAACTAAAACATGCAGTAATGTGGGTTTGTCCTGATATATTCTTTGGCATTACTTTTTCAATTTGTTAACTTGCGTTAAGCAATTAGTAAATTTTACTACATCCATTTTCACTCTGATACTCATTGTATCTCAGCACATTCTCCAGAATGAGGAGTGTAAAGCCTGGCTCACATGGAAGGATAATAATCCCAATTTTTGACCAACCCAGTTCCTTCAGACAATCTTACATGTGCGTACGATTACCAAAAAGGCTAAAAAAAAGATCTCATCAAACAATTCTATCTCTTGTTACGAGTGGTCTGGTCAGCTCAGAAGGAAGTTGGTACAGCTCCTATCATAAATCTGGACTTTGAAGCATGTTGGATCATCTTGGTCTGATTTTCGGGGACAAATGGACACGCTGTGTGATGAATGTGATGTCTAGCCAATCAGAAAGAAAGGTGACCGAAACATACGGCACTCCTCCTCCTTCATGTTTGTTTACTTCAAAGTCCCGTTTTATCTTGCAAGATTTCCCGTCTGAGTAGGGAATTTCCGTGAGTGAAAGCGGTTCGTGTGTAGTGTTTGCCGAGTTGCTGCACACCACACACTGTAAGAACAAAACAACGATCCGTGAATTTTAATCACCACATGTGAGATCTCTCATGCTTTTAAAATCAACCAACAATTTCAAACTCTGCCATGAACACCAGGTTTAAAATGCTGTTAGGTACCTTGCTGTGACACGATGTGAAGGCTCTTTGCTGCAGCATAGAAAGGCAGGTGGAGCAGTCCCCGATGGTACAGTTGTCACCGACCCTGCGTGTGTGTTCGGTCTCGTCTGTGGTATGAACTCTCCACGCCTGCAGAAAGACCATCATGTCTCCTACCTCTCTGACCACAGTGCCGTTCGGCAGCTTCAGGTCATCCTCTGGATTCCCGTCACAACAACCTGGCAGATTGGACAGATGCTTTTTTTTTAGCCCTGATGTATTTGCGAGGTTTATTGCTGCTTAGACTGTGAGCATGCTTAGACTGTGAGCAATATAAATGCGGGGTGAGATAACGTCTGTCTAAAACTGCATAATGGAACAAAATGGCTCTCAACATCTCAAACTGTCATACCCAGTAATGGCTCAAGTCAAAGGGATCCAGCAATGCAGACATTAAGCCTTTAGGTGCTGAAAGATGGCACTTAGATAAATGAGGCTGGTGCTGATGAAATCTAAGCATGCGCATGTGTGTTGGGGGACTCACCACACAGACCTCGAGTGGGCACAGATGCATTACTAGGGGCGATGTACTGCAGCACCATAATCCCTGTGCTGTGATACCACTGTATGCTGATGCTGCCAGGTGTGTGGATCAGGTACATACGTCCCGTGTCTTCCACGTACAGCGAGTGATGGGAGAACGGGAGCTTAACAGCTCTGTAATTCACTGTCACCTGTAAACATTTTTACATTTAAATGAGTAATTAAGGTGTTTCCCTGTTTATTAGATAAGGTTAAGATGGCCACCGTGCGATCAAGTCGGTTGATTATGATCCTGTAGTTGGAGGTGGTAATGTTCAACTTCTTAAAGCAAAGGCCAGATGTTCCACCTGTTGGACTCTGTGGGGGACAAACATCCAGAATGGATGGACACGGATTAATTCATCGCAACACAGGTGGGAATGTAAGCAGTAAGAGAAAGAAAGGAGATTATACTCACGGTTCGTCTGATGGAGTTCACACTCTACAAAGGAAACAAAGAATTAATATGAAAAAAACGTTCGTTTTAAATCAGGTATTGGAAGAAATAATCAATTTACTAATTAGCTTATGTAGTGTATTACCTGGCTGGTTGGACATTTCTCCACTGTGCCAATAATAGTTTCTCTGGGCAGGTTGACCAAGATGTATGAGCCATTGTCATACAACGCCGCGTTATTACCATCAAACGTGATCACACGCAAATCTGACATCACAGTACAGCGACCTGGCATGAGAAAACACGTCATTTCAGCCAAATCCTACCGCAGCTTTTAACTGGAGTATTGGAGTTCATCAGAACGTACATGGGCACTGCCACAGGGGGCAGCAGGGGTCTGTGTTGATGAGGATGGGCAGGCCCAGCAGACTGCACTGGGGCTGGGTGGTGTTGTAGCGACAGTGGTGGGTGGAGTTGTGAAGTAGAAGCTCTCCGTTGAAACAAATGAGCTCGGCACACTCATCGATACGATAGGAGAACGGGGGCTGTGAACACACAGTTTACTCGTTTACTGTTAAAAGCACACTTGGCAGTTTAGCATACTTTAACCAACCCTAGTGTCCGTTATTAATTGTCTGTGGTCTAACTGAAAATAAAACCTCCTCCCTGCACGTTCATCTTTTTTAACACATTAAATCTAACAGCTGAAAGGTCTCCTCGGTCTTCACGGGTGTCTACATGAGTGATTTGTGTTCATGATCTAAAACATGCAGGAAACCTGCTGGAACCAGACTACAGCTCCAGGAAAGTCAACTCCCTTTTATTCGAAGTCCAGCAGGTGGTGGCTGCCAGTCCGAAGTTGCAAATGTGGTATTCTGGCCATAGGGGGGGGGATTGGAGGTCTGAGTGACTTAAAGCAGAGCTTCTTAACCCTGGCCCTCAGCGCCCCCCTGCCCTGCATGGTTTCAATGTCTCTGCTTTAAGCACACCTGCTTTACATGTTTGAATAGCCTTCTCAGGACGACATCAAGTGCTGCAGAAACCTGTTAATCTGGCAGCACAGACACACTGGTGTCTGAAAGGGCAACATGGAAAACATGTAGGACAGGGGGGCGCCGAGGACCGGGGTTGTGAAACCCTGCTGTAATGGGTCAATTTAGCACATACTGGCTCAAGAAAACATTTTAAAAATATGAAAGTGTTTCATAGTATGGCTTTAAAAGCATTAAAATATATATTTCAAAGTTAATGGTCAATTCTTTTAGTCTTGATGTCCCCAAGTCATCTCAAATTACATATCCAAGGATCCACATCTGTCACTGAGAGAGCAGCAACAGTTATTTATTTCACAAAGTCTGCTGGAGACACTCACCCTCACCCCATCCATCTTTAAAAACAGATTTTCCAAGGCTAAAAATTACAGTTAGTTTTTTTCCTCCGTGCTCTATTTGACTATATTGTTGAAAGTTGTGTCCTGCCAAACAATGAAGAAATTACTTAGCTTGCACAGATGGGATTACTTTATACCATCATAAGCAGGATTATAACGTTGCTGGATTTGTTAAAGAAGAAAAAAGATCTGCGTATGTTTCGTGCTCTCACAGCACTCGTTTGGGTCTCCTTTAGGGGTTTCCTGAGGGATATTGTACTTTTTTACGGCCCGACAAAGGCACATTAGTTTACTCGTTTCTGGTGGGTGTGTTCAGCGTGAGGTGCTGCTCCGCTACATCAAATGGAACCAGCTGAAATGATTTGGGCATCTGGACATTTCTCAGGGGAGGTGTTTCGACATGCCCCACTGGGAGGAGGCTTCAGGGCAAACCAAATACTTTCTGAGGAGATTATATCTCATAGATAACTTGTGAATGCCTTGGTGTCCCTCTGGAAAAGATTAAAAGATGTAACTGAGATGGAGGAGCTCTGTGGATCTTTATAGTTCATGGACCTAGAAAAGTGTTACAAGGTGGATTGATGGATGGACAGATGGATCCAAAGCAAAGGAATTGCTTATATTATTAGAAACAACTGCACTAACTGTGATTTTCATTATGAAAATATATTGATATTGAAAGGGAAGCAAACTTACAAATATTAATAGCTATTAAATACAGAAAAATAACGTTGGCTCAGATTTATAGCAATTAATTTCGTTTTGGAGCTCTGAACATGGCAACAATGACCCTTACTGTGCACGGTGACGTGGGCCAGACGAAAGGGGGTCTGGTCGATATTTCCTCTGTTGTCGGAGAGGTTTCTGGAGTAGTGGTCTCCATAGTGACAGCTTCTGTGGTTGGTGGAGTTGTGGTTGTCTCCAGTGGGGTGGTGGTTTCTTTTGAAGTTGGTTGAGGGGTGGTTGTGTGTTCTGTAGTGGTTTCAGGGACAGTGGTGGTGGCGGCTGTTGTGGTGACAATGGTGGATGGTGGCAGGGTGGTGGGGGACGTTGTAGGAGGTGGGGTAGTTGGTGTGGTCACGGTGGTGGTGGAAACGAAAGTCGTAGGAGAAGAAGTTGAAGGAACAGTAGTGGGTGCTGCTGTGGTGGCCGCTGTGGATGGAGTGGGGGTCATTTCAGTTGTGCTGAGAGTGGTTGGTTCTAGTGGAGTTGATGGGGGAGTGGAAACACTGGTAGTGGGAGGAGTGGGAGATGTGGTGAGTAGAGTGGTGACACGCTCAGTAGTTGTGGTGGGAACAGTTGGAGTGGTGGTGGGTGTGGTGGTTGTGGGCCTGACAGTGGTGGAGGAGGTGGTTGTTGTTCTTGTTGTGGTTGTAGTCATAGTCATCCTTGTGGTCATGGTGGGAACTATGGAGGTCGGTGGTGTTGCTGTGGTTCTGTTGGATCGTGTTACAAAGGCGAAGGGTGTTGGTGTTGGGGGAAGGGAAACACCTGCAGAAAATGATTCACATGAAACATAAACACGAATAGTTGATTAAAAACAATTACATAAATGAATGACATCACATTCGATGAGGCGCTATACATTATCCATTCCATCTCATGGCAGCGTTTTAAACTAAATATTGTTTTTGTATGACAACTGATGTTGGATTATACCATTGTCGTGATTGCCTTTCATCTACGTGTATGTGCAATTTAGGCTCAATATCAATAAAATTGACTAAATTGAAGCAATTTCTGGGTTTTTCCTATTAGCTGGGTTGGTCACCTTGAATTGTGCCGACTCCATAAGTAGAGCAGGTGTAGATATATTTTATTCTTCTATTGTCAACCCCTGTGTAGTAACCATAATTATTATAGGTGTTATTGTTATTGTTGCACTCACAGTCCTCTGTGTAGACACATCTTCTTGTGATCTCATCCAGAACCATCCTCTTGGGACAACGAGGGAAGCAGCCCTCCACTCTGAAACACACAGGTTCAGTCCTGAGAAGAACAAAGATTATGCTGGCTGTGGAATGAACATCTGGACTGGTCCAATCCTCTTACGGGGGTAGAAACTGGCAGCGTGTTGCATCTGGATCGTTGCATGTGTGGACACAAGGACTCGCACAGGCCTGGTAGCGCCACTCACACATCATACGGTAAGGTATTATAAAAGGACTCTCTGCAAAAAAACAAAAAAGGCAACATTCATTTGTGTATGGATGGAATAAAGATGCATTCACTGACCCTCCAAACACATTTGAATGAGTAAAGCAAAATTTCAATTTATTTAAAAACATTGCACACATACTGCAGAGAATGCTATTAACTCCAAATGTGATTAGAAAATACAAAAGGAAGTCTAATGAGATTCCTGTGATTCAGACTTTATAACAGTAGGAGGTCGGGGAGGTTTAACTAATTTAAGAATAATAATATGGTCCAACTTGGAGTTTTGGGCTCTAAGGGGCTTTGTTCAGCCCTCCAGATGGCAACAACAAGAACTGATGCAATTTGTGTTCGATCCATATGGTTTTATCCTTCAGGAAAAGTTGTGCTCTGTGGGGGCCACATCTTTTACATTTGTCTTTCAGTCTGAGTAATTAACAGATAATTTAGTAATTAGAAAAGAGAATTCCTTGCTTATGACTACATATTTTCCTTTCGTTATAATGATAAATATCATATTGTCCTTTTATGCATTATCTTCTAAGAGTTACAGCTGTTGCTGTTTTGTCCCAGAAAGCTGACTCTGCAGAGGACAATCAGCGCTTTGCCTCCTCCTCCTACCTGCACAGCTGCACTCACTTGGGCTGATCACCTCTGGAGCAGCATAAATGGGAGAGCTGCCAGGAGGAAGGAGAGACTGGATCTGTGCCAGTTTTCTCGTGTGCTTCAATTGTTTGTGTTTTAATAGCTTTTTAATGGGTTTTAGTTGTTTTAAGCTTGGTGAAGCTTAACAACTTTTAGAGTTTTTTTTAACAGACGAGGGACCAGAGTGCTGGCTTCCTCTTGGCTCCCAAACTCGTGTTTAGTCAGTAGACTTTGTGTGCGAATGTTTGGGAGCCTTCGGATGTCTGTTTTGAATGAAGACTCTTGGTCATTTTAACACTGTGTTTTAAGTACTTTTAGATTTGGAGCTTTTTGTTATTTTAAAAAATCTATTAATAAAATCATTGTTTACATTTTTAACACCTGAAACACGTGCCTCTGTGTTGCTCCCAGTCCTTCTCCTTATCCACCAATAGAGGATGTAACATGAGTCTACATCCCTCAAGACTGGTTTGTCTTACACAAGAACTTGTTACAAATAAACAAAATACACATTAAAAAGATAGTAAATTGCAGTTTAGCTGATAACTGTAGGAGCTGATTTGTTTTATTGCACAGCTGCATGGATGTAACTTTGGGGGGGGGCATGTCTAAGTCAAGTTTTGACCCCTGCACTTTTTACCATCCAAAAACAATATTACACTATATTAAATTGACACTGGTTGAGCTCTAGGACCAAGCAGAAAAGAACCATTTGTGTTGAAGCCTGTTTCCCAGACTGTAAAGATACCCCCCCCCCCCCCCCCCCCCCATACACACACACTAAAGTGAAAATTACATCCATGCAGAGCTTCATGAGAAAAAAAAATGTTCCTGGTATCAACAAGCCTCTGCAACAGCTGTTTTTACAGTCACAGCAAGCTAACCTTTAAAATCTGCTACGCTTGCATAACAAAGATGTGACATTTCAAAATTTTCTCCACAGTATTCAGGTTTATGTACACAAGTCCTGATACTGGGGTGTAAGAAGGATTTCTGCTGTCACTCTACCCAGACTTGTTTTTGAGACTCTTGATTTCTAGGACTTTTCTTGTGTGTTTTGCTTGTTTGTTTTGTTTTGTTTTACACATGAAAGCACAGCCCAATCTGCTTATGGTTCTCAACCTGGACCTCTTTCAGCTTTTCAGTCATTTTTAATTTAAGTGTGCTTCCTCTAGCAGAGCAAAAGACAGCTTAATTCATCACAAAAAAGGGAGTTTGCTTCACTGCTGCGTTTATGACCTTTTGAATGAATGAATTCTTAAGGCATAAATGTTTTCCCAACGTCTATACTATTTAAGCGAACTAAAATAATCATGTTGCATGTGTCTGTAAACAAGCCAAGTTCTATGAAAAATTCCAAGAAGACATTTTAGAAAAGTGTATTTGTTTAAAGTTTGTCCAGCTGGCAGGTTTAAATAAATTAACTTGATGTAGAACAAATTTTGGAATCACTGCTTCAAATGGAGATAGTTTTGCAAATGATTCTGAAGTTCAAGACAAATTGCTAAAAGTGCTGGGACATTTTCTTTTCTACGCACCGAATCTTTAGTGAGCTCCCATTTTTAATCTGCAAGGTTTATCATAAATGGCCCCAACTTTTGCAGCTATAACCGCTTCAGTTCTTCTGACAAGGCTTTCCAAAAGGTTTGGGAGTAAGTCGGAAACCATGTTTCCCGAAGCTCATTTGTAAGGTCAGGCATCGATCTAGGATGAGAAGCTCTGCCTCACAGTCTCCACTTGCCTAGAAATCTAGACAGACAGTAGCAGAAGCAAAATGATTTTGCCCTGCATGTTGGTCTAGCTTGTGGTTTTGGTCCTGGCTGTGGAACACTGGACCAGCTCTGTACCCTTAGGGGAGTCCTGGAGGGGGCGTGGGAATTCACCTAACCAATCTACATGTGTTTTGTAGATTTGGAGGAGGCGTTCAACCGTGTCCCTCGGGGAGCTCTTTGGGGGGTACCTCAGGAGTATGGGGTGCCAGGCCCTTTGATAACAGCCTTTATCAATCCATAAAAGTCCATAAAAGTTATGAACAGAATCGGTGACAAACGGCAGCCTTGGCGGAGTCCAACTCTCGCCAGAAAGGAGTTCGACTTAATGCTGGCAATGCAGACCAAGCTCTGACACCGGTCATATTGATAATAACTTACAGATAGAGAGCCTAATATGAACCTGATGGAAGCCACTGACACTAAATACACTCTGAGGTCACGGTGTGTATGGGTTAGAAGTGGGCTTGTGTTTCTCACCCTCCAGGGCAAAGCTGCTGCTGGCCTTGAAGCCCTCTGTGGTGCCATATCTCTGGGCTCGTGCAGCAGTGCGCGTGAGTGTCAGAAAGGTTCCAGGTTGGCTGACAAGTTCAAATGAGGTGTAACCTGTCAGAAACAGCCCCTGGTGTTGGACAAAGGTCGCTCTACGACCGAACTCCGCTCCTCGACTCCACTGCTCCAACTGAAGCCGACTGCGCCCTGACACTGTGAGAAAATAGTTGGGTCTCTCTGCAGACTCCAGAGAAACAACGGAAACACCTGAATAAAAGGAAAAGTCTAATTAACCCCAAAACAATAAATAATCAGAATGTTTTAGTGTTTAGTGCATATGCTCACGTAATGCCCTGTCCTTCAACAGTCCTTCAGTGATCATGAAGTTGAAGAGTAGGCCAGGGGGAGGCAACTGCCCTGGCCTTTCTCTTATGAGAGGAAACACTGAGCTGCTGGTGCGATTCACACCAAACATGGTGTCATTATAAACAGCACTCACCAAGGAAAATGGGCCATCTCCTAACTCTGTGGTGAGAAAGACAGGAAATGAGTTTGGTGACAAGCCCTCTGGGAAATGAAGAGGCACACAAACAACGAGCAGCCAGAATGATCCTTACTCCTACATACCTTGATTATAGTATTCACAGTCATACGCTGCAAGAGAAATAGTTCATTAGACATTTCTAAAAGATAGAGGCAATGGCAAACATCTACAAGGAAACAATGTGTAAACATCTTAAAAACAGCAGAATGTGATCACAAAGAGTGGTCAAGAGGCTATGATCCTGTGCATCTCTGAGAGCATACTCACGACAGACAGAGGGGGATCTCCAGTGGATTGTGACCCCCTGTTGACAGCATTTATGTGCATATGCAGCAATGGATGTGCAGAGACACTCACAGTCTCCCCCACGATTACAGTTGCAAGTGTCTGTCAGGCAGTTCCTATAAAACCAGGCCACATCAACCTGAAAGGCATCATGAATACACAACAGTCACAAACATGGAAACACTTACAAGCAGAAACTGAAGCAGCCAAATCTCACTGGGAGAGGCTAGGGGAGGCCAAGTTTACTGGGGGGTGCAGTTTTCAATTATTCACTTGGGAGGAATTGATGAGATATTAGGACGAAGGAATTTGCAACTTCTGGTGCAAAAAGTATCAAATAAGCTGTAAGAGGAACAGCCAGAAGGCTTTAGTCTGAGGGTCTGCTGACAGGCAAGATTAATTGGAACTTTACTCTTTGTCAGAGAGTGTTATAATTCACATTTACAGAATATATTTATTTTGAATTCCTCGGAACGGCCATCAGTTTGGCATCACTAAGTTATTTGGGCAAATACATAAAAAAATAATCCTACAAGGTTTTATAATTTTTGCTGGTGGTGGCATTGTTTATACTTTAGCACAAAAGCGTAAAAATGGCTGAAATGCCACCTTTTATTTTCTGGATTTTTAACCTCAAAAAGCACTTCAACTAACCACAAGTTAATGCAATCTCTTGCGATAAGAAATATCGACACGTTTTATTTGCTCAAGTTGAGCTTAAATGTAATCAAATCAAATACTAACAACTTTTAAAGTCCACTAAAGGTTGTAAAAATGATATAAATTAATAAATGACATGGAAATCCTAGCATCCACCAAAAACCTTTCATTTAAATTATTTAAGATTTGATCCTGTATGCTTCTTCCACAATGGAAACCCTATTCAACATGTCAGTTCAGTTATTTGTGATCAAATAATTTACTAATTTAATGAGCCAAAAGCTTGTCTCTGGTTGCCCAGCTTTTGTACGCACAAGCATGGCTCCATCTACTGTTCATAAATTAAAATACAAGGAGGTCAAAATTCAAACATCTTGCTATAAAATAACTTTATTATTTCAACAACGTTTATTGGCTTGTGGCTTTTATCACAGTCACAAATAGAAGTATCACATTGTAGATGGATGCATTCTTGCAGCCTAGAACCTGGTGTATATTTTAGCAGGAAGGAACAAACAATGCACTTGCAAGGATCAGTTAAGAGCAGTTCCCATAACCCCATTCTAACCCCTTCTCCTCAGTTGCAAGCAAGATAACCTTTCTCCGGCTGCATTCAGGCTGCACTAAAAACTTCAATGTGGGGTATGCATGTCCGTTTCTGTGGCGCTTACCACGTTGTGACAAGGTGCAAACACATCACTGTAGAGGAGAGCACACTCCCTTTTAGCGTACGGCTGTCTCCCCAAGTCCCCTTCACACGGTCGCTCAAGTATGTAGTCACTTTCACACTAAGACACACACACACACACACACACACACACACACACACACACACACACACACACACACACACACACACACACACACACACACACACACACACACACACACACACACACACACACACACACAGAATGTGATCAAGTATCTGATTACTCTTAAATATCACAGTGGACTCCAGGGACACGAGCACATAAATTACAGGAGCAACAGGGAGCCGGGGGTGGGGGGAGAGCAAGTAAGACGAACGTAGACAAAGACAGAGAAGAAAGAGGCAACAGGGAAAAAAATCAATGCAAGAGATGAGCTGATTCATACCTGTCCCAGCGCCCAGCTGTCACCGAATGTCTGTGCATTATTGACTTCCATATGGCTAGATGTGGTCATGTCGTTCACGGTCACACTGTCAAAATTTCCACACAGGCCACTGAGAAGGCCCTGGAGGTCAAAAACCCCAAAAGAAAATTATATGTGGGATTTATTTTCACAGCGCTCACAACTTTAGAGACGTGCTCCATGTTCAGACCTTCCACTGAGGTCCAACTCTGATGTGTACAGTGGTTTTTCGGTCCCAGAGAATGGTCAGATCCTGATTGGAGAAGTGGACCACAGTGTAGTAGCCTGCTTTCCACAGCTCGAACTCTGACCCTCGACCAACAACAGTAGCAGGGTTCTGATGCAGAAGGAGGAAACGTAGACAGAAATCTTATTGGGCTGATTAAACAAGGAAATAGCGTGCGATCTGCTAGGTGAATTGAAAGAGTAACTCTGAGAGTATGATGTGTACTGGATTGCCGGAGTTGTCGGTGAAGTAGATCTTTGTGAGCCCCACGTGAATGACCAGTATTTTCATGCACACAATGCCGCTCTCATAGCAGTCCTTGTTTTGGGCAACAATGGACACCTCCGTTTCTCCAGCACTCTAGTGAGAGGGAAAGACAAAAGATTTCTCCTGTAAAATAAAGAAGTGCTGCTTTTGAAACAGTTAAAGCAGCTGCATGTTTACATTTTACTTAAAAGTTTTAAAAGATTTAAAAGGGAACATCTGAACATACTTTGGCCAACGAAAAAAGCAAATTTGCCTCCACTGGTTCAAGGAAACATTTAATTCTTGATACACTGGGATGCTGAAGGGGTGGAACACTCATTTGCAGTGGTTTGTAGTAGGAATGAATGCCCTGTGAGTCATACTCGGGGGTGGGGGGTGAACACTGGTGCACCATTTCCAGGAACTAGAAGTGAGCCATGCCATCAGAGCTGAGCTTCAGACAAAATGTTTGGAGTCTTATTTCCCGATATTTGGACATCTCGCTCCAGATTGGATGACAGCAATGCAACTCTACCACTGACTTGCAACGTTTATGTTTTATCTCCACAAATATCATAAGTCTGAAGGAGTTCTGCTATGTGGTGGAGTTGCTAACGCTAACAGATAGCTTCTACTAGCTGAGATGTTCTCTGCTGTTTCCTGCACGCTAAACCAACAACAGCCTTCTCCATCACAAGTCAAGATGGGTGAGGCCATGACTGTTAAGTGACAGTGTGACACAGATCTGTAAGGATTTTATAATCCTAGAGTTTCAACGTCTATTTTCTATCAGAAGCTAATGCAGAAGATAGGTGTAGGAGACTGTTTTCATGTTCAGCCTGCATTAAAAACTCAGTGACAAAGTATTATCAGAAATAATAATATAAAATAGTTCTTCAGTGTTAAACACCTTTAAAACACAACTCTGACCTGCTTCCCCGTCCTTTTCAGGTTTGCATGGAGGCTAGCCATCTTTTAGGCCTGAATTAGAATGTTTGTTCTGCTAATTCTAATTCTATATCCCTGGGAGCGCAGGAGCCCTGGGGTTTGATGTGAACACTGCTTTCTTTGTGCCACTTTCATCTTTGCTTCAACGTCTGCTAGCGTTACAGTAGCGCACGCGCACACACCTGCATGCACACACACAAACGCTCTTTAATCTGCTCTAATTAAAACCAACCCTCCTTTTTAAGATAAGAAACAGGCTTAGATCTCGTTTCCCAGATTCAGATCAATCTCAGCCTGCAAATGCTAAGGACATGCTCCCCGTTTGCCGTCTGTCATCCACACATTTCTCCAACGCAGTCGAGTTAGAATGCAAACCAAATCCACACAAGCTGTTTTTGACATATCTTGTGCACATTTACAAAAGACACACACAGACGGACACAGCTCACTTTAAGCAGGTAGGCCTGGCAGTCGGAGAGGTAGTCGTATTCAAGGCCGTCGAAGGTGTGGTAGTGTCGGTCGCTGTAAACCGTACACACAGCTGGACATGGATAGTGGCTGCAGTTAAAAAAGCCACGATGACAAACACTGAGGAGAGGAGAGGAGAGGAGAAGAGAGAGGAGAGGAGAGGAGAGGAGAGGAGAGGAGAGAAGAAGAGAAGAGAAGAGAAGAGAAGAGAAGAGAAGAGAGAGGAGAGGAGAGGAGAGGAGAGGAGAGGAGAGGAGAGGAGAGGAGAGAGGAGAGGAGAGGAGAGGAGAGGAGAAGAGAAGAGAGAGGAGAGGAGAGGAGAAGAGAAGAGAGAGGAGAGGAGAGGAGAGGAGAGGAGAGGAGGAGAGGAGAGGAGAGAGGAGAGGAGAGGAGAAGAGAGAGGAGAGGAGAGGAGAGGAGAAGAGAGAGGAGAGGAGAAGAGAGGAGAGGAGAAGAGAAGAGAGAGGAGAGGAGAGGAGAGGAGAAGAGAGAGGAGAGAGGAGAGGAGAGGAGAGGAGAGAGGAGAGGAGAGGAGAAGAGAAGAGAGAGGAGAGGAGAGGAGAGGAGAAGAGAAGAGAGAGGAGAGGAGAAGAGAGGAGAGGAGAGGAGGAGAAAAGGGAGAGGAGAGGAGAGGAGGAGAGAAGGGAGAGGAGAGGAGAGGAGAGAGGAGAGGAGAGGAGAGGAGAGGAGAAGAGAGAGGAGAGGAGAAGAGAAGAGAGAGGAGAGGAGAAGAGAGGAGAGGAGGAGAGGAGAGGAGAGGAGAAGAGAGAGGAGAGGAGAGGAGAGGAGAGGAGAAGAGAGAGGAGAGGAGAGGAGGAGAGAGAGGAGAGGAGAGGAGAAGAGAGAGGAGAGGAGAGGAGGAGAGAGAGGAGAGGAGAGGAGGAGAGAGAGGAGAGGAGAGGAGAGGAGAGGAGAAGAGAGAGGAGAGGAGAGGAGGAGAGAGAGGAGAGGAGAGGAGAAGAGAAGAGAAGAGAGAGGAGAGGAGAGGAGAGGAGAAGAGAGAGGAGAGGAGAGGAGAGGAGAGGAGAAGAGAGAGGAGAGGAGAGGAGGAGAGAGAGGAGAGGAGAGGAGAAGAGAGAGGAGAGGAGAGGAGAAGAGAGAGGAGAGGAGAGGAGGAGAGAGAGGAGAGGAGAGGAGAGGAGAGGAGAAGAGAGAGGAGAGGAGAGGAGGAGAGAGAGGAGAGGAGAGGAGAAGAGAAGAGAAGAGAGAGGAGAGGAGAGGAGAGGAGAAGAGAGAGGAGAGGAGAAGAGAAGAGAGATGAGAGGAGAGGAGAGGAGAGGAGAGGAGAAGAGATGAGAAGAGAGAGGAGAGAAGCAAAAATGGGGCAGAAAATGTCAAACACTGGCATTCTTTAAAATATATCTCCTCACAAAGTTAGAAAAATTGATTACTGTAAAAAAAATGTACCATTTATAACAAGATGTTTCCACAATTTGTCCAGGCAGGTATTCAAGTCCAAGCCAGGCGCAAGGGCAGTTCTCTGGATAGAAACACTCCCCTTGATGCAGCACCAGCCTTCATGGATGAAACATTTATTGGGACATGCACAACTTGCAATTAAATTAATTCCAATTGATGCGCTTTTTGCTCATTAATTAAAATTGATTGCTGGCTAACTGTAGCTTCCAGGCGGCTACTGCTTTAATTAACGTCAGTTGGCTAAGCCTTTTAAATTCGGGAAATCTAATTGAGGCTCAAATCTGTTTTGCCTGAGACCATCAAACAAAATGCATTCAAGCAAGATCACAGCAATAAACTGAGTTTTCATTTGAACAAGTGACCCAAGTAATTATAAATATTCACAGATGTTAGGATTAAAACTAATGAAGCATTAGAGCTTAGCAAATTACTGCAAGGCGCTAATTGTTTTAAAAATGTGACACGTTTAGTTTTTTTCTTTTTTGGCTTACAGTTTTTGTTTTTAAACGATGCATAAATAGATTGCATGCAGAAAAGAAATGAAATATTTTCTGAAGATGAAACTTTGGCTTCAGAGATTTCAGAAGGTTTATCCATATTTTACCCAGGAGGGCAGACACAGCCAGGTATGCACGGCGTGTTGGGTGGACAGGTGAGGTTCAACATCAGGTTTCGGCAGGTTGGTGCGCAGGCCACTCCGCCTCTCTGCTCAGTGCAGCTGTGATACACTTTTCCCTCGGGACACTCTCCAACCTCTATGCTGTCAGGCTCTACAATAAACAGGAACATAAAAACACTCGACAAAATCAATGCGCCAGTTGCTTAAAACACCAACAACAGTAGCCAGACTATTGTAGACACGAGCCTCTTGATTTCAGCAAGCTGGATATAGCCTGAAACAGCACTTTGTTGTTGGCACGAACTGAAGCAGAGACTAAAGAAAGAAACATGTGGGGGTGTGGAGATGTTACCTTTTTCCTCTGGCTCACACTCCATCTTCCCATTTCTGCACAGGCTGGTAGAAAAGATGAGAAAGATTTTGTGAAAGGGAATGAAATGATAAAAAATAGACAGTACAACTTCTTTTCATCTCATTTCACATTCACTTAAGCTTTTGTTAACCAGTGTTTTCAAGTTTAATTGTCCCAATTAAAGCCAGCTGCAGCTCACCAAGGGCCCGATGCACCGAAGGTCACCTCCCCTGGCTGTGAAACGCCACCCAAGGAATAACAATGACATTGGGACCTGAGAAGAAGAACATTTGATGCAAAGGGTTAAAAGGTAATGTACCATAAAGAAACTGATTCTTACTGTCAAAATAAAATATGGAATTTATAAGTCTTACAGCTGCACACAGCGCTGGCGCACATCGTCATAGTAACTGCCATCTAGACAGCCGCATCCTTCAGCACAGTCATCGGGGTGACATGTCTCAATGGTACCCAGTGCACGGCATGATCGTCCACAGGATGGCATACAAGAGTGGTACAGCATCCCTCCAAGACATACCACTCCTAATCAAGTACAAAGGTTACAAATAGTACTTACACACACCTAATTACAATTATATCCTCTAATATGAGGAGTTATCCTTATCAAAATAATGACGAAGACAGAAACTTACCACACTCCGAAACATGAGATCTGAAATTGACCTCAACTCCATGTTTGGAGCAGAGGTAAGTGTAGTGAGCCAATGCAGTACACAGACAGCTGCTCCCACAGCGACAGGCCTGATAACGACACTGTTGTTGGTAGATGTTTGGACTGATGTAGCCATGACACGGAGCAAACACACTCCCCAGTAGCACGTCACACTGGGATGCATAGAACACTGGAATATAAAAATACATCTATAAATGTCATTAGCTTTTCATTTAGCCTTAAAGGTGCAATATGTAGGAATTAAGTAAAAAAATTACATCCTGTGGTCAATTTTGGTTACTGCAGCTCATTTTTCTAAACGAAAAGTTACTTTCTCACTCCCCTTCTGTGAGTTTCATGGCTGTTTCTGGTTACGGATCAGCACCGGAAGATTGCAGATGGCAAACAAGATGACTCATGATCACTAAGTTGATCAATTTAATAGTACAAAGCACTTACTACACTTATTATGGTAGCATACCTCCGGCATTGTACATGTTTGTCGTCTTACTGTTAGCTTGCTGTTTTAGTTCTGAACGACTCATTAAAGGAAATAAAATGCCACGGTTGATTCCTTATTCACTTCACACACACGTTTAACTTCAATATCAAGTTGTTGGAAAATGAAAAAATATTATTATATAAAACTATTTGCTTCTAATTTACCATTACCATAATTAACTCTACGCAAGCTCAACGTTAGCCTCTAGCCTGCTTCACCTGATATTAGAGTAAAACAAAAAAATGCTGTGGCTTCTTGGGAACACAAGAAACAAGTTCTGGGTTGCTCCAGTGAACTGATTTTGGTTCTTTAAACAACTTTGGAGTTTTTTGCCTGCCGGTGTCAAATTACAAAATGCCAGAGCCGCAGCGTTAGCTCGGTGCAGACTCTGCAAACTCACGGGCTTGCTCATAAATAGTTTCTACGTCCGTCTTGTATTCTCGTTGTCCAGAAATGGTCAGTTTTCACCTACATATTGACCTACATGCCACCGGTCATCTGCAGACATAAATTCCATTCTCTAAGGTGGATTTTACATTCTATCTTTCAACAAGCCCAGAAGGTTCTGCTGCTCTGAACACATGATAACGTATTGTCAACAAACTGTTCCCGTTTCAAGGCCTAAGCTTCCCTTATCGCTTCTGCAGGATTCCTCATGCCTCTGAATAGTGAACGTTTTCAGCTCACATGAGTTAATTAATCATGAAATGAAATGAACAATATGGTTAAATGAAATGTTTTGATTAATTTGTGCCTAAGTTAACAAGGTTGAAATTAATTTTAATATTACAATGAAACACTTTGATGTTATGATCAGTAATGTTTGGTTTAACAAGTGAATCATTATCTACACTCAGACACAATGTTCATGATAAAGTTAAAGTAATTTCTGCACGTAGATATTTTCTTACCCACAAATCAGAGCATCCTGTATCTGAAAGAAGGTGTGATGTTCTGAGGTATGTTTGTTTACACCTCTTAACATGGCATGTCCCGATTGGCCAAGTAAATCATAATATGAGAAAATTAAAAAAGGATCACTTGCGGAGTGATTCAACTTTTTTTTAGTTGAGCTTACTCTGACTGGCCATCGGAGGGAAACTCTGCTCCCATCGCATCTTGACAAGCTGTCAAAAACCTGTTACAAGCTACAGCTGACACAGCAAAACGGTTCCTTCCGCCATTCAGAAACAGTTGTTCTAGACGCAAACAATTTAATCTATTTGTTGTGATCCGGGAGACGACTCTGGACCGACCTGGTCGTACTGCGGTCTTTTCTACGAACTTCGGTACCTTGGGGTCACCCGACCCCCCCGGCATCTCAGATCCGAAAGGGAGTCTCCTCAGGGGTATGTAGAAAACAGCATGATTGCGTCTGATGCCGTTTTGATAAGAACCAACTTCAAAGTTTAATGCAAACCAAATTCTTTTCACACCCAGAACTCAGTTCTTTTAGATACGAGGTTCTGATAAACACACACCATTCAATCACCATACATCACATCCCATCCACTTAGATTCATCCATCACAGTAGCCTTAGTAAACTTGTCATGTTTTAATTGTTTAGAAAATAAATTCTTACTTTTTATAAACCTGACTGTCTGAATTGATACGAAGTGTGTTGATCCCTGAAAAAGCAAAGAATCCTAGAATCTTCTGATTAAACATCCAAAGACCAAGCAGGTTGATATTCTATATTTATATAGAATATCACATCTTAGTGGTCATAAGTAAAGGTAATATATTAAGCTTAAAAGCAACAACATTTAACCCTACACTCTACTTATTTTGAAAGGACAAAAAGTGACAAACCCCCAGCTGGCTGAGAACAAAACCCGATTCAGTTCTTTCCAACATGATTGAGACATTAAATTGCAATTATGTCACTGTAGGATTTCTACATATTGCTCTAAACCTTATAGTTGATACTATAAAGTTAACAATATTACCATTGTGCTGGTTCATCTCACATGGGTCTATAATGGGCAAATTAACTGGGGCGACACAAGCAGATGACACCTTCCAAGCATTGGCGTGAAGCTGGGGAGTGCCCTCTATCATGCCTGCGGGAGACCTGCTCATACAAAAACAGAAGAAGAAGAAGAAGAAGAAGAAGAAGAAGAAGAAGAAGAAGAAGAAGAAAATATCATTTCTATAGCGCCTCTCAAGATAAAAATCACGAGGCGCTTCACAAAAACAAAAAATGTTGAAATATTAAAAAATCATTTAGAAAATGTTTAAACATACATTTAAAATGAGCAAAAATAGGCAATTGGGATTTAAAAGAAAATTTTTTAAGAAAGAGAGAAAATGAATAGGAAAAAGGGAAATCAGTGGATCATGAGGAAGGTGGAATAGGTGGGGAGAGCAGAATAAAGAGAGAGTGGTTGAAGAAGGTCATACAAAAGCCAGCTTGAACAGGTGAGTCTTCAGCTGCTTTTTGAAGGAGACCACTGAGTCCACTGATCTTAAACTCAGGAGGAGAGAGTTCCAGAGTCTGGGGGCCAGAGCAACAAATGATCTGTCACCTTTGGTCTTTAGCCTGGTGCTGCACAACCAGTAGGCTTTGATCACTGGACCTCAGGGACCTGCTGGGGGTGTAGGGACTAAGAAGATCACCAATGTATGATGGTGTTTGTCCATGTAAGGCCCTATAGACCAGAACCAGGATCTTGAAATGAACCCTGAAGTTGACTGGCAGCCAGTGAAGCTGGAGGAGAAGCGGGGTGATGTGGGTGTATTTGGAGGACTTGGTCAGAAGCCGAGCACAGGCATTCCGAACCACCTGTAGACGGTTCAGGTAGGTTCTGCTCAGACACGTGAAAAGAGAATTGCAGTAGTCTAAGCGTGAGGAGATGAAGGTGTGGATAACTGTCTCAAGTTCAGAGCGGGACAGAATGGGACTCAGCTTAGCAATGTTCCTGAGATGGAAGAAGGAAGAGCGAACAAGAGAACCGACATGAGAATCCAGGGTGAGAGCTGGGTCAAAGGTCACACCAAGATTCCTGACAGAAGATTTGGTGTGGGAAGCAAGCTGACCAAGAGAGTCTCTGACTTTGGGAACCAGCTTGTCTAGGGCACAGATGAGGATCTCAGTCTTATCTTCATTCAGCTGTAGAAAGCTCCCAGCCATCCAGGTTTTCAAAGTCTAAGCAGGTGTGTAACTGCTGCAGTTTAGACATCTCATGCGGCTTAAAGGAGATGTACAGTTGGATGTCATCTGCATAAATATGGTAGGAGATTCCTTTGAAGGAGCTCAGGATGTGATGAAGAGGAAGCAGATAGAGGAGGAAGAGCAGAGGCCCCAGCACAGAACCTTGTGGGACACCATGGGTAAGAGAGGTGGTGGAAGACCTAAACTTGGAGACGGCCACAGAAAAGGAGCGCTCAGCAATAGCAACCTTTTAACAAACAAAAAAAATCTTTCTCCTAAAAGTGAGAAGTTTCATCTTACAAGAAATCATCTCGTAGATTTCCATTAAAAGTTCCACAAAGACCCAACGTCTGTCCACGCCACTGGCTGTCCAGCTGCAAGTACACCCGGCCTCCTTGTCCGTCATACTGCAGCTTTAAACCAGTCTCTGTCCTCAGCTGTATGAAGACAGAGGTCAGCCGGCGCAACTCGACTGCATCTGTATGTGCAGAGAGTACACAAGTGCTTTTTAAACCAAAAATTATTTTAAATGAAAATGCAAAATGTTGGGATTTTTCATTCAATGATTTTCTGACATCTACCATCAACATAGGGGAGGGCAGGAGCTGGATGGACACCGATTATCACTTCCCCTTCTCTTGTCATGGTGATCTGATTACTCACATCTTCTTCCAACACCACGGTTACGGACTGGATACACACCTGCTGCTGTTGACACACAAATACAAAGAGTTAACAAGGATACTGCAGGGTTGATAAATACATTACTCAACACAGGTTAATGCATTTTTATGAAATGTCAGTTACGTCTGAAATTAAGCGTCTCTTCAAAATAATGCATGCAGCCCACAACCTTTCAAATAAAGCAATACTGAAAAAATGGAACAATAATGGGGTTATAATGTTTTTGAGCAATCTTGGTCAGTTTTGCATAATATCATAAGATCTCATGTGGTCTTAGAATGTGTGTTATGCATGACTCAGCTGCGGCCTCATCAAACTAAGTGATAAATTCACAAAATTAACCAGTTATAGATGCGCATTATTTTCAGTAATTACTTTCTGAGAATTTCAGTAACACTAGATTAACTATTATCAAACAAACATATTTCAAAGTGCCCACACAAACATATGCAAAAACACCTTATAGGTGATGAGTGGAGAATTTCATTAACTTGCAAACATAATATTTTGCACAACTTCAAAAACATTTTAATTCAGCAAATCTGAAAACACCTGTGATCACCGACACACAAGTCAGGAAACCTGTAATCATCATAAAATTAAAAAAGCACCAACAACTCCGTTTGGTCTACAACAGACACCCATAGGATGTAAAACCGAGAGTCTGTCACAACTTGGAGGAAATTTAAATATATTTTGAAGAGCATGAATGGAAGCCAAATAAACACCAGACCCACACACAGTGTAATAGAAGATGCTATTCAGCATGTTTACTGCAAGTCTGACACAAGCCTGGCAATAAACCAAATAGTGAAAATGTGTAAATGTGTGCACACAGTCTCCAGTAGAGCTTCTAAAAACAAATAAATGAAAGCTTTATAATCTGGAATTACACGTCTCTCAGTGTTTTTAGACAAAAAAAACAAAAAACAAAACAAAACAAACAAACAAAAAAAAAACAACCAATCATCTCTGAGGGAAGACAGCATCAGAATTGCACATTAAACACATATTAGTTTGGAATTTGAGCACAAAGGTTTTCTAACATTTGTTGCTTTGAAATCATGAGAAAAGAAATCTTAATCACGTTTTTTTTAATGTTAGATAAGAACAAATATCCTCCTGTTCAACTCTGAAGTAATGCAATTTCTTTTAGATCAGATTTACGTAAATAATTTAACACTTAGGTCATATTACACAAGCGTGTTCTTGAATCACTTCGTGTGCATGTGTGTGCTACCTCTGCACAAGTCGTATACTGCAGTGTGACAGTGAATTTGCTGCTGCCACGGCTCTTTGCCAGCACGTATTGGCACGCCCCCGGCTGGAGAAACATCCTGCCATCAAACGTGGTTACAAACACATCTCCCACCACTGAACACTCAGCTATAAGGAGACAGAAAAAAATCAGATTTTCTATTTGAAGTCTTCCTCTTTGATGCCTTTGTAATCTTGAAGAGAATTTGCACCTGTGCAGTTATTCTCAGTGCAATTCCACACTCCTCCCATGCAAACGCTGGAAAAACAGGAAAGGTTTAGAAGTGCATCATGTGTGCCACGGCAAGAAATACAAAGTCGGTTCTCACCAAACGCTGCAGCCCTGTTGAAGCACTTGTCCTTGTGCATATGACGTTCCGTGATAAACACAAGGACACTGAGAAACAGGGATACATGTACCGTTCTGTAAAATAAGACCTAAAAAAAAAGGTCAAGTGTGATCATATATTATGAAATTAATTACAATCTTAAAGTTTTGTTTATATACCATCGGGACAGTAGCAGCCATCCAGGCAGTGCAGGTTGGTTCCTAGACACTCTTTCTCAAATGTGCAGGTAGGAGGACAACAGCTGATGCAGTCTCTATACACAAAGCTCTCCTCGCAGCCATCATCTGTGCAAATACAAAAACAAAACATAAGGGTGGACAGGTGATTTTAATGGAAGTCACTGATCCTTTAGAATGGTAGGTGAAACTTACAGCAGGAGGGGAAGCTGTCTCTCCACTCCCTTACAGGGTATCCAACATGGGAGCAGGCTCTGGTGTATTCAACCAAAGCGCGGCAAAATGTTTCCTCATCATCAGACCTAAAAGGAATGCAGATTTAGAGGCATTACTCGGTACCCATACAGAAAGACTCAGTTTGAACAAAAATATATCAATGATCTGGTTTTCACTCACACACAGAGGTCAGAGACACAGCTGGCAACAAAGGGATTGGGGTCAATGTTTTCATGACATGATATAAATGGAAAGAAGAGGAGCGCACTGCATTTCTCAATGGCATCCTGCACAAATTCTCAAAGAAAACATAACCGTACTGAATAAAAATCTCAACATACCTTGTTTTCATGTTAATTTAGCAAGCTGATGCCTATACAGTCACCATGTTGAGCCAGTTCACATTAGAATTACCGGTACTGTTTCTTACATCCATGTCTGACTCAGAGTTGCAGGGCCCGTTAAAGTCGAGATCTACGGAGGGACAAGCTCTCTCGTGAGGGAGATCTACCGTCCAGCTGTTGGCAAACACCGCCGGCTCATCTGTCCGGATACCTGAAACACAAAGTAAACAGAGAAATATCTGAAATTTTACTAAATTCAAATGTGCAGATAAAAAAGTACGTCATCAATTTAACCTGGAATGGGAACAAAATTTGGCTTTACAAGAACATATGAATGTTTGCAAAGTACAAGAATTTCTTCATTTTCCTCACAATACAGAGCAGCATTCTCCTGAATAAGTATGAACTGTAGTTTGTGTTACTGCCCGCCTGAGGAAAGATCCCTTCTTCTTCCAGCAACGCAAAACCAAACCACAAGTTCCCTTCAATCCTTTTTCTGATCTAAGCAGGTCCCACTCATGCTATAATTGGCCATAATCTGTGCTGAGTGTATAATAGCAGTAATTGCAATGACTGGGTGCTGAGTGAAAGGAAAATGGAATGAGGGGACATTTGGGCCGGTCTTACCACGAGCAGTGGTGAGGTCGTCTCCGGCAATGTGGTTGAAGTTCCCACACAGGCCACACGGGGCGCCCTGGTGCTCCTCGCTCATCTTCAAATAGACGCCTGAGCCTCCATCCCAGGCCAAAGAGAAGCCAAACACGCTCTTCACAAGCAGGTAATCAGCCAAACGCTCAATAAACACTCCCCCTACAGTCTGAGGCAGACTCATCCTGGCATTTGTAACGACACAGACAAACCAGACAGATGACGTAATGTCTGAAAATCTCTGTTCTCTATTGTCATTTAATGCTAAGAATTATTCTTCACACCTGCGGCCTCCCTGGTGGACCTGATAGCCAGAGATGTGGATCTCCTCCTCGTTTGGGAAGAACAAACTGAGAGCTCTTGGACATAAATACCCACTCCCCTCACACACTCGGCTGTTGTGAACCTGAGAGGAAAACGGAGGTCGATAAATGAAAACGGGGGAACAAAACCATGAAAGCGTGACACAGTAGGCCTATTTCACTGAATATGTTTTGACATATTTCACAGGTGTATCAATGAGGGCTGCATTCCATTTAGAGAATTAGCTACTTGAAAGCATTTTCTTCAGAACAAAAAGCACGCACAGTTGCAGAAGTGGAATTCTCTCATTAATACATCTTTGCTTTATTTACTCTTTCAAGTCAAAATTGCCATGAAACGGGCATTTCATGGGTTTAACCCGCACTCAATGAAGTAGTTTAAATTTAAAAATGTTAACCCCAGGGTGTTATTGTAGTCCATTTCCAACATGAATTTCTGTTGTTACAATTTTCAAAGTGATTTATTTTCATGCAGAAAATCAGAGAAAACGAAGTGATGGACGCTGGCCCTGATCTGGTAAAAGAATGTCCTAAATAAAAAGCATGAACAAGTTAAATAAACTTTATTTTTAAATAATATAGATGATTATAAGACACTTTAGAATAATTAGCTAATTTTAGAACATTATATCACTGTAGAATAACACAGAATATATCACATTTCTTAAACAATATAGTATATTTTTATTAAAACAGATTAATGTAGATTATTTTTGAAAGGCTATTGAACAATAGATACAAATTTTGATCAAATATAGAAAATTTGAATATTTTAGAATATTTTATATTTGAGGGTCTGCCTCAATGTCATCTTCTTCTAGCCTGGCAAGCCAGACAAGCAAGAATTTGGTCTAGTTCACTAGGCTAATCTTCCTCCTCTTTATCATCATCACTGGTGGTGGGATTGGCTGGCACAATTACTGTTGTCCTCCATTTTCCATTGAAATCTTAGTTTAAAACTGCAAAATAACTAGTCTTATTACTGTTACCATGCTTATTAAGATTATGTCTAAAAACAACAGATTTTACCTAAAAATACACATAATTTATTTTACTTGTTCAGAGCGTATGTTCGAATATGGCAGATTTGGTTTTCATGCTAAGATTTCACCAACTTTATTGAGTTTAACATTGACAACACAAGCATCCTTATTTAGCACAACGAGTCAACCTTGTGAAGTGAGAGTTTCATAAACCTAGCGTCATTAGTTTTAGAGATCTGACCGTACACATGAGAGGAGACCGAGTGGTTTTCTGGTTCTGCAGACACACCAGTATTCGGTGCATCATAGCTCTGTGCTGATTGGTGGAATGGCGCCACGGCGTGAACTGTGACTAGCCTCATTTTTAATGATTGGTTGGGTAAAATTTCATAATTCTAAGAGTCTGTGAAAAAGCATACCAACATAATTTATGGTGTGAGTGTAAGCGTCTAAATATAGACGTTGGCCCTGTTAAGGGTCAATTATACAAAGGTTGCAGTATGCCCTTTGAGCTAGGGAAATAACGCCTGCTAAAAGAGATTAGCATAAACAAATTGCAATAGCAATAAACTCAATAAATACGTGATATTTGAATGTGAAGTGTCTTGATGTTAAAATGAAGGGTTGTTCTTGGCCTTACCCACACTGTGTACTGTGGTGCAGCTGAGTGGCAATCCTGAGCCAGAATATAAGAGCAGGTTCCGGGGAAGTAGAAGTAGATTCCATCAAATGTCTCATAGTGGTGCTGACCCCATGACCTGCAGATCCCGTCTCTGTCCTGGCCCTGATTAGGTACTGAAACGAAGATGAGCAACTCGCTCAGATGAAATTCTTATTAAATAAAAACAACTCAATCATACAATCTGGCACAGATATATTTAATCAGAAGCCCGCCTTTAAACTGAGAGGGTGTGTAATACACGTCACATCTTTGTTATTGTCTTAACATCTTTCATCCTCTTCTATTTAATTCAACTTATCAGTGGAAATTGAACACCTGAATCATCCAAAAGCCCTTTGTTGCAGGAAATCCCCGTGGCTTGCTTTGCCAAGAAGGCAGCTTCCCAAAATCTGAGAATGTGGGTGGTTGGTTCCAATGAATCACATCTTGTAATCTTATCAGCAGCTTTCATGCATGTCTCAATTAGCAACATTTATAAGCTTGAAAAAGGTGTTTAATCAATACATTTGCAGTGGTCTCTAGTAGGAATGAATGCCTTGCAAATCTTACTCAGAGGGCGGGGGGCTCAGATGCACTTCCATCCATCCTTTATTTATAAAGCAGTGTTATAGCTGACTAAAGAGCTGAACATAAGGGATAAATAGCCATAAATAGGGGAAAACAGGCTCCCAGACAATACAAACAACACCATACACAATAAATAAGTGATGAAATACTCTATAAGTAATTCCAACCATGAGACTGGAAACAACAGAAATACAAAACTATACGAGAAAATCAAGACAATGTTTCAAGAACATATGACGATAGGAAGTGAGGAGTAGTAAATTTAGGGGCCAAAGGCCTTGCTTAAATAGGAGTTTTTAAATGAGATTTCAACTCAGTCAGTGACTGAGCCAACCTGATGTGAAGAGGTAAAGAGCTCTAGAATTTGGGCGCAGCATGAGAGAACGCTCGCTTTCCACGAGATTTGTAGGACCTCTTAGGTACTGTTAGGAGGTTCTGGTTACATTCAGAGTGGTATAAGTAAGGGTCAGGATTTTGAAATCAACCCTGTACTGTACCGAGATCCAGAACAGTCTGGACAGGGCTGATGAGACTACAACAATCTGAGCTCATAAGAAACTAGGCAGCTACATTTTGAACATTTTGCAACCTATTGAGACTGAGTGCATTTACCCAAGGAGAGTTGAATTAGCGTGTTTCAGGAATTAGCAGTATACCACATCAGAGGAGAGCTGAACATGGCAGGATTTGGTTTCTTATTTCCTGATGTTTGGACATCTTGCCCCAGATTGGATAACAGCATTGTGGCTCTACCACTGACTCAGTTTGCTCTGCAATGTTGATGTTTTATCTCCACAAATACCACAAGCCTGGAGGAATTCTGCTGTGTGCTGGAGTTGCTAATGCTAACAGTTAGCTTCTACCAGTCCAGACGTTCTCTGCTGTTCCAAGGACGCCAAACCAACAACAACTTTCCCTGTCGAGCCAAGATGGGTGAGTTCATGAATGTTAGGTGACAGTGTGACGTAGACCTGTCAGGATTTTCAAATCCTAGAGTTTCACTTTCTATTTTGACAGAAATTCATTTATCAGAAACTAAAGCAGGAGATAGGTGTAGCAGACTATTTTCATGTTCATGTTTCAACTATTTTTTCAACTTTTTTTAATGTTCCACACCTTTAAACAATCAAAACAATTTTCTTTTGCCAAATCTCATATTTTGTGTATTTTTAATATGCACCAGCAGCAATTTTGAATAAATAAATAAATAAATAAATAAATAAATAAATAAATAAATAAAATAAAATGTTTCAAGTTCTGTATGAATAAATTTCTGTTCTGAGTGTAGAAACTCCATCACTCAGCTGTTGGCACATTAACTAAATGCGAGCAACTTTGTATGATGATCTCATGAGCCCAAAGTCTATTCTTGCATGCGCATGCGTGTGCGTGTGTGTGTGTGTGTAAGATAAGAGTGATAACAAGGGAAAGAGACTAATAATTTTTAAATAATTAATGCTGTAGTGTGCTCAGGCAATTAGAATTTGTTGACCGACTGGAGAGTCTCCTGCGTGCGCTTGTTCATGTAAAATGGAGCGTCTGATTCTGTTATCAAAGAGGTGACTGTTATTAGACATGCCAGGCAGCCTCGGAGGTTGCTGCTTGCATAAATGTGATGAATTCTGAGCTGACACAAAGGGAAGATATGAAAGTAGGAGACTACAAGTGTGAGAGCAATACTCACTGATTTGGCAGCGATCTCCCAGTGCCTGGAACTGAACACAGTCACACACACCGCCCTCCTGACACCATCCACCATTAAGGCAGCCACAATATTCTGGGAAAGACACACAAACTTGTTTGTTCTGATTTTACTAAGATTATGGAGTGTTATAGCATTGGTTATAGTGTTTTTACCTGAAGAGGAATCTCTGGCTGTGTAGTTGTGCAAAATGCTGCGTGACAGAGTGCCCTCTGACAACAACGGTCTATATGTCTTGGAACAAAAACAATAAACAATATAAACATAGATCAGGTCCTCCAGTGATTCTTGGCCTTTAACAGCACCACTGGCTCAGAGCTGCACCCACTGTGTGCCTGCTGCTGTAAGTTAAAGAGTTGCATCAGACTGAGTGCGAGAAATGTGTGTGTTCGTGGTTACTAGGACCCATTCGCTACAAAGATGTCTTTGTGCCGAAAAAGGTGTTGTGCGCATGTGGATGCCCCGACCTGCCCTGGTTCTCTTAGGTGTAGTGTACAAACCTCCTCCCCAAGGAGATCCCGTTTCCTCCGAAGTGCATTAGCTCTTCTGCACACACACATACACACACACAAGCATGCACAATAGTGGGAAGAAACAGTCAGAGGGGAGGCTTAAGTGCACTTTACACCACTTAAATCCAAACTTCAAACTGCTTTTTTTAAGCTAAAACCTCACAGACACAAATGCAAGTGCACACACATGCATACACGCATGCACACACACACACACACACACACACACACACACACACACACACACACACACACACACACACACACACACACACACACACACACATTCATTCAATCTCTGTCACACACTCTTGTCTAGACAGAAAGTGTGTATTTAGCATGATTCGTTATGTCATATTTACCTCTGTGATCTTCCTTCTGCCACTGAAAGTCGACTCTGAGCTCCTGAAATTAAACCCAAACTATTGGAATTAAGGCTTCACCAACCATGAAGGAGCTTTAGGTAATCAGGTGCTGGTCCACATGTGTTCATGACTATTTATTTATTCATCTATCTTAATGTTCTAACGTCATGCAAGAAATAGAAGAAATAGCAGATTAGCCTAAATGCTGCAGAGGCGTCTCATCTATAGATATTAAAACAATGTAGTGTAATTTAATTACATGGATGTGACCTATTTAAATATATATGTGAATCATCTACCTTGTGTGCATAACTCTGTCTGTGTGGTTTACAACAAACTTCATATAAAGCAAAAAAGTCTCTGGCTTACCCTCAAGTAACAGCAGGTGGGAGACTGATAACGACATAAGAACAAATCGTTTCACTGTCCACTTCACGTTCATCTCAGAGTCCGAAGGGAATTCACAGCGGAAACGTTAATGGCGCATCTCAACTGTCCTGAGAGGAAAAAGGGGGTTTTGGACGTGTGGAGGACGGCAGCTGGACGGAGCCTGCACGGACCTGTGGAGCCTACCTGGAGGCTGCAGCCCTCCCACCTGACCTGGGCACTTGAGGAGTGGTTTGTGCACACCTGTGTGGGGTGGTGAGTCAGCAGTGGTCTCTGCTCCACCAGCAGTCTGCAGGTATGATGTCATATTTACTGTAAAAAAATAACCTTAATGTCTGTGAATTTTTCATTGAGACGCATGTTTGTCTATTTTGGGACAACAGGGTTTGTATTCTGAATTTACAGAAAGCAAGTTTAACAAATGCTTTAGGTTAAAGATTAAATGAAGGTAATTTAATGACATTTACAAACTGAATGTTTTTATTCAACACAATTTATGTTTGTGTTGACATTCTTTGGAGTGACCAAGTCATAAATTAGATAAAAATCAAAATTCTTCTATTCCCAGAACTTCATTGATATTTCTTTTAGGGTAAAAATTTTGTTGTTTATGGGTTAAAAATGCATAAACATTATAATATTCTATAAATAAATGTTTTTCTCATCACTAAAAATACAATGATTTTTCCATTAATTTGTTTTTATCATGAATTTTGAACTACACTTAATTGGCTGTTTACAATAATACTTCCTGAATAAAAACATATAATGAAAATCTACAGTTTATTTAATACTATCCCACCTTACCATGATTCAACCTAATCAAACAGTTTCTTTATGATATTTGAACACATTATAAACTTAAAAAATGTTTCTATTGACGTTGTTTTTTGTGTGGAATAACTGCACAGCTTCTTCTAAAAGAAGGTAATAAATGTACTCATGGCCTGCAAATCCCATGTGTTTTCTTTGTCTCCCTCTGCAGGTTGATTTTATTAACAAGCTTGAACAGAACGTTAGTCCCAGAAATGAAAAAAAAAAAAAAAAACAACAACAACCATTTGGTTTTATTACACTTTATATAGTAATCTATTTATGTACATGTTTTAAATAATATTTTTGTAGTATTGGGGACTTATTAAATGGTTTAAGACTCATAATCTGTATTAATTAGATAGCATGGAGTTCCGAAGCAAAATAACATTGGGTAGATTTACCGCTAAACATTTTACTATGATGACATTACAAAGAAGAAGGAATTTCTAACTTATATTTTGTGTTTCTTGGTGGATTAGCTTTATTTCTTGTTGGAAATGAGTGTGTTGACGTCCTCCTCTGGTTTGAGGCTGTGCCATTGTGCTATTGGCCTCCGAGGGTTAGCCAACATGTCTGACCAGTGGCGTAGCTCAGTCCCAATGCTGTCACCACCCAGCAACAGCTTTCCGATGGCATCGTTCTTCCCAATCTTATCATAGTCCAAAACAGTCACAGCTAACTGCACCTTCTGAGAAAAAAACACACATTGTCACAGAAAAACAGTTTCAGTTGGTTGTATTCATGTGTGTGCATGTGCACATATGATTTCTTTGTACCTCTATCTGTTCACATGGCACTTCGAAGCTGAATGACTCGTTGTAGTAAGGGTTCAGCGTGTTTTTCTTTATTGTAGTTTTCTTTTTCTTGAGTCGTTTCCCGTTCTGCATTAAGTGGATCTTCACGTATGGGTCTGGTGGAGAGAACAGGGGGCGTTTATGTTAGAGCATCAGACCAACAGCAGCTGCTTGGCTAACAGGAAGTAACTCTATCAGGGACACACAACATCAGTCTGAGTGGTCCTTGATCTTTTCCTGCATTGAGACTACTTAAAGGTGGGCACACTTATAAAAAAGCATGAGCCGGTGCTCAGTTTGGAGAAAAATGAGGAACTATCTGAAATACTAGTGCTTTTAAAATTCCAAAATAAGGTTTAAATAAAACAGGACGGTTGCAGCTCAGTAGTAGAAATCTGAAACTGAGCTAAAATCTTGAGCAAACCCAATCTTTTTTGCAGCTTGACTCACCTGATAATCCACCCACGTCCATTTTCTTTAAGTTTTTGGCCTCCAGAATCACCACCGTCAGCTTTCCTGCTGTGGGCACGTACCTCAGGGACAAACATACGTCTCCAAGTCGCTCGCTCTAATAAAATAATTCAGACATCAAGCATCAATTGTCTAGTTAATTACAGGAACTCCTGAGTCACTTTTTAGCTTCTTCTCCAAAAAAATTATTTCTTTCCAGCTTAATTAAACAATGCCAGTCCCCACTTCCTCTTTCTCTGCTTTCTGCAGATCCCTCCACTCCTGCAGAGACTGGCTGAAGTCCACACCGCTCATTGGTATCTTCACAGCTCCAATAGCATCATGTTTTGAGAAGCGATCAAAGTCGTACACAGTCATCACCAGCGTCTTCCCACCCAGGTCTGTGTACAGGACCTGCTGACCACAACACAGAAAAACGTTTATGTTTCACATGAATTCATTCATACAACTCAGGTTTTATCTATTATGTGCTTTGTTAACCTTAAAAGTAAAAGTCTCGTTGAAGTTTGGCTCTAGTGTCTTCCGATGAACTTTGGTTTCAAACTTCTTCTTTTTGTCCGGGAGCAGATACATTTTGACATAGGGATCCGAACTGCCTCCCACATCCATGGCAGGAAGCTCTGCGGCCTGCAAGATGCCCACCACCAGCTGGGACCCGGTCGCAGACGAAAACAGAAAAATAAAGCAAAGAAAAGTATTTAAAATGTAATATTTTACAGTTGGTGGGCAAAGCCAACTGAGCAGCAGGGACTCACAGTGTTTTCTGTGAAGTTGTAGTCTAGAGTGAAATGTAGACGGCCGAGCTTCTCGTCTTCTTTGGGCTCGTTTTCCAACAGCTCTGTTTCTTTAATTTCATGTTTGATGGGCTGCACGTGTATAAATAAAGCATTAGTACATACCTGTCTGCAAGATTTGGAGCTTCACGGGAAGTTTTCTGTCATTAGACTGTTTGAATCGGCTTCGAAACAACTTTTCTCACCTCAAATTGACTTAACATGAGGGATGTGCAGAAAGTCCATTAGTCTTAACACGCTCTGACATCTTTACTCGTTCTGGGTGACCCAGACGACCTCACTGTGATGCATTGCAAGGACAGTGGGTCTGCAGGATGTGTGTGTTTATGTGTGAGTGTGTGTCTGTTAAGTTACCTCATTGTAACCCCCATCCATTTCAGTGTCAAAACCTCCCTTGTTTTTCACTTTTTCCTTTTTCTTGTCCTTTTCTATGTCCTTGTCCTTCTTCATTATGCGCTTTTTCCAAAAGCATACAGCACATGATAGCACGATGCACAAACTCACAACACAAAGGGCGGCGACAGCCCAGGACGGCTCTGTGAAACACACAGAACACACAAACAAAATGGGAATTATGCATAAACGATTGTTTTGTTACACTTTCATTTGCTGTCGTTGGCATCAACCTCACTCAGAGTACAAATGTGTATTCTACATCTCATGATTCTTTTTTCATTTACTGCAACATAAATTAAATTTCATTCAGCAACAAAAACAAAAAAACAGATCCAATACCATGCATCATGATTTTTTCTTGCAACACAACATTTTGTTTATTTATTATTTGTGTTTATTTGTTTGTAGCAGACACTTTTATCCAAAGCGACTTACAATTTATAACCTATAGGGCATGTTGTGATCTGTGGGGGAAACCGGAGTACCCGGAGGAAACCCACGCATGCATGGGGAGAACACGCAACTCCACGCAGAAAGGCCACAGCCAAGTTTTGAACCTGCAACCATTGTGCTGCGAGGCAACAATGCTAACCACTGCGCCACCATGCTGCACATTTTGTGTGTGTTCTTTTTTTTCCCAAGCTATTTATGTGTGTAATAAAAAAGCTGTTTTATATAGGGTAGTCTATGTTCTCTGTTGAAAAGTAGTTTATTTTTATGTCAGGGATTTACCCAGTTGAATTAAATTCTAATTAAAACCAAAACACTGATTCTATGAGTGAGTTTGGCACATGGGGGTGATAAGTAACTTGTCTTGACTCGTAAAAAATAAAACTTTAAGTATGCTTCTTTAAGGCTTAGTTCTGATGCTCTACTTTCAAAAAAATCTGTCAGCATTACTGGACTATGTACACACAATAAAGAGCACATGGCACACTCTGTTATTTAACCAGAGAAGGGAGAATACTTTTTAAAAATCCTTATGAAGCTGTATTTTAAAAAAGAGAAAACCAAGTGTCCTGCTTCCTCTAAAGCTTCTCTGAAAGGATTATACATTGTATTCATGCATGTTAACAATGCTCTAACATAATAAAGCTATAAATATATTGTAGAGATAAAATAAAATAAAAATGAACAAAGTGGTCCTCTTACGTTTGTCTAAAAATCTCCACCAATAACACGTTTCAGACCGAAAGCAACGATTGGACCATACAGTCTTTTGTCTGGCCAAACCCCAAGCACTTTCCTGGGTCCTCCATTTATAACACACTCATATATACAACAGAACACCCCTGGTGTGAGAGGATTTCCACTCAATAATATCTGAGAAGGAGAAACAGACGGCTGCCACCACTTCAAATGTTAGGACAAACTACCAGAGTCCCAAAAAGATAAACACCATTTGAAGTAATGGACAACAAAAGACATTTAGACCTCTACGGTGACTGGTGTTTAGCACTATCTCGTTTCCTCTGGGAATGCGTGTTTCTGTTTCCTGCAGAATCGTCTCAGGGAAGATACTCAAAGAGAGGTGTGAGTGTTTCGTGACTGTGTTTGCGGTCAAAACCCAGCTTGTTATGCAGATTCACTACAGCAGCTTTAATGGTTCACTGGAGAGTAATTTTGCAAATCATTTTTACTATTTATGAGAAACCTTGTTCCTGGTTTGAATTACAAACAGGAAGTTGTGAAAATGAGTGTTTCTGCACAAAGAAACCTGTGAAGATGCAGCTGAGGTGTGTGCATTTGAGAATGTGATTTTCACAAAGCCACTACTTTCCGAAAGTGGTCATGAAACACAAATATCTCCCCCAAATAACCTGTTCAGCATAACACACACTAATCAGTCAGACCTGAAGATTTAAGGAGATATCACACTCACTGTGAAGGCTGCGGATCTCATTCATGAACTTTCTGGCACCGTGGTCTCCAGGTTGTTTTTGGCCTGGTGCTGCTGTTGCGTTTGGCGCGCTGGCGGGGTAAGATGACGTGCTCGGTGCAGCTCTATGGTTCATCCTCAGCAAAACTGACAGTGGATTTAAAATTTACCTTCCAGAGAAACAGAGAACATAAATCATGCTGAGCACAAATGGAGCAACGATATCGTTCAAGTGAACAAACAAGCTGGGCTTTGGTGTACAGCGCTTTGTTTGTCCGTTTTGGGCATGTGACAGCGCTTTATAAATAAAGTTCATTTGATTTGATTTAAATCACCTGCAAGTGTGCATCTTAATTTAATCTGCCTCCATTCATTTGTGCCGCAGAGCAGAGTGTCTTATTTGACTGTTGATCAAATATTTGAGGTAATGATGTGCTTATAGACAGACTATGCAACCTAGCATCAGATAACTTCTCCAGTTTCTGCTGGCCTGGCAATAACCCTTGAAGACAGGATATGAAAGTTGCTGTCTCTGCCAAAGCTGCTGAAATGCAGTTGTTTGGTACCGATGGGGTCAAAGCAGCACACCTGGATCTCTCATTTGTCAAGGTCAAGCTAATAAGCAAAATTGATTTGAAGTTTAAATTTATTTAATTTGGCAGACATCAGAGGAATTTAGCATCAGATGGTGGATCAGCGGTTTAGGATCACGGTAATTATGCAGGTAGTCATTTAAGTTTGTGTCTGCCTGTTTGAGGATTTATCCTCAAGTTTCCGGGAGAAAACAGTAGCTGAGGTAGCCTGCCTGATATCAAGATGCAAAAATATTGGAATTTAGACCTTTAAACAATTAATTCTAAGGAAATTGCTTCTGTTATTTTAAGCAGAGTAAAAAAAAATTCTAAATGCATTTGCATATTAACCTTCGTATTTCCTTGTTGTTTTGCAAGTAAAAAAAAAGGACA